GCATCTATTTGTAAGTTCATTTCAACATTCCTTTGCACCATATAAATGCATGGTTCCTGAAAATCTTTTTTGAGCTGGTTTTAACAATTTTCTTGGATCTTGCACTAGTTAATGAGTTAAATAAACCTTTGAAACACTGTACCAGTTTCCCAGGGCTCCCAAAACAAATTAGCTAGCATACCGAAAACTAAATGGTTTAGAACAAGACATTTACTCTCTCACAGTTCTAGAGGCCAGAAGTTCAAAGTCAAGGTGTCAGCAGGGCAGATTCCCTCTGCAGACAGATGGAGAACCCTTCCAGGCCACTTCCTAGCTGCTGTTTCTCCTTTTCCTTCTTTTTGATGGGACGGGGGTTTGAACTCAGGGCTTCATATTTGCAAAGCAGGTGCTCTACCACTTGAGCCACACATTTTGCTCATGAGCTATTTGCTCAGGCTGACCTCAGCTGCTGGGATTACAGACGTGAGCCACTGTGCCCAGTCATTCCTCAGTTTCTAATGCACAAATCTTCCTCTCTTCCATAGAAGGATATTGACCATTGAGTTTAGGGCCTTTCTTGACCCACAGTGATTCCATCTAGAGGCCTTTAACTTAATCACATCCTAAAGACCCAATTTCCAAAGAAGGCCACATTCACAGGTCCTGGGCTCTAGGGCTTGGACAGTGTCCTTTTGTGGAGGACACTATTTGACCCCTATACACGTGTTCACTTTGCATCTGTGTGGAAACCATGCTTCTTAGTGCTACTTAAACTTTTTTTTCCTTTCACAGCAGTTGAGAAACTGGTGGGACTGGGGACCTGGGGCTTTGGGGAGCATGAAGTGTGGAAGACTGGAAAGATTGGCTAGGGAGTGGACTCTGCTGCGGAGCGCTGGAGTGGGCTGTATCTCTGGGGATCACGTGGGACCAGTGCCATTGTCTCTTAGGACTGGGGGAGGTTTTATTGGTGCACCTGGAGTCCAGCAGCCTCATTTTGGGGACAGAGTGTCTTTTAGCATCCCCAGGACACCAGGCGCCCCATATTCAGTGTAGGAACAGTGCTGTACATCTGGAACAAAGCCCTGAAGCCTAGCACAGGGTACCAGGCCAAAATTTGATATGGAAATAAGATAGAGTTCATTCTCCATCCTTTGTCCTGTATCTTGCTTCCCAAGTGGACAGGACAGTCCTCAACCTGCCCCGTCCAGGTCTCAGGGCAACAGGGGCAGTGGATGGTGCACACATCCCATGGAGTCTGTGCTTGGGCAGCTCACAGTTGTCTGGCAGGCAGCTCTCTCCTTCTTATGTCACTTTAGCCTTATGTGTCACCCAACAGATCTCCTGGGCCTGTTCATTAAACTGTGTAGGTTAGGTGGGAGGTCAGATGCTCACAACTGAGAACATCCAGAAAGCCTGGCCCTGGGAGGGACTCCAGGCTCCTCTACCAAGCCCTGGCATGGACTTGGCATGAACTTTCATGGAGATGAAAACCAAGCCCCTGTCCTCCTGACAAGGTAGGAAAACAATGAGTGAGGGCAGAGGCCTGTGTTCAGCCAGCACAGGGAACCCAGAATTCAATACCTTGGGGACAACAAGGACAAGTTGACAGTACATGCGAGGCATGTCACAACAGAAACAGTTAGCTGGAGTTAGTGAGCCAGAAAGCAGACTCTGATGGGCCATGGCTTGCTGTACTGCAGAAGTCATGGGGCGGAAAGAGGGAGCTGTGTGGAAGTAGGAGGAGCTCATGTTTGAGAGAGGTGCAAATGCTTAAAGCCAATAAGCTCCCTACTCCTAGCCACTGTGACTCCTCTAGGCCAGGCTGGCACCATATGAGGGCATTTTATTCCATGTTCTACGTGGAGTACTGGGAGCGCTTCCCACAGGTGAGTGACAAGAACCATGTCACAATTCCAGGAGCCTCTGACTCCTGCTGGAGGAGTCTGTGATAGGAAGCCCAGCGGGAGCTCTGTTGGCTGGAGGTGGTCCCTGGCCTGGGTCCCTACTTTACCTAGCACTCACAGTTTCTCAGTCCAGCTCCAGACCACACTGGCCATGCTCCTGGTTGTCCTTCCAACTTATGCTCAGAGGGCTTTTTTGCTACCCTCCAGAGGCAGGTAGGAGAGTTGAGAAGACCAGCTCCTTCACTGTGGAAGGAAGGAGAAAGGCAGCCAAGTGGTGAGGAGGCCAGGGCCAACAGATTTGGAGACATGGCCAAAATAGGCAGGGCTTGCCAGTATGGGGACCAGGCAGGAGCAGAGCTGCTGTGGAAGGACTAAGTGATTCTGGATAGTACCAGGATTCCCAACCACCAGTGAGGGGCAGGAGTATCACCTGCTAGGTGTAGGCAGCAGGCCCAGCAAAGGTGATGTGAGCTAGGGGTATAGCTCAAGTGCTAAATAGCTTGCCTAGCAAGCAAGAGGACCCTAGCTCAAACCCCAGTATGGAAAAAAAAAAAAGAAAGAAAAAAAAAAAAGAATATCTGCTTAGAAAGTACAAAGCCCTAAGTTCAATCCCCAGTGCCGGAAAAAAACAGAATGAAAGAAAGATCACATCCCTTACCAACATCTGATGTGGTCCTCCTGGATTTCAAGTGGGCTGGGGAAGCTGTTCAGAATATGGTCAGTCAGAGGAGAGCAGGGCTATTGTATGTCCCAGTGACCAGAACACCAAGCAAAGACAGGCAGGCTATGAGTGTTTACTGGTAGATACAAACGAGTTCATTCAGGGTGACCCAGTGGGGTGAGATAGCTGTGAGGGCAGGAGGAAGAGGATCTGACCTTAGGACATGGTCCTGGACAAAGAGGGGCCAGGTCTGACCCAGGAGGAGAGGCTGTTGTGACAAAAGGGACAGACTCCAGGAGGGGAGGGACTTGGTGTGCCAAGCATATCTCCCAGGGAGGCGAAGACCACTTAGGCCCCTGAGCATTGTGGACTCCACATTTGTGGAGGTTCCTGGTTGATGATGGCTTTGAGGTCTGCGGTCATGAGTGGGAGTGGCAGGTGTAGGCTTTTCCCCTCTAGCCTTCTCACCCTGTTGAGGCAAATCTGAGGAGGAAGACACCCACGCATTCTGGCGGTAATCACAGTCACCCTGTGCGTGTTGTAAGAGGCCAGACTACTGGGGACCATTGGCACAGTGGAGCAGGGGCACAGGGAGTTGGGTGCTGTCATGGCAGAGGCACGACAGGTTTCTTCCCCTGCTGGAAGAAACCCCTCAATCTCTTGTCGACCCTTGCTCTCCTGTGCCCAGGAAGTAGGTTCTCACTGAGGCACAGGACTGAGCCCCCTCCAGCTGTATTTGCCCTCCCTGAGAGGCCTGCTAGGGACACCACTCTAGACGCTCCAAGAATGTGGCACTTCCTCCCCAAGGACCAGCACTCCCTTCTCCTGGCTAGGTACTACCCCTTCCTACCTACTGCACCAGCCAGAGTCTGCGATCTCCTAGCCGCCCCCCACCTCCATCTGCAAATACTATCCAGATGTCTCCCTTGTGTGTCACTTCTCTGGGTTCTCACCATCCCCTGCTCCAAGCCCAGCTCTGGGCTGCATTGCCCGCTGTCTGCACTGTGAGGTGACAGATGTTTGAGACCTCACAGTTTTTGAGCCCCTGTATAGCTAGACAGCCTCATGTATAAATTGACATTTGGCACCAGAAATACTACATGATATTAACTTTCTAAAACAAATGTAGATGCTCAGGGCCAGGTTTCTGGGTGACACTCCACCTTGCTATGTGTGGGACGCTCACTCACTGCCTGGGACAGGTAGGTGTCCAGTGCTTTCAGTAGCTTCCATGTGGCCCAAGACTTTCAGGCAGGCCCTGTAGTCCCATCCCCAGTGGCCCCTGCAGTAAGGCCCCCTGCCAGACTCCTGAGGCCTCCGACTGGCCTGTTTCATGGCACAGGCTTGGCCTCATAGGATCTCATGTTCACCTCCCCACCAGCTGTCTGTCTGTGGTCTGACTGCCTCCTGCCGCCTGCTACAGCTAAGTGGCTTGGTCCCTAACACCCTTTTCCACATTGGAGTTAGTGCACCTTAAATTCTCTATCCTTGGCCCATGACACCCCAACTGCTCCCAGAGAACCTAGACATCCTGGCTACAGCAACTGCTTCATGGGGTTGGCAAGGATCAGGGCCAGAAAAGGTGGCTCTCTGATAGGCACTGCTGCCCTGGGCTCCCTGTCCTAAGGCCTTTATATCCCCTCAGGCTTGACCCTCTGGACCCAACCTGGGGCTGATGCCATGTGACAGTCTTAGAGCCTACCTCTGCCAGTTGGTCCTGAAGGCAGCCTCTGGTGCCTCAGAAAGTGTGGAGAAAGGGGAAGAGCTCAGGGCGGCCTCAAGAAACACAATGGCCAGGCTGATGACCACAGGAGGACACAGCCTGAGGGACCTAAGGGATGGCTGCTGAGAGGAGTGACGCAGCTGGGAAGCAGAGACTGCAGAGGCCTGAGTGAACCAGCTGAAGCAGAACCTCTGGGACAGGCACTGGGTCTTCTCTGGCCCTGTCTGCAGGGCTCTGGAGGTGCTGCTAGGTATCATTGGGCTCAATGCAAGTGAGCCCTGGCGTTGCACGTGACAAGGAGCCTGCATGACCCTGGAGTTACCGCCTCACTTCGCAGAGAGGAAAGTCAATCCTGACGAAGTTAAAAAGACTCACCACAATCCACCGCATGGAAGTATTGAGTGGGGACCAGCCGCGGGCGAGGAAGACCTTTGGAAACCCTAGATAGACTTCCATGCCTCATCCTGACTGCTTCTTGCTGCAGTCGCAATGGCGGATGACGTGGTCCGAGAAGTTCAAAGGACCCGCTGGGGAGTGAGAATGAGAGTCCATCCAACTCAAGGCGGTCTGGGAGACCAAGACTAGACCGCCGGTGGCCGCCAGGAGGCGCTACTGCGCCGCGGAAAAGCGGGCTCGACTGGGGGCGTGGCCTGCAGTCACCGCCCCCCCATGTGCGGGGCTCACGTGCAGGACGCGCAGGCGCGTTGTGTACCTTTCCGCAGGGCCTGCTGGGCGCCGGGAGCTCTGCGGCGGAGCCTCGCGGAGCGCGGAGGAGGCATGTGGTGGCCGGTGAGGATCCCCTCGCTTCGGACCCAGCTCCAGACCCCAACCCCGCATGCCCGGGACCCCCGTCCCGGGACCCCGACTTCACCGGCCCCATCCCGGCCCTCCAGCCCTAGGGCTCTTGAGAGCTCTCGCACCTTCAGATTGCCTCTGGCCCCCAGGCCCTTCGGGGAGACCCAGCACCACTTGATAGTCCATGAGAGGTCTCAGCCCCCAGGGTCCTCTCCCCCGGGGACACATGGACGCTCCTGCCCCTGTCTGTCGCGGACCCTCCCGTCCGCTCTGTTGCTCGGGTTTGCGGAGCGAATCCGCCGTCCCCGCCCCTCCCTGACTCCCCGGCTTCAGACCCTGGAGATGTCCTCGCTTTCCCCTGGCCTTGGAGGCTCCTTGGATTATGGTCCTTTACGCAGCCGTGTTCCTTTCAGCTTGGACTTTTCTGCAGAGCTTGTTTTTTCTAGTAAGCATGGCCTTGTAGGCTTAGATACTGATAGACAAGAAATTCAGTTAACTCGTGGCCTGCGGTGCGCAGCTGTGGAGTGAGAGTGTTTTCTGGGCTGACATGATGGGGCTCTGTTAGTCTGAGAGTCAGGCAGAGACCCTGGGCTGGCCTTTGCGACCGTGCTTTATAGTTGCAAACTTCTTTACATGTCCAGGTCACTTAATCCTCTAGACAAGACCCAGGGAGTGGACAAGCAGGTGTTATCGCCTGACTTGAAGTCGTCCAGGACCAGCAAGGGCAGCTGGGTCCCTCTGGGTCCAGCTTCTGAGTTCTGGCTGGTTCTGAGAGGGCCACACGGTCTTGGAAGAGGGTAGGGCATTCCTGGTCACTAGACCCCTGTCTCCTGGCCCAGATTCCCAGTCTTCATTTTCTGACTTTGGGGATGGTTCTGTGCTGTTTCCTCTCCTGTTGAGGTGCACAAGGGCTGTGGACCCTGCTGTTAAGTGCCCGGTTCTGGTTGCCTTTTTTAGTTTTTCTGTTGCAGGTCTTACCCTGAGTCTCAGCAGTTGTTTCTTCTTGTCCCAGACTGATTTGTCTGGTCGCCTTTCATCCTCCTCTAATGGTCTGTGCCTGATTCACAGGGTGTTGGAAAATCACAGGGTTCAGCTTGTACTTTTAGTGTGAGCACATGTGCTCATGGTTCTGCCAGCACACACACTTTGCTTTGTGAACTTTGTTGTATCTGTTAAGAGTTATTTTTGCTACTTCATAGGTTTCTGTCAGTCACTGGAGAGGAACTCTGGATAAGTGTTTCTTTCTGCAGACAGACCATGCACACACTCCTTTGTAGAAGGCATAGGGCTCTTGTCTAAACTGCAGGGGGGGAGGGGCTGCTGGGACCATTGTAGGCCAGTACTATCCCAGGCAGACCAGAGTGTGTAATCCGGGTGGTAAGGGACTGCTGTGTGGGAGAATGTCCTGGGACCAATCCTGGCCTGTTTGCGAGTGGTTTAGTGGTAGGGTTTGGGTGATTTGTGGTGTGGTGGGAATTGCTCTAGATTGGGTTCTAAGAAGTATGGCTGCAGGCTTGGCTCCATATGCTCTTTTTGGGCTCTGGTAGTTTATTTCATGTGGTGGGGATTTGAGATATAGCTTGAGAGTGCTGGGTATTCCACCTGGAGGGAGCCAGGCACTTGAATTGCCCTATTGGGGCTCTGGAGTTGTCAGCACCAGGTTTTGTTCACTTGACATCCTGTGCAGGGCCAGAATGCCCTCTCTTTCCTGACTCTGACCTTCTGCCAATTGCCTGGCAAAGGGCCGTGTGGAATCTGGTTAGTCCTGTGTTTGTCCACCGTTGCCAGCAGACACTTACCAGAATGCCCCTGGTAATTCCAGCCCCATCTTTGATGCTAGAAGTGCAAAGGGCTTGAAAGGTGAACCCTGCTTGCAGTCCAGTCAGGAGATAGATACCATCCCCTCACTGTCATGCCAGCCTGACCTGAGGACTGTGGGAGAGGAGTGTGTAAGATGCAGAGGCACCCAGAGAAAGAGGAGGCAAGGGCTGACAAAGTGGCTCAGGTGGTAGAGCGCCTGCCTCGCAAGCAAAAGGCCCTGAGTTCAAACCCCAGTGCCACCAAAAAAAGGAGGCAAGACCAGGAGGATGGGGGTGGGACGGAGGGGGTTGCAGGCAGGACAGCAGCCAGGGGTCTATTAGGAAGATCTTTGTTCTGGATTCTGTGTGGGGAATAACAAGATACAGCCAGAGTTCTTACTGCAGTGCTGGTTCCACAGAAAACTGGGGCCTGTGGTTGGAGGCCATGGTGCTCCTGGCTAGTGATGCACTGGGTGTTATGTGCTCCAACCTCAGCTTCCCCATCAGAGCCCTGACAGTGGCTGGCAATTATCAGGAGCTGGGGGCACACCCAGCACTTCTGGCTTCGTTTTTGCTTTGTTTTGTTTTTCCGAGATAGGGTCTTGCTACATAGCTTAGGCTAGCCTCAAATTCGAGGACCTCCTGCCTTAGACTCCTAAATGCTGGGATTACAGATGTGCACCACCACACCTGTCTTGTAGCTTCATTTAAAAGTAATTCAAATGTAGTATTCTTGCCTGTAAAAGAACCATCTGTTTTAATGTAAAAATGATGTAGAAGTTATTTGTCAGGTGCCTTGACTTGTTCTCCCAAACCCTTGGGTACAATGTCCTCAGCACTGTGACTGGGGATCCCTGCACATGTGGGATTTTAATACAGGATGCTGAGGCCAGTTTACCAGTGGAAAGGGTGTGGGCTGAAGGAACAGTTAGACGAGGTCCCACCCTCAGCTTTGCCAGCAGGGTCAGCTGTGTACTGTATGATCAATCTATGTGAAAGTCCCTATTATGAACACCCACCTTTCCTGGCATGCTTCTGAGCTCCGAGTGAGCTCACCTCTCCAGCCTCACAAGGTGCCCTCTTTCACAGGTGAGAGGTGTGAGAGAAGGTCCCCTTCCCAGGCACACCAGGTAAAGGGCAGTGAGGTGGGCAGACCTGGCCAGCCTTGCACAACTTGGCACTCAGCACTTGAAGGGCTGTGTGCACCTGCCAGCACGAGGGTGGATCTGGACACTGCCACTGCACTGATGTCATCAGAAAACCTGAGGGGCACTGACCGTTGAGGCCTGTTTGAGGCTGGAGAAGCCTGTGCAGGCTTCTCCTTTGGAGGTAAGCCCTCCTGGGGCTCCTTCAAGTTCCCCTGAAGGACTGTTCACCTTTTCTGGCAGAGGTGGTCAGACATGGAGGGTGTACCCTCTTGGCGCAGCTCTCCCACACGCCTTCTCTAAGTCAGAAATACTGTGGGGTGCAGGCCCCTCTGGTGGCAGCTGTGTGACGGTGGGTTCAGCCCATGGTCTTGGGCAGTATGCATGAGTCCCAGCCTGGCCCCGCTCCTGTTCACCTCAGTGTGGGTGCCTGCAGCCTCTGCCCTGCTCCTCCAGCTCCTTGCCTTTGGCCAATCTGCTTGTGGATCCTTCTCTTTTGAATGCTGAGTCTCAGAGTAATCCCTATCTGTCATTGTTGGCACAGCTTCTGAACCAGTGGCTCCCGCAGGCAGCTCGCCTCACCTCCCCTTCTGCTCCAGTTAGCCAGAGCACTCTATAACCTGCCTGCATTGTTGGAAATGGTCTCCTTTCTCTTCTGAACTAAACAAACCTTTTTCCTTTTGAAAAGCATTGGGAAGCTGACACTCTTAATAGAGAATCCAGCCAAGCAACTGGATATTGGTCATCTGGGGTGAGGTGGGCAGGGGCACTGGAGACCAGCCAGGGGCTGGTGCAGAGGAGACCTTGGAGACTGTTGGGGATTCTTGACCCCAGTGTGGGATTCCAGCATGGCCTCAGTGCCTGCTGGCAGCCACTCCCAGCACTTGCTGTGTCAGCCACTGCTCCAAACCAATTTGCAAATGGCTTTGTGGGCTTGATTCACACTTTAATTGTGCAGTAATACTTGCTTTATGAACACAGAAACTGAGGCAGAGAGGAACATACAGGTCACATGGCTGGTAAGGGCCCGGGTCATGATTTCAGCCCCCAAAGCCCATCCAGTCTGCCAAGGTTCTCAGCTTCACCTGCACCTGCAGTGAGCCCGTGCACTTCTCTTGTGAGTGGCCTCCTGCCCCCATCTCCTTGTTGCCAAAAGCACCCTTCCTCCAAGTTCATATCCTGGCACAGAATCACCCCAGGTGAGGACCCTACCCTTTGCTAGCTGCCTCATGCCACTTTCTTATCTGGGACTTTCAGAATCAAAGCACATTTCTTGTAGCTTTTTTTGTCGTGTGCTGCTGGGGATTGAACCCAGGGTCATGTGCATAATAGGCTCAGTTCTACCACTGAGCTATACCCTTCACCCTTTTTTTTTTTTTTTTTTTTTTTGGTGGCCCTGGGTTTGAACTCAGGGCTTTATGCCTGCTAGGCAGGTGCTCTTACTGCTTGAGCCACTCTGCCAGCCCTTTTTATGTGATGGTTTTTTGGTTTTGTTTTGTTTTTTTTGAGATAGAGTCTCCTGAATTAATTGCCCAGGGCTGGATTTGAACCTTAATCCTTCTGAGTAGCTAGGGTTATAGGCGTGAGCCACGGCACCAGCCAGCCCCTCTTTTTTTTTTTTTTTTTTTATCATATAGTAAAAGTAATAGTAAAGTTTATTAGGAAAAAAGTTTAGCATAACAAGTTAAAAGTAGGGAGAAATGGGATAAAAAGAGAAACATTTCCTGTCCTCCCATGCAGGAAATGGGAGCTAAGACTTCCCCATCCTTCAAAAATGTTTGTTTTCAGACAGGTCTCACTGCGTGTCCCAGGAGGCCCTCAGTCCTGTGCATGACAGTCCTGCCTCAGCCTCCCAATTAGCTGGGATTACAGGTGTGGAACACTACCTGGCATTTCACAATTTTTACAAAAAACATTCTTTTCCCAATTGTACCGTAATACTTTATTGTACAACTTGTTATTTTTAGTTGACACATAATTATATATTCAGTGGGTTCAGTGCAATATTTCAACAGGTGTATACTAACATGCTGTGATAAAATCAGGGTAAATTAGCATATCCATCACTTCAGGAGTTCATCACTGAAAGTATTTAACCTGCTGGGGACCAGTGCCAGTGGCTCACACCTGTAATCCTAGCTACCCAGGAGGCTGAGATCAGGAGGATCACAGTTTGAAGTCAGCCTGGGCAGTTTGAGAAATCCTACCTTGAAAACAAACCCATCACAAAAAAAAAAAAAAAAAAAAAATGGCTGGTGGACTGGCTTGAAGTTGTAGACTCTGTACCTCCAAAAAAAAAAAGAAAGATTTTAACCTATAATTAGTTGTCCAGATATTTACTGACTAGAGCTATCTATTATTAATGTGCTGCCTTGGTGTTTTCTATTTCTACTTGAAAACAAGTATTTTTGTTGTTGTTATTAGACAATTTGAAAGTATGCCCGGACATTTAACATGCATCCCCCAAGCAAGGACATGTTCTCATGTGACCGTGTGTCTTCTCATGCCTAAACATACTAATAATTCCCTAATGGTCTGTTGCTGAGTTCACATTCAGATTTGCCTGTTGTCCTGGGAATCTCTTCTGGGTGTTCTTTGAATTGGGACCTGGTCATGGCTTACACTATACCTGGTATGGTATATGAGTGATTGCCTAAGCTGTGTCGGCAGTACTTTGGCAGTACTAGGGTTCGAACTCAGGAACTCACACTTTCTAGGCAGGCACTGTACCACTGAACTACCCTACCAGCCCACCTTCTTCACTCTGTTAGGGAAGTTGCAGGTATTTATAGAGCAGCGAGAGTTAACAAGCACCCACACTGTTGGTTCAGATCGTGACTCACAGTGGCTTTCTTGATTGGAGAGTGTCTTGCTCTTGAGATTGCTTGCTGTATTTCAGGGTCACCGATAACACCCATGGAACACCAGGTGCAGCTGGTGGCTGGCAGCTGGTGTCATTCCTTATCCAGGGGCTTTGGTCTTGCTGGGAAGGTCAGAACCACTGCAAAACCCCTGAGGGCCACTGGAGTAGCAGGAGGGATGCAATGATGGTAGATACCCTTGGGACTCAGGCACTGGCCTTGGGTCATTTTGCCCAGAATCCACTTGGGTCTGGCCTCCTCCCGCTGCCCTCTGAGGGTGTGGCCTCTGCTCAAGTGGGGTCCCAGTCCAGCCCAGATTCCACTCCCTTCCTTTCTGCTGGACAGCCTTAAAACATCCTGCCCAGCTCCAGCTTGCTTTGTGCTCACTCTTTTCTTTTGGAGTGGATCTTCCAGTTCTAAGCACAGGTTCTGCTTTCCAGCCACACTAGCCTGGCCCCACTCCTCAGAGATACTCTGCTGTCCTGGCCTCAGGCCTCTGAGGACACCATGTCCACATGGAAGTCCCACCTGCTGCCTAGATCTCAGGGTTGCCTCGCCCTGTGCTGTATTGACTAGCCCTGGAGCTCTGTCTCAGGCTCCTTGGGGGAGGGCTATCTTGAGTGAGTGCCATGTCCAGTGAGGAAGAGTGAGGCCAGGGGCTCCTGGGTGAGGCAGAGATGTTTGGGATTACAGCTGAAGCCAGCCGCCCTGCACTGACTTGCTAGCTTGTGCTGAGTGTCCCTCCACAGCCATGGTCATAGTTGCTGTCCTTTGGGCTTGCCGTTATGCATGCCCTGGCACTGGAGGTGGCCAAGGTCAGGAGGTGTGTGTCAGATGGGCCAGAGATACGATGGTGCCCATGAGTCTCATCTGCCTGAGGGCTGCTCTTCTTGCCTCTGGTTTTCTTGAGAATCAGGGCCTGCTGTGTGTGGCTTGCTGAGCAGAGGGTTTGGTCAGCCCCTGTTCTCCTGGGATGACAGGTCATGGACTTTGTCTTTTGTGTTGTTTTGAAGTCCTTGACATTGTCTGCAAGGTTGTGTGCCTTATCCAGAAGGCAGTTGGGACACATCTGCCCCATAGTGTGATATGGTGCAGGCTTTTCTCTTAACACTAACTTGTTAGAAGAATTCACAGTTGAACTTTTAAAACCTCATAGTTAGCTGGGCACTAGTGGCTCACACCTGTCATCCTAGCTACTTTGGAGGCTAAGAACTGGAGGATCACAGTTAAGGCCTGTCCAAGCAAATAGTTCACAAGACCCCATCTACAAAACAAGTGGAGTAAAATGAACTAGAGGTGTAGCTCAGTAGTAGAGTGCCTGCTTTGCAAGTATGAAGCCGTGAGTTCAAACCTCAGTCCCACCAAAAAAAAAAAAAAAAGACCTCACAGTTCAAGTAAGATTGGGAGCCAGGTGCATTGGTGTTCAAGCCTGTGGTCCTAGCTTCTCAGACAGTGGAGGCGGCCAGGGGCCAGTGGCTCACACCTGCAATCCTAGCAACTCAGGAGGCAGAGATCAGGAAGATTGTGGTTCAAAGCCAGTCTGGGCAGATAGTTTGTGAGACCCTATCTTGAAAAAACCCATCACAAAAAAGGGGGAGAGGGACTGTGGAGTGGCTCAAGGTGTAGGCCCTGAGTTCATGCCCCACTACCACAAAAAAAGAGGTGGAGGCGGGAGGATCACTTGAGTCCAGGAGTCTCAGGCCAGCCTGAGCAATATAGTGAGACCCTATTTCAAAGAAACAAGAACAAAAGAACAAGGTTGCCAGTGAGTGTCTGAGACAGTGGTGCTTCGATGGCCATGAGCAGAAGGCTGCCCACTGGCCAGAGTCTTGTGTCTCAGCAGCAGGAAATAGTAAATGACAGACAAGTCACAGGTGCAACCAAAAGAATGATGGTTGGTCTTGTCACAGATGGGTCAGATCATGATGCAGCCTCTTCCTGCAGGCAGTAAAGAGACATTCAGAGATTTCAAGCCCCTGGGCCTTTCCTCCTGGATATATTGCCCTCAGCCTTGCTCCCAAGAGGTGGCTTGTCTCTTCATTCCAGAGTCCAGGGGGGAGCCTGGAAGCACATACAGTCTGAAGATGTACTTGAGTAGGGAATTTAGCTTGCTGGAACTTGACTCTAGGCCCACGTGAGTGCCAGGAGGTGGCGAGGTCTGAGGGCTTGTTCCTGCCTCTGCTGAGCCCAAACTGCTTTCTTTGCAGGTGCGACTGTGCCACTTCCACTCCGCTCTGCTGCGGAGCAGGCAGGAGCCCTGGCCATGCCCTGCCACGTTCTTCAGGAGAAATTTCAGGGGTCCATCTGCAAGGTAACAAGTCCCCTGTAGCTTCAGGCATGTGCCCTTCCCCAGGCAGGGAGGTGACCATCTGTGCAGCATAGAGATGGGAAAACTGGCTTCACAGCTTACTGCTAGGGGCCAAGCTGGGCTGCAGGGGGGTGGGGGGAAGAGGGGACTGCAGGTCCCCTGCAGGTATTAGTTTTCCTGAGAATACACACATTGTCCTCACCCCCAAGCCCTGAGAGGTGCCAGGACAGGCTGGCCTGAGGAGTAAGTCAGGAGGTGGAGGGCCCAGCTGGACCTTCTGTGGCTCCAAGACAGGGTGCATTGCACCTCCATGCAGTGCCCTGGGACCCGAGAGCAGGCACGCTCGGGGTAGATACTCCCTATAGCAGCGCCACCATGAGCAGACGCTGGCAGATCACCAAATAAACAGGAGGGGTGGGATTGCCATGGGCTGGCTCACGCCAGGGGTGGGAGCACTGGAATAGATGCGGGTGAGTGCGTCCTCTCTCAAGTCATGGCTTGGTGAGCAAGGCGAGGGTCCTTCCTCCCAGTTACTACACATAGGCCCTTTGTGGGACAGATAGGACACTGGATGTGGTCACAGGCTATGCTCCAACTGCTACCGTGTTCAGTGTGTGTTGGTGCCTGCTATATTGGGCAATATGCAGCTTCTTTCCCTTGTTTTGAACTCTCACATAATACATTGACCTCTGTATTTCCAGGTCTCACCGTCCCATCCCAGGACTTATGATCTAGTTGAGTCATCCCAGTGGGGATGGTGGCTGGGCTTCTGGACAGTGCAGGTGGCCCTAGTCTGGACTGTAGACCTGCCTTTGAGCTGTGCCAACCTGGCTGAGAAGCCTAGGGAGACTTGCCCCTGGGACGCCTGGCATCCATACTGTTACGGGCTCAGGGACTGGGATGTCTGGCTAGGTGGCCTTGCACACAAGAGCTCTGGGCGAGGGAGGAAGGGAGCCATGGGCCATGTGCCCAGCCTCGTGGGAGCAGCATTCCCAGTGCCTGCCCACATGTCCCCTCAGAGTCTCGAGACCTACACTGCTATGGAGGAGGGTACTCCCCATCACCGTGGTGGGGGTGCCCCTGCTCCTTGGAGTACGCTATTTCACAGCAGAGGCACAGGAGAAGAAGAAACTGCGGCTTGCGGTGGATGGCCTCGGGCGCTTCGGCAGGTAGGAGAGGCTGAGGCAGTGCGGAGGCAGGTGGTGGTGTGGCCTTCTCCCCGCCCACCTCAGATGGCTATGGGGTGGAACTCCAGGTGTCCTTTACTGGGTGGGCAGTGCAGTGTATAGTTGAGGGGCCATCAAAAGAGGGTCTCATGCTGGACATAGCCTCAACAGACCCTTCCACATAAGCCTTGATCTTTGAGCAGGGGCCACTAGCCCTGGACAGACAGCTGTCCACTTTCCTTCTCACCCCACCAGATGGAGTGGCTTGGGCCCAGGCGGAGTGGCTGTCCCACTCCTAGCACGTTGCTAAAGGTCCTTCACACTCCTTCCTCTCTGTGCATTGGGGTGGCGTTCCCACTGAGCCCAGGCTCATGGGTGCCAGCTCTTGGCATTGAGAGACCTCAGTTAACATGAAGCCCCTTGGGATGGTGCTTCCCATCCAGAGCTTACTCCATTCCGCTCTGCTGCCTTCTGGGGCTGGGTCTCAGGATTCCCAAGGTCCTCAGGCATTTCATCAAATGCTTCGTTGAGATTAACTCCAGCGGTCATCATGAGCACCCTGGTGGCTGGATGCTTGAACATTTCCAGCCTTGAGAACAACGGTTATTCCCCATGCCTGTCCCCCTAGCTGGTTTTCCTGGAGCTTGTAGGCGTTCCCAATGACGGGTTAGTAGTCCTCTCTGTTCCTGCACTGACTCAGCAGGAAGATGGGTTTCACAGTTTGTCACTAGGGGCCAAACTGGGCTAAGTCTGCATGCTCCCCACTTCCAAACCAATGGGTACTGGAGAGGCAGGCCTGGGGAACATCCCTAGGTAGGCCCAGGGCCCCCTGGAACACAGGGTAGCAAAGAGAAGCCCAAGGAAGGCACAAGCTGGGAGTAATTTAGGGCCAGACCAGCTCACCACAAGAATAGGGCTGGGAGCAAGCTGCATAGGAGAGCAGAAGAGGGGTGGGAGGTGCCCGGTGTTCAGGCAGGATTTCTCACTCTGAGCCCTGTGCTCTTATACATAGGCCCCCTCATCCCCAGCTCACATTTTAAAACTTTTTCTTTTTTTTTTGAGACAGGCTTTCACTAAGTTGCCCAGGCTGGTGTTGAACTTTCAATCCTTCCATCTCAGCCACTTGAATAGCTGGGATTAGGGTCATGCTCCACCATGCCCAGCTTCCCTTTGTTTTTTGAAATCATTTCAAATGTTCAGAAAAGTTGTAAGAATAACACAAAAAACACTTTTTTCTTTTTAATTTGAGAATAATCTGTGAACATGCTGGGTTACCCCTCAATGCCTTAGTTTATGTTCTGTGTAAACTAGGGTGCTCTCTCATATAACCACAGTCAGGAGGTGCAGCACTCCTGGCACTCAGATGCTGAGGCAGGACGATCATGAGCTCCAGGCCAGCTGGAGCTACAGAGCAAGACCCCGTCTCAAAGCAAAACCTGACACACCACAACCTTCTGGCCTGCAGACTCCATTCACTTCACCAGGTGAAGTTTCCTGGGAACATCTGTTAGTGATAGGATCAGTCCTGGGTCGTTGGTGGCACCTCTAAAGTAGCCTCAGCGTCTCCTTGGCTTTCATGACTGCTCAAGGTGGGCCAGGCTCAAGGTTAAAGGGAGAGTTCTCCAGACCGCCACAGTTGCCCAGAATTTCTGACATCAACTACACATTTAGGGGTCCCTGGGGCCACCCTCACTTCACACTAGCTGAAGTGAGATGGCTCTACAATTTTGGGTCCCTGCAGACTTTCCTCAGTTTTTTGTTTTGTTTTGGCACTGGGGATTGGCCTAGGGCCTTGCATACGCTGGACAAATGCTCCACTGCTGGCCACACCCCAGCCTCTCAGTTTTGATAGCTCTCTACAGTGATCCCCAATTATAGCTGTGTGATAGCAAGAGCCAGGAGAGGAAGAGACACCCATGGCATTTAGAACTTTGGGATCCTCCTGCCACCTGTATGGGACACTGCACATGCAATATTGCCCACCCAGAAATCCCATCTGAGCCTAGGTGGTTTTTTGGCGCTACAGGGGGATTAAACTTGGCCTCACACTTGCTAAGCTGGTGCTCTCCCACTTGAGCCACACTGCCAACCAGTGTCCAGGGCTTTCAATATGCAGGCATGGCTGATTGACTCACTGCCCCCCCCAGCCTCTGAACGCTAATCACATTGCTGGCATAAACTATCAGGGCCCATAATGAGTAACAGATGCTTCTGTTACTTGAGAGATTGCAAGGGTTGAGGCAGTCAATCCCCAAGAAACAGATGGTTGTGGTGACGCAGTGCTCCCCCAGATGGACCTACACCACGCCAGACGAGGGACAGACATTCACTGTGAATGGACTCGCTCTTCTCATTCTGCCAGCAGGTCCCTCGCTTCTCTGCCCCACCTATGGGTGGTGCACGGAAGGCAGGACTGTGGCATCTGGCTTGACCCTCACCTTCCTTGCCCTTTCCTCAAGGTTGGGGACCGAGATGAACAGAAGAGGGGGTCACCCCTCCTGCACCCTGGTGCTTTTGTGGCGGGTGGCCCCCCCTGTGGTGGGGAGGGCTGTGTGCCCCGCACTGTGCCACATGTCCTCCTTGGTTTTTTTAATATTTCAAAAAAAAAAAAAAAATCCGCAGAAAAAGTGCAAAGGCCTGGCCTTTAAGGTAGTTTTTCACCCTCGGAAGGTTCCAAGTCTCCAGGCTGTTAAGTTGTACAAGAGGAGTTGGCTAAGTATGGTCCTTGGGCCAAATGCAAGTGCCCAGTGTGGGCCTTGTAAATAAAGTTTTATCAGAACACACAGCTCCTGGGCTGTTTTCATTGCAGAGGCAAAGTGGCCAAGATGTCCGTGAAGCCACTGACCAGATACTGGAGCAGTTGCTGTCTAACCTGCAGGAAAGCTGTGCCCACTGTCCCCTCAACTTGGGGCTTGTCTGACAGTGTGCAGGCTGACACAGGTGACATGTGCTGTGTTGTTTCCAGCCAGCTGGCACATACCTGTGTCCCTCAGATTCTACTGCTTGGTTCCTTATCATCATTCTGTATCCAGCAGGGCACTGAAATGATACCGCTGTCCACCTCACTGCCCCTCCACTCACTCTCAGTACAACCTGATGGTGTCAAATGGTGGTTTTTCTAACTCATCACTCAACATTTCTTGCTTGACATCTTTCTGTAATGTCTTCTCCCATTTATACATTAACTTATGCACACCAGTAGAGTATCAGACATTTCTGCTTAATTGTGAAGTGTTCCAAATTTGGCTTGCCAGGGCCACTTCAACCTGGCTTGTGTCCTCCCCCAACCATTTACTTACTTCATTAATTTTGCAGTACTGGGATTTGAACTCAAGGCTCTTGTGAGCCACTTTAGCCACACCCCGAACCCTTTTAGCTTTAGTTTATTTTTGCCTATGCTGGCTTTGGACCATGATCTTCCTACTTCCAGCGTAGCTGGGATTACAGCTGTGCACCACTATTCCCATTTCTTAACTCCCTTTTTAAAAAATCGCCATTTTTTTGGAGAAGGCAGTATTGGGGTTTGAACTCAGGGCCTCGCACATGCTGGGACCACTCAAAATCTTTTAACATTTTTTCATGAAAAACTTTTTAAACCACCATGTTGAAAATGCTCTATGGGGGCCCATATATATATCCACTGCTAGTTTTACTATTAATCTTTCCATGTCCTTCAACTCCTGTCCTTTCTGAGCATTCTGGCCCCTCCTGGAACTGGTGGTGTGGAATGGGCACCCCAGCCTCGTCCTGGTTTTCCACTGCTCAGCTGTTCTCCAAGGAGCCTGGTGCCTCAAGTAGAGACCTGGTAGAGTGATGTTGCACCCAGGCTTCTGCAGACCAGGTCTGGGGCTGTGCTTGTGCGTGCACACCACTCGCGTTTACCTCTACATGTCCAGTCTTGGATAGCAGAGGCCCCCATGTTCACAAGACACCTACTACTCCAAGCAGGATCATCCCCATCTCTTCCTTTGTGTTTCTGTCATCCTCAGTGCTGTGCTTGTAGCCATCACCTTCACGTTGGGCCACTAAATACTATTGCTCAGAAAGACGGGCATCCCCTGGAGACTCGGGAACCTCAGAAGAGCCCTGGGTCCTTTGCTCACTCTGCTACCAGTGCAGATTCCTGTTGTCTTCTGTGTCCAGCTTGTGGAGTAGAGTTCAGCAGGTGCAGGGCATGGCCTAAGTGCATCACTACTGTGGTGACAGAAGCACCTACATCCTGGCAAGGCAGGGCCCTTCCCATTGGAGTCTGAGACCTCCTGTCTTTTCATTCTGGGCCCTCCTGTGGCGGAACAGCTAAGCCTGCTGAGGCCTTCCAAAAGGGACCTGGCCTTGCATCCTCCCATGCTGAGTAGCAGGAGCTGTACAGACAGTCCTCACCAGACTATTCTAGCTAGGCTGTGAGAGGAGAGCAGGGTCCTCTCAGGCCCACAGAAGTCCATAAAGAACTGCAGTGAGGGCTCCAGCTCTGAGAACTCCCCACCTCAGGGCTCCATCCACAGGAGCAATAGGTAACCTTGCTTTTCCAGATCTTGCAGACCCTCCTTTCCTCTCTGCCTTGCTGGTGACCTTCCTGTGACTCTGCTGCCTCCATTCCCAGCACTGCCCCCTCCCATCCACCCTGCTTCTCTTGGGTGCCCATGTGTCATAGGCAGGAGGTGGCTTTGTGCAGGACTGAGGCTGAGATGCACCTGCAGGCCCCAAGTAGAGGGGCCAGACATGCCCTAGGAGCTCACAAAGAGTCTGAGCAGCTAGAGGCTGGACCCCAGCCCAGCATCCCCTTGGGCACAGCAGCGGGCAGAGCCTAGACCTTGAGAGGGCTCAGGACACAGGACCCCATGGGAGTCCCCAGAGCCAGCATGACAGGGCTGAAGCCTCTCTGCCTACAGGTCCCTGAGGATTGGCCTAAACATCTCCCTGGACTACTGGTGGTGCACAAATGTCGTCTTGCGAGGAGTGGAAGAGGTTTGTCCTCCTGTCCTGGGCATGAGGGGAGCATGCTGGAGGTAGCAGGTGCTGGGGGCTCTAGAGAGTGGACACCTGCCCCCAGCTTCCCCTCCATGCCTGTGGTCAGAACAGCCCGGAGTATGCAGAAGTGATGTCTGCGTGTCACCAGCGGGCAGCTGATGCACTGGTGGAGGGGGCCATACGCAACGGGGGACTGTATGTGAAGCTGGGCCAGGGGCTGTGCTCCTTCAATCACCTGCTGCCACCCGAGTACATCAAGACACTGCGTGTGCTGGAAGACAAAGCCCTCACGCGGAACCTCGGGGAGGTGAGCCCTGTCCACAGGAGGGCAGAGAGGCTGTCACTTTAGCCCTGGTGTCACTCCAAGTACATGCTTGTGCCAGGTGGATGAGTTGTTCCTTGAAGACTTCCGTGCACTGCCACATGAGCTTTTCCAGGAGTTTGACTACCAGCCAATTGCTGCTGCGAGCCTGGCCCAGGTGCACCGTGCCAAGTTGCACAACGGCACTGCAGTAGCTGTGAAGGTGCCTGGGTCATCTTGGAATGGGTGGGCTCTGGGCTTTGGTGGTGGCCCCAGTCTCATAGCGCTCCTGCCTGCTGCAGGTGCAATATGCTGACCTGCAGGACCGCTTTGACGGGGATATACATACACTGGAACTCCTGCTGCAGCTTGTGGGGCTCATGCATCCCAGCTTCAGCTTCAGCTGGGTCTTGCAGGTAGTGCCACCACTGCTGGGAACTGTAGTCTGGAGATAGCTGGTAGTGGGCACCAAGCCTAGAACTGACTCAAACCATCCATTTGTGGCTCCCAGGACCTGAAGGGGACCCTGGCCCAGGAGCTGGACTTCGAGAATGAGGGCCACAATGCTGAGCGCTGTGCACGGGAGCTGAAGCACTTCAACTATGTTGTGGTCCCTCGTGTACACTGGGACAAGTCCAGCAAGGTGGGCTGGCCTGGGCCCTTCCTTGGGGGGGGGCGGGAGAACCAGCAGCATGGGTCCACTGAGCTCAGCCTCACTTTCTCCCAGCGCGTGCTGACGGCCGACTTCTGTGATGGCTGCAAGATCAATGATGTGGAGGCCATCAAGAGCCAGGGGCTGGCAATGCAGGATGTGAGTGCCGTGTGCTGGGGCAGGGCAGTGGCTACGGCCCATGCCCACCCCACAGCTCATCCTTTTCCCAGGTAGCAAAGAAGCTGATCCAGGCTTTTGCAGAGCAGATATTCTACACTGGTTTCATCCACTCAGACCCCCACCCTGGCAATGGTAGGAAAGCCCCCAGGGGTGGGGTCTTGGTTGGGAAGGACACAATCTAACACGCTGTCTCTAGTTCTGGTGCGGAGAGGTTCGGACGGGAAGGCAGAGCTGGTGCTGCTGGACCATGGGCTCTACCAGTTCCTGGATGAGAAGTAAGATGGAAGAGGCGCCAGTGGGCTGGCCTCCTTGGGCCCCTCTCACTGCAGCTGGAGCAGGGGGCTCACAGCTGGGTCCTCCCGCAGGGACCGGTCAGCCCTATGCCAGCTGTGGCGAGCCATCATCCTGAGGGATGACGCTGCGATGAAGGCGCACGCAGCTGCACTTGGAGTGCAAGGTGAGGGCAGGTGCTGGGCAGCAGCCAGGGTGGAGCAGGTGCAAGCCAGGTGCAGAGCCCTGACTAGGCACCCTCATCTCCTCCACAGATTACTTGCTGTTCTCTGAGGTGCTCATGCAGCGGCCGGTGCGCCTGGGCCAGCTGTGGGGCTCCCACCTGCTGAGCCTTGAGGAGGCGGCCTACATGCAGGACATGGCCCGAGACCACTTTGAGAACATTATGCAGGTGCTCAAGGAGCTTCCACGGCCCATGCTACTTGTGCTGCGTAATATCAACACTGTGCGTGCCACCATTGCAGTGCTGGGCAACCCTGTTGACCGCTACTTCCTCATGGCCAAGAGGTTGGTGACCCAAGGGGGGTGCCCTGGGGAACAGCAGGCCAGTGGACTGACGTGTGTGTGTGTGTGACACAGTGCTATTCGAGGCTGGAGCCGCCTGGTGGGTGCATCATACCAGGGCATCTACAGTAGCAGCCTCCTGCGCCACATCAGGGTCGTCTGGGAGATGCTCAAGTTTGAGGTAGCCCTGAGGTGAGTGAATGCATGGGGCTGGCTGAGTGGCTGGCCTGGGGCCAGCTCCCCACCAGCCTGTGACCCTCTCCACCTGCATCCCAGGCTGGAGACCTTGGCCATGCGGCTCACCGCCCTCTTGGTTCGTGTTCTGGTCCACCTGGGCCTTCTACCCCAGACTGAGGAGCTCTACCAGTACCTGGAGACTTAAGCCCTGGGGCCAGGATGACCACAGGGAAGCCTGGGGCAAGCAGGGCTTCCAGCCTCAGCAGACAGAGCTGGCCAAGGCCGGTGACACGGATGTCTTACCCTGAAATGGGGGGGGGGCAGGGGCGGGTATACACTGTGGTTCTGACAATGCAATGACCACACACTCTCCTCAAACAAATTGTTCTCCTTGTGTTTTGTACAAAAGTGAGGATGGGAGGCAGTGCATGTGGGCAGGGCAACATTAGAGAGGCTAGAAGTGGGCGGTGACACGGTCTGTCTCCAGCAAGTCGTCCAGGATCTGTGGGACGAAGAGTTGTCAGCACAAGTGGACAGCACAGAGGGATGGGCTGGGATGGGCAGCAGGCACTCACAATGTCAGGTGTGGTACCAATCTTCTTGGCCAACTCGCCACGCTCCATGGTGCTGAGGTATAGGTAACGGTTGAGCAGCTCTCCATCCAGGACATTGCGTACAGCATTCTGCAGAATGCGCCGGTCCACATGCAGCATCCTGGGGAGGTGGACAGAGGTGGGGGGGGGCTCAAGGCACTCCTGGGGTGGGCAGGGCCACAGGGGGTGGGGGGGCAGAACTCACCGGAAGGCACGGGGGTTGAGTCCAGCATGGTGGGGTAGCATGGTAGTCAGCGCATTCTGCAGCATCAGCAGTCGCCGGTAGGTCTTCTCCTGCATGGGCAGCAGGAGTCCGATGCCACCATCCAGGGTGGCTGGGGAAGTACAATGTTAGCCAGGCTGACCTCCCACCCCCGCACAGACACCCCTGCCCCCTGTACTCACCAAACCAAGTGATGTGCTTGTTCTCCCACATGACTGACTTTTTGCTGGGCCCCTCAGCAGCGCCCCGGCATGGGGTCCTCCAGAACGTGTTCACATGGGCACCCACGTGGAAGTCTGCCCTACGCAGCAGACGCATGCCCCCGAAACTCTCCTTGGCTAGACCAGAGGGACTCCGGTCACTGCCTGCCCAGCACCAGCTTGGGCAGGGCGGGTAGGGAGCTACTCACCTTCTGGCAGGTACATGTACACCATGAGGTTGCGGTCTCGGTCAGACACTGGGGAGCAGAGACCTAGAGTCAGTCCCAGCCACTCCACAGTCACGGCCCCCTACCAGGGCCCTGCACACTCACCCAGGAAGCCCAGCTGGGCATTGTCCACCATGAAGTCCACACTGTACACCTCTAGGGGCTTGGCGTCCTGAGGGGAGGGCACACTGTCAGGGTGGGCCTTGGGCCAGTGCCACCCACACAGCCAGGCCCCAAGAGTACCCGTGACACTAGGCTCAGCGTCTTGCTCTCTTCCTGGTAACGCAGCAGTGAGATACTCTTCATTACATCTGCCGCCAGAATGAAGTTCTTGACACTGATCATCTGGTGGATGTACAGCTGGGTATCGATAAAGGCCATGCCCGTTAGCTCGCTGGCCCGCAGGCTCCACAGGAAGATCTGGGGGCAGGAGGGGTAGGCAAGGGTAAGCAGGGCATGGCAGAGATATGGGCAGGCCAGATCCCACAGCTGTGGCAGGTAGGCACAGCACACCTTCTGGCCAATTGCCGACACCAGGTGGCCATTGCAGTGGCACAAAGCGGTCACAGGTCCTTTCTGTTCCTTCTCATAGAGGACCTTGAACTTATTCTTGGTCAGGGGCTGGCCAGGCTCAGGCACCACCTCAATCACATCCATGATCAGGATCTGGCAGGGTGAGAGGACATGTGGGAATGGCAGAGGGGCTGCCAGGGGCTTCCTGCCCCTCACCCACCTGCTGGCCCCTTACCCGCCCACGGCACGTGACCTCCTCCCCTTGCATGAGGCAGGTCCCAGCTGCTACGTAGCCCTTGAGGCCAGACACCGTCTCCTCACTGCGCAGTGACACGGTCTTCATGCATGTGACATGTTCCCACTCCTCCAGCTCAATCCTGCACAGGACCAGGCTTTGTCAGCATGCCTCCCACCCCACGCTGCAGGGAAGAGCAACCACAGCAGGCCCAGGCTCACCTGGCGTTGGGAATGGCCTCCCAGCTGACTGGGGAGATGAGCTGGATAGAGAATGCCTCCTGCTGAGGGTGAATGTACCTGTCATCTGTAGGGATGAGAGGAGGCCAGGTCAAGTATATAGCCTGAACACGGCCCCATGCCACCTTCAGGTGTTGCTCACGCACCTCTCTCGATGGCCTCGAACTCCTTCTCCTCACCAGTCATGCGTGGAATGCGGGTGCATGGCGTGTTGGTGCTGGTAGCCACGGCATATACCTGGGTGGAGTTGGAGGGTATCACACAACAGGCCGGACTACCAGGCACATAGGGGTGCAGGGTGTGGGAGGACAGACCTTGGACTCCACGTGGTAAGCCACGTAGTGGGCTGTGCAGCGCAGTGGGATCTTCCTGACCGGCCACGGGGCATCGTAGGACAAGTAGGCGGGCAGTACGCTGATTCTCAGCTCACCCTGGAGTGGGTATGGTGGACAGCAGTCAGTGCAGCCTAGGGTGGCCATGGATAAAATGGGTGGACCCAGGCCACCGAGGCCTCTCTGGGATACTGCCTTCAGCTTTGCTGGACCAAAGAAGGCAGAGGCCACTGTCTCTGACAGTGGCCTGAAGAGGGTCACATCTTTGGTGACCAGACTCCTTGCCTTGCTTCAATGAACTATGTCCATTCTCCTAGGCTCACCGTGGTTGGGGAACACTGGCACAAGGCAGGGCAAATCAGCAGGCAAAGGCCCAGAGTCTGGCCACACTAGGGACTGCAACAGAGGGAGCCACTACCAGGCCACCCTCCCCAAGTCTTAGTCAGTCCCTGAGTGTCCCAGGTGGTGACTGCTGCCATCTGGATGGCACATGTGAGGAAAAAGGCTCAGAGGTGTGTGCTTCCCTGAAAGTCACATAGTAACTAAGGAACAGAGCAAAAGCTAAAGCCAGTTCAGCCTGGCTCTCAAGCAAGGGCTGAGGCTACACCAGGGCAAAGGTTTTCAGAGCCTAAGAACAGTGATGGTCAGGCACCAGTGGCTCGCTCACACCTGTAATCGTAGTTACTCAGGAGGCAGAAATCAGGATTGAGGTTCAAAGCCAGCCCCGAGCAAACAGTTCACAAGACCCTATCTTGAAAAAACTCATCACAGAAGAAAGGGCTGGTGGAGTGGCTGAGGTGGTAAGAGAACTGGCCTAGCAAGTGTGGGGCCCTGAGTTCAAAACCCACCTCCCCACCCCCCAAAAATAAGAGCAATGGGTGACCTCATTAGCCAGCCTCCATTCTTTCAGCCCTTGCCAGCATAAAGCTCAGAATTCCACTTATTTGGACAACCAGCATTTAGATTCTTGCCCCCTGGGTGCAGCTCCAGCCCATCTGCTCCCAGCTGTCAATGGCCTCGTTTCTGAGGCCCAGGCACCAGGTCTGGCCCAGCAAAGCACCAGTGGCATTAGAAGGAAGTAGGCCAAACCCCCTTACCTGTCTATTGAAATACAGGAAGCCATGGGGACAGTTGACATTATGGAATGGAGCAAAGGAGTCAATGGGGCCATCAATGCCCATAGGATGCAGCCGCAGAGCCCCCCGGCCAGTCACCAGAAGCCAGTGGGGTGAGGGGCCACAGATGAACACCTAGGGACAGGCACTATGAGTACACCATGAGCAAGGCCCCATCCCCTTTTATGCTACACCCCTGGAAACCACCTGCTTACTCCTGAATAGCCATAAATGTCCTCAAAATAGCGGAAACGTGCCACCCGGCTCCGAACTCCAGAGCCCTCTTCAGTGTTGCCACCTTCTGCCTTCTTCTTTGACGGCTTTGGCTTCTTTTCACGGAAGTTGATGTTGTGGGGAACCTGATGAATGTCACAGTGAATACCAGGCCTCCAGATCCTGCTGGCCTAGTCCCTGCCTCCCCCGCGCCCAGCAGGCTCCAGCCACTGGCACCTTCTTGAAGCGGACTTTGAGGTTGCCCTGGCCGAGCTGAGAGTCGTGGGGAAAGGCCTCATAGATAAGCAGCTCCTGATCCACATGCACCTTGGGGAAGCCAGGTTGGAGAGGGCATGAGGATAGGCAGGACAAGGCCTTGGGAGGTGGGCAGCAGGTGGGCACTCACCAGCAGGTAGGGCCTACTCTGGCGGCTCCCCAGCGCGACCAGCAGCACCTCCTTGACCAGGGGCAGCTCCCCCTGGCGTGTGGCCTCCTCCTTACGGGCCTCACCCTGTGTGGTGGGCTGTCCAAAGGAGCTGTCCACCAGAACCCGCTGCCCCACAGGGAAGTTCTTCACCAGGAACACCAGCCGCCAGTCCGGGAGCTGGTAGATCTGTAGGGAGGGTGGCTGTCAGTGGGGATGAGGAGGGGGCCGTTGTGCTGTGGGAGCTGCTGTGCACCAGTAGCACCCACCTCCATGGTGCCATTCTCCCGCACCAACAGGCACCAATGCGTGGGTTCTGCCCGGAAGGGTGCAGGGTCACGGTCGGCAGGAGGCTGGCTGCTCCTCCGGGACTCCTCCTTGCAGGGGCTGAAGAGGGACCCTGAGTCCCCATACAGCATCTCTTCCTCATCATCTACTGTGGGGCTGGGGATCCACAGGCATGTCACAGTCGGCCACAGGGACCCCAGTCCCTCACACCCTGGCCCCCACATACTTAGTGTCCAAGCCCAGGCCTTCAGCTTCCGAGCCACTGCGACCGCCCAGCTCATCACGGGCCCCACCCAGGCGGCTCTCGGTGGTGAACATTCCACTGACATCTCGGTACAGGCAGAGTGCGATGACCTTAGACTGCTGTGGGGAGAGGGGTAGGGCTGAGCTGTGTGGTAGGGGTGAGCAGGTAGGGTATGACAGGTATGAGGGTAGGAGACCTACATGGTGCAGTGGAGGCTTGTGCAGTGCCAGGCGGTGGTGGCGGCCACCATATGAATCACTCTTGAGCAGGAACATGGTGACATGGCCCTCAGCACTCATGATGACCACATAGGGGTCAGCCACGGCACACTGCACGATGGGGGCGCCCAGGTCCACAGGGATGAAGTGCAGTTGATTCACTGTGGGCAGTGTCTGATCAGCATGGGGTGGTCAGTGTATGCCTCCCCAGGACCCACTCACCCGGACCCACTCACCCACCTCCTTCCAGCAGACGAATGCCCAGTGGTGACACTTGAACAATATAGCGGTTGTCCCCAATGTTTCCAGCAAAGACTGTGGGGCCCTGTGTGGCAAAACCACTGGTGTCCAGCTCCATGATCTCCTGGCCAGTCTGCAGGATCTGTAGTAACAGTGGTGAGTAGTGCCCTTCTCAGGGAACCCCAAATCCTGGCCCCAGCCCTGCCTTTACCATGGTTGAGTCTTCACGGCTCAGAATAAGGAAGCCATGCCTTCGCCCATCATCATCTGCTTCAGGGGTGCTAGGCTCCTGCTCTGCACCCTCTGCCTTGGAAGTTTCCTCCTGTGAAGGCCAAAGAGGGCAAGTCAGAGCCATGGTCTGGTGAGGGCAAACGTGAGGGTGGGATTACTGAGACCCTGCTGACCCCAGGCCCTCCTACAGTCAGTCACCTGACCCCCTCTGGGCCTCCTCAGTCCAGTCTTGCCTACCTCCTCCTTACGCACAGGAGCGATTACTGTCCACATGTCATAGCAACCAGGAAGTTCAAAGGTTGTCACCACCTGGGGCCTAATGCTCTTCTGGAATGTAGATTGGGGGGGGAGGTCAGCCCAATCAGGTTCCCACCAGGAGGCCCCTTCCCTGTCCCCACATACCTGCAGCACTGACAGGGCCCCATTCTTCCCGTAGCCGGAACAAACCACAATCTCCAAGTCTGGCTCAGGGCTATTCTGAAACTGTTCAGGGTGAAGTGAGGACACAGTGCCCCCAGATTCCACCCCTCTGGCCCCTCTCTCACACCCCTCAGTTACCTCTTCTGAGAGGAAGGCAGGCTCACCCACAGCAGCATTGGCACAGGGTCCAATGTTGAGCATGCTGTCACACACCTGCAGGTACAAGAGCAATCAGGTAGGGTACAGGGGCTGAGTGTCCACTGCTGTCCCTAGTCTTACCTCAAAGGAGTAGGTAGCCAGCTGTGTGCCAGACTGGGCCTCACTGCCATACACTTCAATCTCATCCACCTCATCCTGTGGCATGGACTTGCTCCCTGGAACACACAGAGGGAGCTGAGCACCTGAGTCTAGCCCTGGGCTCAGCCCCTCACCTGCCCAACACAGCTTGTCTCCTCACCTGCCCAACTCACTGTAGGGTCCACCCGCTTCTTCTTGGAGGGAGGCTCTTCCTGTGAGGCGGAAGAGGGAGAGAGCAGTTCTTGAGGCTGCCTAGCACCAGAAGGCAGTGGAATGAGGCCTTTGTGGGTACTCACCTTGTCGGCAGCCTCACGGACGGCACTAGCTGGAGGCTCCTGCAGCTTCTCCGTGTACTTGAGGAGGAGGGAGTTGCCCAGGCGAGAGCCCAGGAACAGGTACCCGGGCTCCATGGTGACCATCTGAGGGAGGGTGTGGGTGAGGGCAGTGCCAGGCCTGAACCCATGGCAACCCAGTATCTCTACTCACGCTGGTGGTGAGGACACTGGCAGCTGCCTTGTCGAAGTGGAATGCCCGGACGCTGCGCATGCCGTCAGTGATGAGGGTTAGCACGTAGCTGTAGATGGAGGGTGGGGGCATTGAGTGGAGCAGGGTACACTGGGGTGCTGAGGGGGCAGAGGATGTGGGGGTCCCAGGGGCTCACATCTCGCCGCCCTTGAGGGAGATAACCATCTTGTCGTAAGAGATGAAAGCCGCCTGTGCACAGTCCAGGGTGATCCGCACGCCCTCCTGGGTACCTGTGGGGCAGGCAGTCAGGCCTACTGGAGGTCCCACGATGGCCATAGACCATCCTGCCCATGGGGCATCCCACTTACGCAGTGGAAAGGCAGTAGTGCCCGTGGTCAGGCTGTTGAGAGCCACACCATATGGGGGAACACTCTGGTTCAGGTACAGCAGAGAGTTGACAGCAAAGATCACCACTCCACCTGGAGGTAGACATGGGCTGGTAAGCCAGCTCAGGGTCACCTCCCCCACAACCACTCAGCAACAATGGGCCCTCACCTATGGGCTTGGGCACAGCCAGGGCCTGGGTGCAATCAAAAGGCAGGCTGGTGAGGGACCAGATGACAGGGTGAACCTTCTGCGTGATGTTCAGTGAGATGGCCACAATGGAGCACGTGTCCTGCCTTACAGCCACCCGCCTGGAGCAGCAGGTTGGGTCAGCCAAGGGGCCGTCACAGCACTCCCAGGGCTGGTGGCCTGGGTCCTCCCTTCTGAGAGTGCTGTGACTCCAGTCCTGTGTCCAGCCCCCCACCACCACCCGGCACAAGGCAGCAGGGAGCCCACAGTACCAAGGGCCCCAGCCTCACCCAGGCCAGGTCTGGTTGGGCTCAAACAGAATGAGCAGGGTGGGCTCATAGTAGCCGTGCAGGAACTGCAGGTCAACGATGTTGAGCAGCTTCTCATCCAGGGCCCGCACGTCAATGATGTAGCTGGGCAGGAAGCTGGACCTCTGCCTGGGGACCACGGGTGTCAGAGGAGAGGGGGTGGGGGCTGGATGAAGGGAACACAGGACTACCACCACCACCTGGTACTGTTACTCACCCCTCACCCATGAGCCCCTCGTGCTCCTCTGCCAGGCTCTCCCTGCGGAAGGGCAGTACCACTAGCCGTGTGCCGTAGATAAGCATGGCTGCGCAGCGGCCATCAGGGTCTACTCGCACACGAGGTGTGTGCACATTCTGCACAAATCCGTCCTGGGGGCAGAGGAGACATCAGCTCTGCCAAAGGGGAGGAGACCCAAGAGAAGCACTGGGGGCCGAAGAACCTGGATAGGAGGGGGAGGGAAGCCGCTAGGCTTGGCCTACCCGAAGCTCAGGCTCCTCAAAGTAGTGCAGGGACAGAGTCTTCAGGTCGTGGGTGCCTGGGTCGTACTCCACCACTGACAGCTGGGGGGGGGAGGGGACAGAGGACAGTTAAGAACTGTGGTCCACTCTACACCAACCCTGACAGTGCCAGCAGTTCTCTGTCCAGCACTGCCTCTCCAACCTCCCACCAGCTCACCACTCACCTTAGCGTCCTTGAAGCTGAGGAGCAGGGCATCACGCTTGGCGCCTGCAAGCTGCACGCTGGCCATGGACATGACATTACCGAAGAAGGAGAAGGAGGCCACCAGCTCCAGCTTCTCCCGGTGGGCCTTCCCCTCTGGAGGAGCAGCCAGTGGGTTAGGCCTGAACTCTGCACCCTGACCACCCACACTCCCAGTGCAGGCTAGAGTGGCCACTCCTTCACTTACCTGTACTCCCATCACTCTTTGTCAGAGCCTAGAAGAGAGAAGACAGGAGTGAGGGGTGGCCTTGACTTATCCTCAGGAAAGACAAGACACCAGGAAGCCCTGCCCAAGCCTTCCTGCAGTAACAGCATACAAGTCAGCTGCTCCTGGACATAACTGTGTACCTTTACATGCTGAGCAACTCGCAATCACACCCTGCCTGAGCCTGGTCACAGGGATCCTCCTCAGAAGCCCTCCCTGTGCTACCCACACTCACTCTATGTACCCCCAAACCTGCCCAGCTGTATACCCATAGACTTGCATCTCTGACCAACAGTAACATACTGGCCCAGGCCCAGCACAGGCTGCATGAGACAGGCTCCAACCAGAACTGAGGATGTTAGACCTAGTGTTAAGCATGGTTGCTAGAAAGGAGCCCCTAAAAAGCTAGGCGCACTTGCTAGGCAGGTACGGCACACCTGTAACACCAGCACTCAGAAGGTTGAAGCAGGAGGACTGTGGGTTCCAGGCCAGCCTGGTCTGCATAACAAGACTTGTCTCAGGGAAAAAAAAAGCAAAACAGAAAGTAAGCCCTGAGCACTCCTGACAGCTCTGGTACTGGCTACATCAGGACTGGGTGTCTTCCAACATGAGGGTGCACTTGTATTAGATTCACAGGAACAGCTCTGGAAAGAAGCCGGGCTACTCTGAGGTCACCATGCTGCCAAGAAAGTCAAATTAGCTACACAGGAGCAGAGTGGAGGGATGGGCAGACAGCCTGGTCTGCTCCAGCTATAGGACCTATTCAAAGCCAACACATGAGGGTGTGAGACTGTGACAGACTATACGTATCTGTCCTGAGCAGCTTGTCATACAGCAACAACTACGTGAGTCCTCCTTTCATCACTTTCTGGTACAAGAGTAAGCATGTTGTCCTGCAAGGGCTATAGAACAAGGAGCTGCAGCTTTGTAGCCATATGCAGTGTTTGGAAAACCATTCTTTTTTTTTTCTTTCTCAGTACTGGAGTTTGAACGCAGGGGCTCACACTTGCTAGGCAGGTGCTCTCTATCATTCCAGCCACTCCACCAGCCCTTTTTTTCATTGAGTATTTTTGAGATAAAGTCTCACAAACTATTTGCCCAAGGCTGGCTTTAACCTCGATCCTCCTGATCTGCCTCCTGAGTAGCTAGGATTACAGGCATGAGCCACCAGCGCCCAGCTTTGAAAATCGCTCTTTGGAATGTTTTACAACCATTAAAAATGTGACCTCCCAGGACACAATTGTGCTCTTTGTTTTTTTTGGTGGTACTGGGGTTTGAACTCAGGGACCCATGCTTGCTAGGCTGGCGCTCTACCACTTGAGCCATTCTGCCAGCCTTTTTTATTGTTCTTGAGACAGGGTCTTTTTGCTCAAGCCAGCATGGACAGCAATTTTCCTATTTTATGCTTCCCACCATAGGTGGGATGATATTTACATGCTCCCATGCCCAGCTTTATCCATTGAGATGGAGTCTTGTGAACTTTGTTTTTTTGCCTGAGCTGGCCTGGAAATGCAATCCTCTGATCTCAGCTTCCCACACAGCTGGGACGACAACTGTGCACCACTGGACCCAGCTATTGGTTAAGACAGGGTCTCATGAACTTTTTGCTCAAGCTGGTCTTCAACCGTGATCATCCCTATCTCAGCCTCCATGTAGCTACAATTACAGGCTTGCGTCACTGCTCGGGCTTGTTTGGGTGATCCTGAGATAGGATCTCACTTTTTGCCCAGGCTGGTTTTGAACCTCGACTCTCCTGATCTTTGCCTCCTGAGTAGGTAGATAGCTAGGATTACAGGTTTGAACCATTGCTTCTGACTTGTTTATGTTATTTCTAAGAAAACCCTGTTCCCTGACAGTTTATTGCTCCATTTCTTTGCTTCTCTTTGCAGCAATCTCCAGATAGTTGTCTGCTTTCCCCATTACCAGTTCTCCTCCACAGTGTTCTCAATCCTTCTCAGGCTGGACAACCACCCTGACACTCCCAGACCACCTTGTCCCAATCATCTGAGTCTCAGTAACACAGGAACTAGTGTCAGGGTCCTCGTCCAGCAAGCCACCCTTCCCAGGTCATGTCTCTCAACTCTTCAGTGGCTCTCATGTCCCCACCCTCTTAGTGTTGGTTGCCCAGGCCCTTGACAGTGGCTGTCACCTGGTGATCTCATCAGACACTGCTCACAGGCTGAAGATCCCAACTTTACTCCAGTGTAGACTCCACCCCACCACCTAACATGGGATCAACCCTTCAACACATTGGAATGGCAAACTCCCAAGACAGTACCCAAGACAGCCCAGCAATCCTGCCTCCTGGCATCCATACTTTGTAGCCCCCACACTATGCCAAGGTGATCAATATGACCAGTACAACGGGTCACGAATGACAGGGTCCATGACTGAGATTAGGCTAAAGGGCTTCAGATTCAGTCCAGGGGGGTGGGGTGGGGATATTATCTCTCTCATTTTGGCAGTCTACCATGTTGTAAGCAACCCATGGAAAGGCCCTTTGGATAGATGAATGGAGGTCTCCTACAAACAGTTGAGAGTGGGCTAGAAACAGAAACTCCAGACCAGTTGGCCTTCAGAGGATGCAGGCCTTAATCCATGGAAGAACCTGTACAATAGCCACCTCTGACTGCTGGCCCTCAGAAACTGAGTCATCTACTATTTTAACTTCTAAGCTTTGGGATAACTTATTATGTATTAAACAGTGGCTAATACAATGTCCAGAAATGAGCTTCTTCACCCCCTCCCTCCCACTTCACCTAGAGCCTTCTCCACCTTGTGGGACAGCAACGCCAGCTGCTCATACCAAACTCAGACCCTGATAAAACCTTGGCCTCCTCACCTTTTCTTTCACACCCCACCTCTGCCCATCGTGAACCTGACAGCTTCCCACCACTTCCCTGGTCAGACTGGTCTAAGTAACCATAGCCTCTGCTACACCATCTCCTGACTGGTCTCCCTAACCTGCTCTCTCACTTCTTCCCTCCCTCCCTTGTCCTTCTGCCACAGGCCTTTGCTAGAACTCCTCCCTCCACCTGGAACCTCTTTGCCCTCCCATCACTTCAGGCTTCCCTATCACATTCTCTCTGCTCAAATCCCACCTTCCCAAGGAGGTACAATTTCTCCACTGCCATTCACCACTGCCCCCATCCTGCTCTACTGTCTTTACATGTTCACACTGTTTTACTGCCTGTGCCTGGCCTGTCATCCAGAGTGCAAGCTCTGCAGGGTAGGCATCTCTGACTGTGGTGTGCATCGATATCTTTCCAAACACAGGTACGCAACAGGCACTTAACAAATGTCTGAAGAAAAGACAAATGAATTGCAGTGTTTTTTTGTTTTTGCAGTGCTGAGGTTTCAGTCTGGAGCTTTGCATATGCTTGGCAAGTGCTCTACCACTGAGCTACATCCCCAATCCCTTCAAAATTTTCATATCTCTGAGCACATCTGTATCCCTAGCTACTTGGGAGGCAGAGATCAGGAGGATCTTGGTTCCAGGCCGGCCTGGGCAAATAGTTGGTGAGACCCTACCTCAAAAATACACAATGCAAGAAAAGGGCTGGCAGAGTGGCTCAGGTAGTAAAGCGTCTGCCTAGCAAGCATGAAGCCTTGAGTTCAAGTCCCAGTACCACAAACAAAAAAATAAACCTTTCATATCATAAAAGCTTAAGCCAAGGTGCAGTGCTGTCAGGCACAGTGGTATACATATGTAATCCCAGCACTGGAGAAGCTGAGGCAGGAGGATTAAGACTTTCGGGCCAGGCTGGGCTAGTAGTGACACTCTGTCTCAAAAATCAAGAAAACAAGGGCAGACGGAGTGGCTCAAGTGGTAGAGTGCCTGCCTAGCAAGCATAAAGCCCTGAGTTCAAGCTCCAGTATCATAAAACAAACAAATAAAACAAAAAAGGCTCAAGCTAGGTCTTTTTTAATGACATGTAATTACAAAGCTCTCAATTATTCCATCCTTTTCTGTTTTCTTGCTTTGTCATGTCACATCACTAGAACAGGGCACATATTTCATGCATAAATACACATGTGCAGGCGCAAGTGCCCAGGAGGGGCTGCTTCCTCCAGACTGCCGCTGACTGCTCTCAGCCCCTGTCCAAAACACTTCCACAGCTTCTCCCTGCTTTGGGGAGAACAGTCCTGGCCATGATGCACCCACCCGTTCCCTCTTTATATGGCCACACTGTGCATACCCTCCCACACTCAAGCGCTGGGGCACAGGCACTTTGCTTCCTCTGTTTGGAACACCTCTCCTGCCCTCCCCATCCAGGCATCCAGGCTAAGGGTTACATCTCCTTGGAGAACAGCAAAGAAGCTCTTGCAAGAAGCCTTCCCGGACTGGCAACAAAAGCACCCTGTATTACATTCACTGATAGGTTTGTCCCACTCTACTAAACCCCTTGCCAGTAGTCTGTCCCACGCTAGACCCAGGCTTGTTCCTTTGGCCAGGAATGTTCTTCTCTCAACAAACTACTGCCCTGCCTCACAGACGCTCAGCTGATCACCCGAGTGGAAAACACCGGTCCTCCTCCACTCCCTCGGGGCACCGTGGCGGGTCTGCAAGTGTGCTTAAATGCTTGCACTGTCTCAGTGGAAGGTCCCCTCCCCGCAGGGTTGGCAGGTCTGTTTCACTGTCGTGTCTCTACCACCCAGCACCCGGCAGGCGCTCGCGAGGGCAGGCGCGTCCCCTCCGGGGTAGGACGGGGCCGAACGACGCAGCGGAGAAGCACGGGCTCTGGGGACACGGGACCTAGGACAAAGCCCGGCCCCTGCAGCGGGGAAGCTGCCCGAGCGGCAGCTCTGCGGCCTCGGCGCCTCCGCCCGCTCGGGACACGGCCTACCTCGGCGTCGCGGTTCAGGCGGTACACGTAGAGCTGCGAGGTGCCGGCCACCACGAGGTTGCGCTCGCTGTTGTTGAAGAAGTTGCAGTACATAGCGAACTCGAGCCCGGTGGGCGGGTGCGCCTGCTTGTACACGGCGTACATGGCGCCGCCAGTGCCGCCGCACGCTCGTCCCGCCGACTCAGGGAACGGGGGCAGCAGCGGACTCGGCCCGGCCGCGCGCAGAAACCAAGCCGCCGGGTTCCGGGCTCCTGCGCCTGCGCAGCTCGTCCCGTGAGGCGGAGTCAGGGAACTCGGGCCGCTGCGGACTGTGCCCGGCCACGCACCGAAGCCGAACCACGAGGTTCCGGGAGCCGGGCTGGGAGGTGGTGATTCGATGGGACCCCTGGCGGCCGGGCGTGGAGTAGCAGCGGCTCTTGCAGTCGGGTCAGTATCCCCGCGAACCAGGGCAGCGAAATCAGCCGCCTCCCCTACCCTCGCTCCCAAGGCTGGCTCCGTGCGGAAATAAAGCAAAAAGGGCTGGAGGTGTGGCTCAAAAACGGGCGGAGGTGTGGCTCAAGTAGTAAAGTGCTGGCTCTGCAAACCTCAAAGTCCTCAGTTCAAACCCCCGTGAGTCCTACCCCCCAAAAAAGGAAACAAAGCAAGAAATTATAGTCATAGGGCATAGAAATGTGTTTATATCACACCCAAACCTACCTGCTGTCTCTCGCTGAGCAGTGGAGAAAGGACGAAGATGCGCAGGCGGTAACCCATGAGTCTCATTAAAACCCTTGGAATGATACAGAGAAGATTAGAATGGCCCCTGAGCAAGGCTGACACGCAAATTTGTAAAGCCTTCCACATTTACATCAATAAATAAAATCGTAAGAGCCGGGCAACGGTGGCTCATGCTACTCAGGAGGCAGAGATCAGGGAGATGGTGGTTCGAAGCCAGCCTGAAGAAATAGTTTGCCAAACTGTATCTCAACAAAACCCATCACAAAAAAGGGCTGGCTCAAGGTATAGGCCCTGAATTCAAAACCCAGTACCACAAAAATAAATGAATAAACAAATATAAAATCTTAAAATATACTATTGCCTCAAATACATCAGCACAGTTCTGGCTCCATCATAAGCTTTGTGGTGGTGGTGGTGGTGGTGTGGTGCTGTTTTTGAGACTGGGTCTCACTATGTTGCCCAGGCTGGCCTTGAACACCTGGGCTCAAATGATCCTTCTGCTTCCACATCCCAGTAGCTGAGGACTCCAGCAGAGGCCACCAGGCTGCAGCGTCTGTTTTTCATAACAAAGATAGTGTCTACAGAACCCTCGGCAAGCCTGGCACATGGAAAATGCCTTTACAAAGGAACAGAGCTGCTGTGGAAGGGAGTCCCACAGGGGAGCAAGCCAGAGGTACCAAAGGAGCAGAGACCTCGGGTAGGCAGCAGGTAGGATGTCCAATGAGCTCCTGTCCCACCTATTCAAGGGGGCAGCAGGACTGGGAGTGGAAGACAGAAGCAGACCTGACAGGTGGCCTCCACTTCTCCATGACGGATAAAGTGAGCCCATCAGAGATGGGGGCTCAGAGGCACTGGGAGGAATGGTGACGGGCTGGAATATGGTAGGCTCAGGGCTCTCAGCTCGTCCATTCAGTGGCCTTTGACCTTCCAAGGTCAGCCAAATTCTCCCTCAGTCCTTACAGCCTGGGCTCAAGATTAGTGGACTGTGCTGTTGAAGTCATTCTTCTTCTTCTTCTTCCTCTTTCTTTCTTTTTTTTTTTTGGAGGTTCTGGAGCTTGAACTCAATTGCTAGGCAGGTGCTCTACCACTTGAGTCACTCTGCCAGCCCTTTTTTGTGTTGGGCGCTTTCAAGACAGGGTCTCCTCTAGTGAACTATTTGCCTGTGCTGGTTTGAAGTGTTGTGGGCTGGTGTCAAGGGTCCTTGCCTTTACAGGCCAGAGAACTGGCTTGTGGGGCAGCTGGTCGACTTGTAAGCCAAAGCCGGTACAAGAAGTAGGGTTTATTAGAGAGAAAGGAAAGGCTACAGACAGAACAGTGCAGTGGAGCCCAGAAACTGGTACTCTCTGCTCAGGTGAAGGCTGGGGCTTTTATGGATGTTTAACTCTGGGTTTGGGTAAGGGTTTGGTGGGCTCTTTTCATTGACTGTGGATTTTCGGACTTTCTTAGGTGAACTACTTTGTTTGCCCCTTATTGGGGGAGGGGAAACAATCTTAAGAGCATTTTTGTCATCAGCCCTGTGGCAGATCTATCAGACCCTGCATCTCCTCTTCAGGATGCAGAAATGCAAAGTTACAACTCCCTGTCAGGGTGCAGGAATGCAGGTTTACAACTCCTTCTCAGGGTACAGGAATGCAGATTTCAGGATGCAGGACTGATAGTGCTCTCCAGAGGAGGGGGATGGGATATTCACTCATCTCCGTAGGTCTCCAGAACCAACACTTGGGACTGGTTTCGAACCTCTATCCTCCTGATCTCTGCCTCCTGAGTAGCTAGGATTATAGGCATGAACCACCGGCACCCAGCCAGGCCATACTCTTGATTTTCCCCTTGGGCAGGTAATGTGCTGGGAGCCTATGACTTTCTGTACCTTCCATCCTGCACTTAGGCAATTTCTGCTTGTTCAGTGTTGTGGACTAGGTTTAGGATGAAAGTGGTAAATTCTAGATATCTCTTGTGGGGTTGGGAAAATTTTTAAAGAATCAGTGTCACATGGAGTTGGCTGGATACATAGCTTCTTGTGCCCCACCAGTTAGGCCAAATTGCTCTCAGATGTGGCCTTTCATGTCCAATTTGCCTCTGATCCCTGCAGGCAGTGCCTCCCTCCCTCCAGGACAGGTGGGCCTGTGAGGCATAACTTGAGATGGACCTCTGACTCTCCTGCTCATGTGCCAGTGGTAGTATGTGAATGGCAGTCTGGATCTGATGCCTCTAGACTCTTTACCCTTTTGTGCTTTCCTCCTACCTCCTTTCTACTACTTGGAGAGTGCATATAATGACTAGAGCCCCAGAAGACATTTTGGACTATGAAGGGTGTTATAGATTGAATTGTGCCGACCAAAAAGATCTTGAGTTGGGTGTGGTGGTCTACTCCTGTAATCCCAGCACATGGGAGACAGGATAGTGAGTTCCAGGCCAGCCTGGGCTACACAGTGAAACCTTGTCTCAAAATAAAGAAGCTGGAGATGGACCTCAATGGCAAATTGAACCCCTGGTTCAACCCTTAATATGAGTGAGAGGAGAGGAGCGGGGAGGAGAGGGAGGAGGAGGGGGAAAGAAGGAGAAGGGGAGACACAAAAGAGAATGTGGCAAGCAAGGAACACCTGGAACCACCAGGTGGCAGGAAAGGCTCATGGAACAGATTCTGCCCTAGACTTCAGAGAGAGCATGGCATGGCTGAGACCTTGACTTTAGACTTCTGGCCTTCAGAACAGTGAGAGAACACATTTTTGTTGTTTAATACATCCAACCTGGGGTATATTGTGTTACAGCAACCCTAGTAGATGACTGCAGTGGGACTTGGCCACTTCTCATGATTACAGTAGAGCAACCTACTGCCCATGGGTTACTACACTGAGCTTCCATATGTGTAAGCAGTCGGTGATGTTGGTTTTTACTGGGGACAGGACGCCACCTGCAGTCATACACCCTGGAGAATTCCTCTGATGATTCGGGTTCTTTCATGCATCTCTCCTCAGGCAGGCAGGGAGGCAGGAGGTAGTGCCTTCACATAGGAGACACTTCTCTCCCAGCAAGAAGAGCACAACTGGACTCCAAGGGCAAGAATCTTTATTGAAGTCAGAGCTGGGACACTGAGCAAGGGGACTCTTAAAGGCCTGGGGCCCTCTGGCTACTGGGTGGATACAAGGGTTTGAGATGGCATAGGGTGGGAGGCCGAGCCAAGGCCTTGTATGGGGGCAGGGCTATCAGAAAGTGATACTGTCCTCGTACAGCGACAGCAGCAGCAGGACGGTCCAGCCGCCCAGCAAGCCCACGTTGTGCAGCAGGAAGAGGAGCCAGGGTCGACGGTCCCGCACGTTCAGCATGGCCGGGAGCTGAAGAGAAGTGGGCTCGGCTCAACTGCCAGATCGGTGCCCCTGCTCAGATCCCCACCCCAAGGCAGGCCCGCCATCCTAACCATGTCACAGAGTGCCACGTAGAGGAAGAGGCCGGTGGCTACCGCCAGGATCCAAGCCTCGCTCTCCTCACCCACTCCGACAGCGAGTGCCACGTAGAGCCCGGCGAAGGCCGTGAGCGCTGAGGCCAGGTTCAGCAGCAGGGCTCGCCGCACAGTCAACCCCGCGTGCAGCAAGGCCGCGAAGTCCCCTGGGCAAGCGGGTCACATCAAGATCCCGCCCAGAGGTCCTCACCGTAGCCCAGCCCTCCACACGGACAGACCCACCTCCTCCCGGGCAGCCCCCGCCCGGCCAGTGGCCCCGCCCACCTCCTCCTGGATAGACCCACCCGCTCCAAGACTCCACCTCCCGGGCCGACCCACTCAGAGGCCCCGCCCCTTCCCGGCAGCCCCGCCCACCCCCGCTAGTTCACGCCCACCATACGCCGTCCCAGCGCGTACCCAGCTCATGGGGCAGCTCGTGGCAGAACACCGCTAGAGAAGTGGCCAGCCCGGTCTTCCAGGAGGACGCGAAGGCCGCGCCCACGGCCAGCCCGTCTGCGAAGTTGTGCACGGCGTCGCCCAGCGTGATCAGATAGGGCAGTAGCCTCAGCTCTGCGGGCGTAGCGGGGGTGGGTCTGCGCGAACCTGTCCTGCCCGGCCCACCCCAGCACAAACCACAAGTCCGCAGCCCTCTGGGGCCTCCCGCTGGGCTCACCTGGGCTCAGGGTTCGAGACTTCGGGTTCAGCAGTTCCGGGCTTTCCTCTGCCACCTAGGAGGAGTGAGGATGAGTCCCGGCTGGGAGACTGAGGAGGGGCAATGAAGGGGAACAGGCCTTGGGAAGGGTCGTCGTGGAGGGGCTTCCTGTGGGGCAGGTGCCGACTCACCAAGTCAGCGCGGGAGCCCTCCTGGGGCTGCTTGGGCTGCCGGAGCTCGCTGGGCGCCAGCTGTAGGGACACGCCATGGCTGTGGCCGCTGTGGCTGCAGGGCCCATCCTTCGCTGGGTCCTGTGGGGATTCTGGTAAGGGCCAATCAAGCCCTTCATTCTGCCCACCTTCCCATTCTCCACGAACCTGACCTGGTCCCTGGGCAGCAGTAGATTGAAGAGGCTCTCAAACAGGAAGAAGAAGTAGAGGCCTCCAAGCACAGCCAGCAGGCGCCAGGTGGACTGTAGGCCAAGGCCTGCCTCCTCATGTGTGTGGCCCTCCCCACTGTGTGTGTGCAGCCCCAGCACCTAGGGAGCAGGGGGCACTGGCTAGGGACCTTATGGCCACAACAGGGATGAGGGGCTGGGGCCAGGGAAGGGTAGGGAGGGGAAGGAGTCACCCTGGAGGACAGACCTTGGGTGTCAGGTGCAAGAGGGCGTCTCCGGTGAGTGCACCCACGGCCATGCTCAGGAAGGCCTGCATGATGTAGTGGGTGGCTGTGCTGCAGCTGGTGCAGGTCAGCAGCAGGAGGCCGAACACCGCACACAGGCAGATGAGCAGCGTGGCTAGGGTGCCATATAGATACCCTGGGGGAGAGGACACACTGAGAGCCCCCTGCTTCCCAGGGAGGCGCCCAAGTCAGGAACTTGTCAGCCCCGCAGGTGGTCAGCTGAAGCCAGGCATCTGTTCAAACTGGCCCTCCTGCCCTAAGCCTCACTGCTCTTCCCCTCCAGCATCCACCCCCATCCTCAGTGACCACTCCCTCCTCCTCTGTGGGGGGCCCCAGTCTCATAATCATGAGGCCAGCGCCCTGAAGCATGGCCAGGTAGGGACAACTGAGAGGGGTACTTACTCTCCGCCTGGCTGAGCTGGTCCTGGGTGGGGGAACTGTGCCGGGGGTTGCAGGCCCCACTCAGCTGTTGCTGGAGCAGGGCAGGACTCAGTTGGGCCCAGGCCTGAGGGCTCACTCCATCCTGCTCAGACAGCCCATACACGGCCATCACATCCCTGGCACTTAGGCATACCTGGCAGAGTAGGAAAGGGGTCAGGTGCTTGAGCAGACCCATGGGACTCCATCTTCCCCCAGGACTACAGGGTGGCTCACCATGTCCCACACACTGGAGTTACTGTTGGAGGTTGCAAGGGGCACAGGGTCCTGATGGTTGGCCTCCCTTCCCAGATCACCAGGGTCACTGTGGTCACTGTGATCACTGTGGTCCTCTCCACCTATCCCCAGGCGCTGCATCAAAGCCTCCAGCTCTGGCAGGAAGGATAATCAATGAACAGTCTCGGAGCTCCAGCCCTGCCCCCCCCCACCCCCCCCACCCCCCGGGAATATGCAGGTGAAGGTAGGGGTAGGGGTAGGGTTCAGCTCAGCTCAGTCCTCACCAGCCAATGTGATATTGGAGGTCTCGCTGCTGTGGTTTTTGAACACGAAATCCACAAAGTACTGAGGGCTTGGCAGGGCGTTGAAGCAGGACCCACTCCTTATGTGGTCCAGCAGGGCAGCCAGAACCGGGCCAGGGCTGTCAGGAGCCCCTGCCTGCTCAGCTTCCTCCAGCAGCTGAGGGACATCTACACAGGTCTAGGAAGAAGAAAAAGGCCTCAGCTCCACCCTCAGTTGAAGTTCTGGAGTCTAGCTCTGTCATTGCTGTCTACCCCAGCACAGCCTACTATATGTAATCTCCCATGAACCCCCAGAGCCCATGTCCACCAGCTGTCTAGAATCAATTCCTGGATTAGGCACCATATTTCCCTCTTCACTTAAGGCCCAGGCTGTCCTCAGCCTTCCTGGGCCAAAGCACCAGCCCTGCAGTGGCCCTGCTGATCCCAGCTCTCACTCTACCTTCCTTTGAGTCCCAGAACTTTCCTGGCTTCCATCCCCCAGTGGACCCAGGAACAGGAGCTTGCCAGGCCTGCAAGTGGTCTGCTGGAACTGGCCCTCCTGCCTTAGAGCCCCACTGCCCTTTTGCTGTATCCCCCATCCTCAGTGACCACCACCTCTCCCCCTATGGGGGCCCCGCTCTCAGGCTTTTGCAGTCCTTGCCTCACTCAGTGATCCCTAACACTCCAGCCTGGAAGGCTTTGCCTGGGATGCTCCCCCTGCTGCAGCCAGGCTGAAAACCCCAAGAGGTGCCCCCTCCCATGGCCCTTGAGCCCTCCTCACCCACTCCCTGGCCACCCTCTAGGCCCTAACCTCCTCCACAGTGGGCTGGCTGGCAGCCTGGGCCTCGATCTTCTGTAGCAGCTGGCTCAGTCCCAGGGTCATGGCTTCACGACCCTCAAGAAGGGCCAGGAAATGGTCAGTACGAGAAGCCAAGTGGCCAGCCTGGATGTCCGCACATGTGCCCTCTGGGTTGCTAAGGTAGAGGGCGGCAGCAGCACTGAGGTGGGCAATGTATCTGGACTCCAGAACCACTCCTAGGGCAAGCCCCGACTTGTCAGGCCTACCGAGGGCCAAGACATCTTCCACGGTCAGGCACTGCAGGCAGAGACAGATGGGAAGAGACTGAGCTGGGGCCCACTAGAGAGGAGAGAGCAGACCCAGACAAGCACAAGCCCCATTGTCTCTTTCATGCCCCAACCCTTCTCTTGTCCCTGAATCCACTAGACCACGTTGGACCTGAAACAAAGGGGTCCCAATCTTGGGGGCACTTTTTCCTGGAGCCATTGCCCAATTTGATGGCTGGGGGAAGAAGTGGGGCTGTATGTCCCAGGGAGGGCAGGCCAGGTCCATCTGAGCCCACAGCAGGGAGGAGAGGCTCTGCTCTGCAGGTAGGTTCAGCCACTAGCTTTGGCCCGCCTCTTGGAGTTTGCCCAGGTCTCTTTCCTGCTGGCCACAGGGTGGAGCGGGCAGGAAGGGGCCGGGGCTGGGGGACCCATCGGGTGGGGCTGTTACCTTTCCACACGGCCCGTAGGTGCAGTGCACACGGTCCGCCAGTGTATTTAACAGGCCGCCCAGTGCCTCACGATCCAGAGCACCCTGGCCCGAGGTGAGCAGGCTTAGCAGACGGGCAGGCTGGGCCACTGTCGCTGTCACCACTAGTACGGCCAACAGGAACCCCGGTGTGAGCCAACGTAGGAACGCCATGCTTCCAGCCCCAGAGCACGCAGTGCTGTGTGTGGACTATGTATCTGGGCCAGCTGTGGGTTGCTGGGGCCGTCTGGGGCCAGACTGGGGCTGGGCTTGACCTGCCGGGCCCCAGCTCCAGGACCTCTCCCAGGTATTTCCTGCAGGGCTCTGTGATTGGCTGATGGAGGTGCCTGGGTTAACCATTCCAGTGGCAGATCCTCCCTGCAAAGAGCTGTCGCCTGCCAGGGGCAAGGGCTGGGCCCCTTCCTCTGGGTGGATGGCCTGGGCATCCCCTCTCCTGCCTGCCCCACCCAGGGCTGTGGGACAGGACCACCTCTGCTCCGAGGGCCCCAGGGCATCCTCTCTTGTAGCCCTCTTTCTAGAGGCTGCCCCCCAGGTTGCGGGACCTGGAAAAGAGGTGCATGGATGCTCCCGGCCCAGACCACACCTGGGACCCATTCCTGACTTTCAAACCCAAGAGCCCCTTAGGCCCACCGGTTGCCAGCTGCCTCACATCTCTGCAGCCTAGACAACTGCTAAGCCTTGTGGCCCGAGTTGTGGGTGGTGACAAGGCTCTTCCTGGATCCTGGGCTACAGTCTGTCAGCCCAGGGTGGGCTGCAGTGGGAGGAAACAGAAAGGCTCTTGCTGAGTCATGCTCCCTGCCCCCAGCCCTCCAGGGAAAATCCCCAGGAAATAGCCAAAGCCCCAACACAGACAAGCAGGAAGAGAAGAGGCACTTTGGCTCTGGTCACCACCTGGCTCCTGAGGTCAGGAGGAGGTTGCAGCAGGGTCCTGAGCTCTGGACCCAGGAAGGGTTGGGGGAAGGCTTTGCTTTCCTGTGCTGCCCCTCCCTGCTGGTTCCATCCAGCCTTTGACCCCTGGGCCTTATCTCTACCCAGGTGGCAGGCTGGGGGAAGGGTTGGACAGCTGGGTTTCGACACCCCCAGGTCTCAAGACAGCCCCACCTTCTGGAGGGAAACTGTGGGTGGTATGGAGGAACTATGGGCCCCTGCCACCAGGTTCAACCAACCCCTGACCCTGAGTCTTGTGGGGTTTGTCTGGGGTGTGGAGCTAGGAGCCTAATGCCTGAGGACTCTGTCCTCTAGTGTACAGGACAGGGTGTGGCGCATTGGGTTGAGAATGTCCTGGGCCCTGGGGTCAGGTGTTTCTCCCACCTGCCCCATATACTCATACAGCAGGATGCCCCTTCTGGCTGGGACACCTGCCCTGTGGCATCAAACCCTGTCCCTAAGGGAGAGCCTGCCTGGGACATCAAAGAGCAGCCCACATACAGCTCTGAATTTGTGCCCAAAGAGGCATTCTTCCTCCTGAGCTGCCCTCTACTTCTGGGCAGGCTGTAAGCTGGGACCATGTGGGTTTCCTCATGCCATAGCCTCTCCCCACGCACTTCTCAAGTGCTGCTTATGACAGAGGTCTTGGCCTGGGCCCAACTGTCCAGGCCTTCCTCAATGTCTATACCAAGGGGCTGACTTGCCTGAGCCCTTGAAGTTCTGTGCATGGCCGATCCTCCACAGTGGGCCTCAGTACTGACCCACGGCCTTGCCCCATCCTTACTCACATGCTTTCCCTTTCCCAGCACCCTCTTTTGTAGTCCAAGAGCCACCACCAAGAACTTCCCCAGCTCACTGCACATCTGCCACCCACACCTGCCTGAGACCTGCTTCCCTCCTGGTATGGCTGGTCCTCTGGGTACTGTCCCCTTTCCAGCATTACCCATCATCTAGCAAGCTCACTGCAATTGCTACTCAGGTAAAACAAAACATAACCCATGTCCATAGCAGGATTTTCTCACAATAGCTAGGAAGTGGAGGTAGCCCAAGGTGTCCAGAGAGGGATGATTCCAGACACACAGCAGGATATTATTCAGCCTTAGAAACGGAGGAAATTTTGACATGCTACAACATGGAGAACATTATGCTGAGTGAAAGAAACCAGTCATGAAGCCAGGTGCTGTGACATGCCTGTAATCCTATTTGAGAGGATAAGGATCAGGGAGGATCGGGGTTCAAGACCAGCCTGAGCAAACAGTTCCTGAGATTCCATCTCCAAAATAATCAGAGCAAAATGAACTGGAGCTGTGGCTCAAATAGTACAGTACATGCTTTCCAAGCATGAAGCCCTGAGTTCAAACCCCAGTTCCACCAAAAAAAAAAAAAAAGCCTGTCAACAAAGGGCCAATACTGCATTTTTCCACTTACATGAGCATGACGTGCCAAGAGCCGTCAAGCCCAGAGACAGAAGGTAGAATTATAGGTACTGTTTAGGATAGTCAGTAGTGGTCCATTTTCAAGGCCAAACAGTTAACCCTAAAGGGAAAATTACTGATAACTTGCTTACATACCTGGAAGTCACAAATAGGATTTGGGGGAAGGGCCAATTGACAGGGGAGTGATAACTAGGAGGGGTAAACCATGGTAAAATGAGGAAGTGGGTAAAAACTATGTAAGTGAAACACGTATCATATGGGGGCCTTCCCACCACAAAGAGACTAAAGGAGGTGGAGAATTAAGCCTGCTTCTAAAATTTGACCAATCCCAAGTGAGGCAGATTTTAAAATAACCCAACAGAAAATAAAACTTAGGTGACTTCTGGGAGATCGCACACCTCGTAGTATTCAGCCAATGAGGAACTCGGGGAAGAACCTGTACACTAAAGATAAAATGCCTATTATAACTCCTGTGGACATACCTGCCAACCAGACACCAGAGTATCTTTAAAATCTCCTTGCTGCACTTCTATCTCTGAGTCTGTTCTGAGTCTGGTTCTCATAGGTACGAAGGGCTGGGAAGTTAGTGTCTGGTGGTACAGAGGCTCAGCTTGGGAAGATGGAAAGTTGTGGAGATGGATGACAGGGATGGTCCCAAGAGTGTGAATGTGTTTAGTGCCACTTAACTGTGCTCAAAATAATTACAATGGCAAATTTTACATTTTATCACAATAAAAAAAAGTTAAAACAGATCAAAGCAACACTCCTGGCCATCAGCCCTCTTTAATGCACACCTTACTTTATTAGTAAGTGGCTCCAGGCACCAAGCACTTGGAGGTGGAAGACAGAAGGATGAGTTCAAGGCCAGCTTGGATACATAGTGAGATCCTGTCTCCAAAGAACCAAGGCTGGGGATGTAGCTCAGTGGTAAAGCACTTGCTTAGCATGAGCAAGGCCTTAGGTTTGATCTTTAGCACTGCCAGATAAAGGGGGGGGGGGGGCCTGTGCAAGTGCTGTGATTAAACTCTGCCATGCACACTACCTGGAGGCCAAAGTTGCTGCAACGTGGACCACACCTCCTGGCTCACTGCAGTCCCCTGCAGGACTGCGAGCAGCAGGGCACAATTGTAGTCAAACACAGGAGAATGCCCGGTGAGACAGCCCGGCTGTGGTTTGGTTCATCAGGCCTCCAACTCCTCGAACACTCAGGCTAAGAGGTCACCAGATTTCAGCCACACCTGGCCCAGGTGGAAGGTGCGTTCTATCCCAGTGCTCACTGGGAGGACTGCTGAAAACAGACTGCAATGGGTGACAGGGCCAGGTCATCTTGCTGGCTTGGAAGGCAGTGGGGGCAGGGTTTTGTGCTCAGAGCCAGAAGGGTGGACAGAGGGGAGCCGCCCACAGCAGGAGGGTCACACAGCATCTTTATTGGGGTTGAGGTCCTGACAACACAGGCATCCAGAGCAAGAGGGGGCACGAGGGAACCAGGAGACATCCCCCACATGGCACACTGAGACTCAGGAGTGAAGGAAGCGGTTGAAAGCGTTGTAGGCAGACTCCAGGTCGAACAGCATCTGACGCACCTGAGAGTCATCCAGCTCGTCAGAGGCCGACATGCCACTCAGAGTTTGCAGCCTGGGGACAAAGTCACTTGTGGGTGTGGAGCAGCAGCAGGACTATGAAGTCACAACATAGCTCTGCCTGCCCTGAAAGGCCACTTACCACTGGCTGACTGTCTGGCGGCCCTCGAAATCTGGGGGCAGATGACTCATGCGATGCATGGTCTCCATCAGTTCCCGTAGGTCAGGCTGAATCTGCAGCCACATATATAAAGCTCAGATCTCACCCTATCCTGCCTCTCCCCTCCCGCCCAGGTCCCTCCTCCCTGCCCAGCTCCTGCACCTCATCCATGGCGCGGATCTCTAGGCGAAGCTTGTCCATGACTGTGATGAAGAGCTGGGGAAACATGTGCATGAGGCATCTCCCACTCACCAGAGGTGGGACTACCCCCTGCAGCCGACAGGCCAGTCCTGCAGGGCTAGGCCCAGAGCTGAGTCCCACCCACCCTTCTCTCCCATGTCCCACGGGCCTCCTCCCTGCCTGAAGGCCACTGTATTCAGTATCTGCCTAGGTGGGCCTCCTGGGGCAATGCGTGTTCAGGGTCCAGGGTGCGAAGGGAGCTGTGTGGGAATTGGGGATGCACCCCTGCACAACATTCCCAGGCCAGGAACCTGCTGGAGTGGATCCTGTGCATGTGCATGCCTCTCACAGGAGTCTACAGGCAAGCCGGGTGGGCCTCTAGAGGGCCACCTGGATGTGGCTCACCCTTTGCTCAAAGCTAAAGGAGACCTGTTTAGATGCCGCTAGGTTCTGGAAGCCTGACACTTTGTGTACTGTGTGACTGCAGGCAGTCCCACCCTCCTTCCTTCAGTGTCCTCCTAGGGGCTTTTGGGCACACCGAGACCACGTCAGCAATGCATCGGTTGAGATTGCCCTTGTCGTCCTTGATGGTGATGGGCCGGTCTTCCTTAATCCTTTCCATGGCAAGCGGGCAGTCCAGCTGTGGGGAGCAGACATGGGTGCTGAGCCTCGCAGGGCAGGAGGCCCTATGTTAGGGCCTCACCCCAACAGCAGTCTATACAATGCCCACTGCCCCTTTTCCTTGGGGTGGAGAGACTGGCTCACTCACACGGAACTTTCGGCAGAATTCATCAATGGAGCCGATTTCTGAGCCTTGAACCTGCCGGAAGGCAGCTTTGTACTGGACCAGGAGCCGAGAACAGGCTGCAGTATACCTAAGGAGAGGGTCAGCTGCTGCTGCTGTGAACCTGGGACCAGCCAGCCCCTACTCACTTAGCCAGTACAGACACAGAGCAGCTCTCATAGGTGGCTGGGGATGGGTCATAGACAAGCCAGAGGGTTAAAGGTTTCCTGTTGGGACTGTACAAGGAAATAGCTCTGGACAGGAGCAGAGAGGAGGGGCCAAAATCTGACTGCCACAGGGCACAAAATGCAGACAATGTAGGTTGCCTGGAAGCTCAGCAAGGGCAGCAAGCCCAGGTGCCTGCCCCCTGGACGAAGGCCCCAGACCTCCATAATCACTGAGACCTGTCTGGCTCATTGCCTACCAACTAAGGCCCCTGCATCCGTACTAGGTGCCAAGACTGGCCAACATCACCTCACAAACTGGATATCATAAGGCTCCAGCTCACTCTCTGAGGCTTTTCCATCAGTGAGGACCTCTGTGCCTTCAACCAAAGCCAGGACCACACCATTTGTATATTGTCCTTCACCATCATATACTTCCCAGGCTGAGATGGCACTCAGGTCACTAGCACCCAGGAGCACCCCCATCATGCTGGGTAGCCCCCAGCTTAGGCCCCGGACCGCAGCTTCTGCTGATGGGCACCCATCAGCCATCTGAAGCTGGTAGGCTTGCTCACTCATTGGGGGTGACGCAGTCCTTGATGTATGCTTTCTCCAGCGCCTGCATTGTCTTCACCACTGCAAACAGCTCTGCCATGTTGTCATACCTGGGACAACGTGTCCATCAGGCCACAGTCCTGAGGCAAGGAAGCCCAGGTCTCTGGACCCTGGGGCAGCCAACCCCTGCCCCGGGACACAGTTGTAGCGGAACTGTCAGCCCACTTCTCACCCCAGGAACTGTCTTCCCAGCCTGATCCCATGGCCTCCCCAACATTAGTATGATGGTGGATTTGGGGGAGGCTGGATGGGTATAGGTGTATATGCTGGGAGCAGCCTGGATGCTTAACTTACTTTTCCCGCTCCCGAGCATTCTTGTACAACTTTACTTCCTGTCAAAACAAAGTGGGCAGCTTGTCAGATAGTACCATTTGGTGGCTGCCAGGCCTAGTGAGGGCCACGCAGGTGTTTGCTCTGGGCCAATGCTGGCCAGGTGGACACCTGCCACTCACCTCATACAGTTCCGGCTTGTTCCCAGGGGCTGCAACAAAGTAGGCATGAGCTGACAGGTGAGCCACAAAGTGACCCTCGGGTCCCAACAGCTAAGAAGGAGCTGCAGGACAGGGGTTCCAACCTCCCCACAACTTGCCATCAGTAAGTAGGATATTGCCTCTGAGAGGCTTCAGGCCACATGCCAGGCCTGGCTACAACCCCCGCCCCCTTCCCCATACACACACAAACAGGTGACCATGCCTTGCTTACAAAGCATAAGATGATGCAAACAAGGTCTGTCACATTTTCACAATCTAGGGTTGGTGACACAGAGATCCCAGGACACCTGAGTTTCTGATGAGTACTGAAGCTCATCACTTCTACATTCAGGAGGGTGTCTCTAGGCCCTCAGCATTCTGTTATAAAAGTGTCCTGGTCCTTGGCCACTTCTCAAGGTTACATGAACTCCAGTTGGAGGTGAGAGTGTTCCAGACCACCTCCCCTAACACCACTCCCCTCAGTCCCTGAAGCAGGGAAAGCCGAGGCCCTTCACTCTCCACCCAGCTCAGGCCACACTCACCTCCCATGCCAGGAGTGGCTGGGATCCCGTGAAACATCCTGCAGGATCTGGTGGCCACAGTACAGATACCTAAGAAGCAGAGCCAGCACCTATGCAAGAGACCCCCAACAGCCCAGAAGCATGGCCCTGAGGGGTCAGGGCCTCAGGAAGAGCTTGGGCGCCTTCCACAGGGAGTACAAAGAGCTATGGGGCTGTCAGGGGAAGCAAGGTGTGGATGACCATCACTGAAAATGAGGATGGTGCAAGACAGGAGTAGCCTTGCCATGTGGTTGAGGCTGCTCTGAGACAAGCGGAAGGTGGGGGAGAACTGCTGGAAGACCTGGGGCAGAATTTTGGGCACAGGGAAGCACGCTAACACAGTGCGTTTTCAGGTGGAAAGGAGCAGACAAGTTGGGGGCTGGAGCTTTGGAGGCGGGTTTTATCCTAATGCGGTGGACGCTACTGGACAGCCAAAGGAAAGCTTGTTGAGCTGCTTGGCAGGGCAGCGGAATGTTTAGAAGAGTGGAAGGGAGCGAGGCCAGCATGGTGGCACAAGCCTTGAATCCCAGCGTTCTGGAAGCCTTAGCAGGAGACTGTGAGACCCTGTCTCAAAGGAGTGGAAGCAGCATCTACGGAAGATCTTGCCTAGTGAAGTTGATGCTGGTGGCTGGTCAGTTCCGGTACGTGGAACCACAGACCCACCTTAGGATTTCAAATAGGGTGGAGAGGAACGGTAATAACAACACCCTTGCCGGGCGCTGGTGGCTCACGCCTGTAATCCTAGCTACTCAGGAGGCAGAGATTAGGAAGATCGAGGTTCAAGGCCAGCCCGAGCAAAATAATTAGCAAGACCCTATTTAAAAAAAAAAAAAAAGTCGCACACACACGAAAAAGGGTGGCTCAAGCGGTAGGAGGGCCAGCCCAGCAAGCGCGAGGCCCAGTTCAAAACCCCAGTTCCGCCACACACAAGAAAATAACACCCTTGCTTCTGGCCTAGTGGCACCACGGACTAGGCGAACTGAGTGGCCTGGGAAGCAGGTTCGGGGACAGAGGGCACGCGAACTGCCGAGGTAACCGTTGAGGTGGCCGGGAACAGCCAGGCTAGGGAGTCGGCTCAAACGCGCGACTCGGCAGCGACCAAAGCGCTCCCAGACAGCACTCAACGCCTGCCCCACGCCCCCTGGGGCGCGGAAACGTCTGCGGCGGGACCCAAACCAGGGCCGCCCTCCCTCCGCGTACCTAGGCGCGCTCAGCTGCTCCCGGAAATGGCGCCGGGGCGGAGCGCTCCCGACAGGCAGCTGGACGCTCGTTTTCCTTACTGCGCACGCGCGTGTTGTGAACGACCCGGATCGACGCCCGTCTCTCCGACCGCGCATGCGCGCATCGCGGACAACTCAGATGTAGCCTTCGACTCTCCTGCTTGAGCACCGCCCCCAACCCTGTACTGTTTGGACCCCGCACGGTGATGCCCCAGCCCGTTCCACGCCCACCCGCCTTCCAGGCAGCCACGTATTGGAGGCAGCAGCTTGTTTATTAGGGATTCTTTGGCAGGGAGGGCGGGGCCAGGGTCAGAGGCGCCGAAAGAAGAGCTTGGGCCCTCGGTCCAGCGTGCACACTCCAGGGACCGGCGGCCGCCCGCATAGGACGTCGCGGTCCTCAGTGCACAGGTGTCTGCTGCATAACTGCAGCTCCCGCAGCTGCGTGATGATCCCGTCCCAGAGGCCTGGGCCCAGGGGGCCTTGAATAGAGCAGCCTGCGGGGATGGGGGAAGGGGGGCAGATTTAACCTGCAGGAAGGAGCTCCTGTATAGTATGTGGGGGTCAGGCAGGAGGAAGAGGGGCTCACACATCTACCTACCCCAACAGCCTACACCTCGGTCTGTCCATCCATAATACAGACTTAATAGGGCTACTTGCAAATCTGTATACAGTGGGCCTAAGATCTCAGGACACTGAGGGGGCCAGAGCTTGATCCTTAGGCCAAAACCCTGATCTGTAGGAAACAGGAAGAACCTAGGGCAGGCAGGGTCCACCATCCTCCTGCCCAGATCTCAACTGGACATGCCAGGCTACTGGTCAGTCAGTTCATCAAATATATCTCTTGGACTTTATCTTCCAGACAGCTCAGGTGAGCTGCTCTGGTGTCAAAGAACAAGCTACCTCAAGGTTGGATGGTGTCTGAGCAGGCCCTGCCAGGAAGTGGGACAGTCCCTTTCACCACTTTTTGACTCTGGGCTCCCTCTTCCCATTTATAAGAACTAGGAAACCCCTGGGGAAGAGGATACTTCTTGCCATGTTCTACTTAGGGTCAGGCTGGAGTGACCAGCCAGAGGTAGAGACCCCCCCAGGGAACTCTTGCCCTTGGCTCATGCCCCTTTCCCTTCATGCCCCAGTTTCTCACTACTTGGTCTGTGGCAGTAACAGCCTGTTAGGAGGAGGAACCTAGGTCCCACACCCAGACCTCACCTGACAGGCCAAGGAAGCTAAGGCCTTGAGACCGCTCCTTGAGGGTAGACAGGAGCTCCTCTAGGGTGGTGCGGCTGATCTCAGGGTTGGCAGAGAGGTCCAGGGAGATGAGTGAGGGGCAGAGAGGGAGACACCTGGGATAACATGGAAAGTACAGGATAGGTTTCCAGCGGGAGTCCTTACTCCATCATTTGAAAAGGCTGCCCCAAACCCACAGCCAGGGGCTAGGACTGCAATGACCAGCTCTGGGTGTGCCTGGCCAGGCATGGGTATCACCTGACACTCCCCTGAGGGCTAGATGAGGCTCCAGGGGCATAAGAGACTTTGTGTGGGCAAACAAGAAAGGACATACCAGAGTGAAAAGTTCTCAAGAGCTACAGTGTGATAAGAAAGTAATTCAGGAGAGTAGCATGCCTCTGAGGCCAGCCCTGGAGACAACAGAAGCTGGAAGGAGCCAGCATCACCTGACCCAGTTCCTGCTGGGGTCCTAGGCCTTCAGATCAGGGTCTCCAAGGATAGTGGCAGTGGTGGGACATTACCTGCTCAGTTCTCTCACAGCCTCGTCACTCAGGTAATTTGCAGACAGCGTCAGATGGGCCAGAACACAACCTTCCTGGACACAAGCACAGGCCCCAGAAGGCCATGCCCAGTGGGTACCTGCCCTCCTCCTTCCCAGGAGAGGCCCCATACCCAGGAAGGCCCTTAGTTTGGAGACTGGGAGGGAACACACAAAAGATCACAGGGACCCAGACCCATCTGGAATGCTCCCAAGAAAGAGCATGGGGATGGGGGGAGGGGACTGCTGTGTCCCTTGGGACCTGTCTGGGATGGAGAGGTCACCCGAGTCCCAGGTGTACTGAGGCAGGACCCTACTGGTCTCATGTGGCTGTTCTTCCCAAATCCTCTCTCCAGAGCCCCTCCCAGCTCCTCAGTGCCTCAGCTGTGGGACCTTTATCTGGCTTCTGAGGCCTCATGTTCTGGCTTGGCAGCCTCTCTCCCACCTCGCACCTTGGTCAAATATCTGACAACAGGCTCCATAAGGCCCAAGTCACTCTTGCCGGTTGCCACAGAGCCAATCTCTAGGTGTAGGAGGGCACCGGCAGGCAAGCTGTTCAGGAACCTGGCCAGGGCAGGGGCGCCTAGGGTGTTGTAGGACAAGGACAGGGTCTTCAGGCGCTCAGCATCTGTTATAGGGCCAGAACCTGTTAGCCCATGTGGCCACTACCCCAATTGTGCCCTCTGTCTCCAATTCCTGAGCCCAGAAGCCTCAAAATCCCTTTAGAGAAATTTATACTTAAAATCATGTGGGGAAGCTGAGGTCACAGGCAAAGGCTTTTTGCCCAAGTCTCCTGAGCCTAGCTTTCCCCACCCTACATACAGCTACATTTCCAGCTGCTAGAGATGGGGCCCTGGACTAGGCAGTCAGGTCAGTTCTCCAATGGTTGGTACCAACCCCATGCCCCTCCCCCTGCTGGGCTCCCTTGTGAGGTCCCAAGTCCTAGCTTTTTATTTATTTTTGCCTTTTCTTTTTTGGTGCTGGGGATTGAACCCAGGGCCTCACACATGCTAGGCAAACACTCTGTCACTAAGCTACATCCCAGTCTGGGGACTGGGGCTCTGCATCCAGGTGGCCTCATGGAGGAACAGCTTCAAGCAAGCAGAAAGTTCAGGCCACAAGCACAGGGGGTCTTCCGGGGCAGAAACTGCCTGCCGTTAAGTCCCAGGCTGGGTAAACACCAGCTGCCCCTCAAAGCCTAGGCAGGTCCCACACCCATATGTTGTCCTGTGCTCTGAGTAGCTGGCCCCTCCTGGAGGAAGTCAAGCCTGACATCCCAGGGCCCTTGTGCTCAAGACCCTGATTCCTTCAACACCTGGGCTCAGGGAATACATGTGCCCTGTTTAGCTCACCTTGGAAAGCGCTACTCAGGACTGCCCGGTGGTTCTGGAAGAAGCTGGGGCCAAAGCCGCAGGCCTGCAGGCGCAGGGTGCTGAGCAAGGGGCAGGCCCGCAGGAGAGAGGCCAGGGCTTGGCCACAGCCATCCCCCAGCGGGTTCATGCTTAAGTCCAGCTCCTCCAAGTTCTGTGGAAAACATCAGCTAACACTGAGCTCCTAGATACCCATGGGGCCAGCCTCCCTTCCCCAAGTGCTGGCCCACCTACAGAGTTGCACAGGCCCAACTACAGAGTTGGGCACTGGCCAGCTGTCCATGTTTCACCAGACCATTGAATGGCTGAATGGGAGCAGAGATGCCTTGCAGTTGCTGGCTGTCGGCGCTGAGTCCCTACCTGTAAGGCAGCCTGGCTCAGGGGCTCCCCAGTAAGTTGCCGCAGACCTTCCTGGCTCAGGTGATTGGAGGAGAGATCAAGGACAATCAGGCTGGGCATGGTGCCCAGGGCAGCCAGCAGCTCAGCAGCACATTCATCACCCAGCCGGTTTCCAGCCAGGCGCAGCTCCCGGAGCACTGTGTGGCATTTGAGTGCCCGTAGCAAGGGTGTGAGTTGGGCCTGGCGCAAGGCGAGGGAGCAGGCACTGAACGAGGGGCCTGAGCCCTGGCGCTCCATGGCCTGCAGCACCTGTTGGTGCTCCCCTGGAGAAGGAAATGTGGGGCTACCAGAAACAGAGCCTACACCTTCAGCCGCTGAATGCTACAGAGGAACCAGAAGTCTGGGAGTAGGCCATGCTGAGCCCACTCCCACAGTCCTGGGATTCAGTGCCACTTGGCACCTGCACAAGGCAAGTCTGACCTCCCTCAGTCATGCTCACCTCTATGTCCCAAGGTTCCTGGCAGTTCCCAGCCCACATCAGACCTCTGTGACTTGGGTTACTTTATAGGATTCTACTCTGAGCTGAGCGCCAGTGGCTCATGCCTGTAATCCTAGCTACCAAGAAGCAAAGATCAGGAAGATCGTGGGAGCAAATAATTTGCAAGACCCTATTTTGAAAATAGTGAACACAAAAAAGGGCTGGCAGAGTGGCCCAAGTGGTAGAGCACCTGTCTAGCAAGTTTGAGACCTTGAGTTCAAGCCCCAGTACCACAAACAAACAAACAAACAAACAAACAAGATCCTGATCTGACAGCCTGTGATCTCAGGCTGTCTGCCCCCATCTGTCACCCACACATCAGAGTGCAGCAGGTTTGAGTCTCAGAGGAGTGCCCTACAGATCTGAGGATGGCACAGGATGGGTGGGGCCAGCATGCCCAGCCCCTGTACCAGGGCTTCACCTAAAGCCAGGGCCCCTTCACCTTGTCCGAGGCTCTGGCAGGCCCTGCGGTAGCGGTCTGTTAGTGGAGGGAGGTCCCACGAGGTTACTTCAGCCAACACCTAAGAAGCACTATTGGTGAGCAGCCCTTGAGGCACCCAGTGATAGGTGGCCAGTATCCCTGGGCCTGGTCCTTTTGCCCACCTCATCATTGCTCTGCAGCACATCAGGAATGGGGTCCTGTGGGGCCAACAAAGCCCCCTCCTTCCGTAGGGTGAGCCTTGGCAGCAGCCCACAAGTCTGGTAGTAGCGTTGGGCAGCCTGCTCAGCCAGCCAGGCCACAGAGTGGATGTCACTGCTGTAGGAATGGCATGTTCAGCTTGGGCAATGCCCTGGGGTCTTGCTGTCCCCCTTTTGGCCTAGAGCTCCCTGATCTGGTGATTTCCCATCTCCTCCAGACAGCTGGCTTCCTATCCCTGCAGCCCAGCACACCACCTACTCCTCCGGTCATTCCTAAGCACTGCAGGGCCTGCCCTGGTCTCTCCAAGGACCTCTGTCTGGGCTTGTGCAGGGCACGCTGGGGCTCGGGGATGGTGGTGGGGTGGAACATCAAGTCTAAAGGAACTCTCATTACATGTCCTACCCTGCATACACGAGGGTACTGGGAACACAGCCGCCACCAATAGCCCTGGCACAGAGCTTTATGGTGGGTAGGCTGGGAAAGGGCAGGCAGACACCTTACCTGTGTGGGACAGGGATGAGAAAGAGGTTATCCTGAACTCGAACTCGAACCCGGATAGGAGGGGGCTGAACCAGAACCTGGCAGGTAGGGGCAGGAGGAAAGAGTAATCAGGAAAGATAGGACTCCATCCCCACCTGCGCCAAACTAAGAAGCCAGCCCTGTTCCTGGCCTGTGCACCCACCGAGGGCTGGCCTGCTGTAGGGTTTTCCCCACTGGACCCCAGGACCCTGGGCACACTGGTGTTCCTTGGGGGCTCTACAGCCAAGCTGCCACCTCCTGCTTTGTCCAGTACACGCCAACTCTCGAGGCAGGTCAGGCGGCTCTGCTCAGCCTGGGCCCGGGGTCTCACGGGGTGCTCATCATCTGATCCTGAAGCACTAGGCCTGCTGCTGTCCCCAGTGCCCTGGGGGCGGGTCAGGCGAGGTGGGCGGCTGCGGGTAGTGGGTACATCCAACTCCAGCCAATCCCCAGCCAGGTATTCCTCCTCTGGAATGAGTGCCGCCTGAGAGGTAGGGTCTTCACCTGGGCCCCAAGGCAGACCAGGCCCCAGGCGGCGGCTCTGGGCACTGCCCACACTTCGGATGGCTGCCTGGTAGGCAGCTCGGGCTGTGCTGGCTGTGGCTGCCCCCCTGCTGCTGGTAAGGCCAGGTTTCCGGGCCCCATCCTGCTCTACTGGGCCAGAGCTCCTCAGCTTTTTCTGGAATGGTCTCCGGGTGCCCACACTTTCCTCCTCCTCAGAGCTGCTGCTGCTGCTCGCCGGCCTGTGTCTGTTCCTTCGAGGCCTGATTACAGCTGGTGAAGTCTGCTCTGGGGACACCCTGGCGGGAGCCACAGGGACCTCTGGCTGTCTACGGGTATGTGAGGAGAATTCTGGGCAGGGACTTGAGGGAGGAGAGATCTCGGGGTCAAACACATGGTTACTTGGGATGGTCTGGAGGTCAGAGGAGCTGTGGAGGGCTGTGGGAGAGGGAATCGGTCATGAGATGGAACTGGCACCTCGTCCCTAACCCCTATGCTCAAGGGTCCCTCAGAGTCAAAGTTCAGGAACCAGGAGCAACATTCTCAGGTTAGAGGAGGCACTACTTACCTGGGCCAGAGGAGGCCACCTGCAGCCTCCTTTCCATGGCTGCTGCTTTCTGTCGTGTCTCAAGGTCCAGGTCCCTGTGGTACAGCTCCACCCACTGCTGCAGTGTCTGCAGAGGGCTGTGGCCCTGTGTGGCACCCAGATGAGCAGGACACAGAGCAGACACTCTTCCCAGAGCCCCATGCCCTCCATGACTGCACCCAGGCTAACCTTCCTGGTTCGGAGGGTGACAGATGCCCCTCTCTGAATGAGCAGTTCAGCCACCTCAAAGTGGCCACAGTTGAGGGCATCATGAAGTGGGGTAATGCCTTCACACCCCTGGCCGCCAGGGTCATCCACTGCAGCCCCATGGTCCAAAAGGAAGCGGACGATTTCTGTGAACCAGGGGAAATCAGCCTAGCTCCCAGTAACTTGTTCAGATCCCCAGACCCACAAGCTCACCATGTGTGCCCAGTCTAGCCCAGCTCACCCAGATGCCCGTAGTTGCAGGCCTCATGCAGAGGTGTCCAGCCACAATAGTCCCGAGGATTCAGGGGGTGGCCCTGTGACCAAGGACAGGAAAGTGCCTAGCCTTGTGTGCTCTGAAGCCTGGGACCAAGTCCCTCAGTCTCAGAGCCCACAATGGGCTCCACATGTCCATTCCTTGGCCTGGTCTGGCCTGGCCCTCTCTTCCTTGGGCCTTGAGCTCACCAATGGAAGCCATGCTCCCTGCTCCCCAGGCTGGCTGAGCAGCCATAGTGGATCCTGCAGCCTGTGTGCTGCCCTGGACAGAGACTGCAGGCTGCAGGGCCTGTGGCAGGAGGGAGGGAGCCAGGGCCTCAGCCTGAAGGCCATAACCATCCTAGCCAGTCCAGCCCAGTTAGCCACAGCACAAATGCTACATATGTCTTGTACCTCAGGTCTTGTATTACACACAAGTGACAAGGGAGAGCTTGCCCAGGCCCACAGTTCCTTCATGAGAGAGCCAGGGCCAAGTGACCTGTCTAGGGACGGTAGCCCACCTGCCTCACAAGGTCCTGGACACGGTGCAGATGGCCTTCAATGCAGGCTCGATGTAGCAGGGTCTCTCCCATGTCATTGCGTCGGTTCCACTGTGGGCACAGACGCCCCAGCTCGGGGCAGAGGTGTGAGGGACAGGAGGTGTTGTTGGGTATGGGTTGGGGTGAGGGTACACTGTACTCACCTTGTTCACTTTCCGCCTGCCCAAGCAGCCCTGAAGCTCCTCATCCTCTCCTAGTTGCTGGGACAAGCCATCAGCGTCATCCTCTGGAATAGAGCCAAGCCCACCAACCCTGAGCCTGTGGGAAGCCAGTGGCAGAAGCCTCTACCCAACTCAGGCTCTCCTGACCAGCAGAGCAGAGCAGCAGCCACAAGTGGGAAGATGGAAGTCTAGGGCTTGTGGGCTCTTGGGGCTCCTCAGACAGATGAGGCCAAAGCTGACTCCTGGCCCAACATCAACCCTACCAACAACTCATTTCTATCACCATCCCTTTGCCCAAAGGGGACATGCACTTTACCTTTTTGGCCCATCCTCAGAGAACTGTACAACTGCCTGTTGTGTGCCAGCCTTCCCCCCCTGTACCCATACCTTGCCCTGTAGGGCAGTCTTCACCACAGACTTCTGCTGTCCTCTCACCTGGGAAGTGCCCTTGTTAGGCCAAGTCACCCCTTAGGCCCGGCTTCCTTGGGTGCTCCTGGGTTTCCAGGTCCCTCCCCTGCCCCTGGTGATTCTTGCCAGACCCACTTTACCAGTTCCTCTGCTTCCTCCTGACTTCCCCTGGCCCTTTCTACACCCTTCCTCACCAGCCTCTCTAGCTGTGGCCACAAGCCAAATGATGTTTCCTGAAGTTGCAGATCTTGGTCCTTTCTTCCCTCACCACCTCCACACCAGCAACATCAAACTTGACCCCTCCTCTAAGGGTCTGCTGCCAGGATGATAGCTGCTCACCTTTCACACCTGAAGTCAAGGCCATTCCAAGAAATACCTCCCTCCCACTGCCAAGTCTCACAGATAGTTCCTCTGTACCCACCACTCAGCTGGAAACAAGCCTGTAGCTCCACAGCCTCCTAACAACCATACTCTCAGTCCCATCCCTTCCACTCTGCTCCCACAGCCAAGTCTGCTTGATCCGAGCTCTGCTCTAGTTGACCCCTCACACGCATAGCAGCTGATCATGCTGGCATTCAGAGTTCCAGGAACATGCTGGAAGCATGGGGAGCAAGGCCATCCATGACATATATCTCACTTCCTCTAGATGTGGGACACCTGATTCTAAGGGAACCATCTCCCGTGGCTGACTCCCACTTAGCCTCTGAGAGCCTATCACATTCTGGCCCAGGTTCTCTATAGGCTGCCAGCCTCCTCTGTCCTCTTCCACAGAAGAACTTGTTGCCTTGCTGCCTATAGCTGTTTCCCCACTATGAGTTCTGAGCAGGCTCCGTGGGGCACAGCTCTAGTCCTCACTAGGCCAGTCCAGGGCCCAGTTCAGAGCAGGACCAAGAGGGAAGGGGCAGATGCTGCCAGCACAGCAGCCAACACAGCAGCCAATGCAGCATACGGCTCTTACCACTCTCTGAGAGCTCAAGATCACTGGCCTCTAGGGCCTCACTGGCCTCAGCCTCTTCTTCCTCTTCCTCCTCATCTTCATCTTTGGCCAGACTAAGTTCCTGTAGTCTGGTTTCAGTGCCAGGGGCCTCTTGGGGCTGCAGCCTTAGCTGTACAGTGTGGAGGTGCTGCAAAATCTGCCTCTGAAGAGCAGAGGGGACATACCATTCAGGGATAGGGTGGGACAAGCATGGTTAGAGGGAGCAGGTGATGCAGGGAGAGATGGGGATGTGGAACAAGGGGGGCAGGTAGACTGCAAGTAAGCTGGGCTTGTTAGGGACCCTGTGTAGGTGGGATGAGCTCTTGTACCTGTAGCAGGGGCCGCTGGGCCTGCTTGGCACAGCTAAAAGCCTTCTGGAAGCACTGTGCCAACAGCTCATATGCATCGCCAGCCTCCTCACGGGACAGTGCGATGTTAAACCAGGTCTTGGCCTCCTGAAGCAGAGAAGGACGAGGCTGGTGGCCGCTGCCCATCACATCCAGCTGGCTATAGCCATAGGCTGGCTTCCTCTAGCTATCCACATAAAATAGGAAGATCTGCCTTGGCTCTGTGCCCTGTCTTCAAACTGATGGAGGTCAACAGTGTGTGGGAAAAAAGTGCCTGTCAAATGGGGGCACCCATCCACACCCAATCCTGGAGGAACAGAGGGCCCAAAACAGAGACTACTCTCACAGAGGAGACAGGGGCATGTCACCTCCAGGGCATTGCCCTTGCGTAGCCTCAGTTCCTCTTCATAGTGGTGGACAGCCTGGTGGTAGTCCTTCATGTCTCCTAGTGTGGCAGCCAGGGACACATGGATGACAGCCAGTTCGACATCCGGTCTGTTTAGCTGCTCAGCAAAGTGCAGCTGAGGAGTGGGCACCGTGAGGCCTAGTCTGCTCTGCACCTTGCCAGCCCCTTCCTCCCACTCATTGAGGAGTCACCCACTTGTTTCTGGTAAGCCTCAGCAGCCCTGGGAAAGTCACCAGCCTTTGAGAACAGGTCTCCCAACTGCTCACAGATGGCCATCGCACTCTTAAGGTCATTGCCCTCAGTTTCTTCCAGTCTCTGCTGTAGCCGGACCACTGCCAACACTACCACAAAGAGTCTTGTGACAGGAGGCAGCTCCGTATTGGACCCTGACCCCAGGCCACCACCTGCCAGGGGTATTCCTTTAGGTGGGAGAGCCTGGGAACAGAGGAAAGTGAGGCCTCTCCATGCCTCCACCTGCCCATTGGTAAAGCGGGTGGTGGTGGTGGTAGAAGAATCTACCATGTGGAGCCCTCACAGGCTAGAAGAACAAGTATGCTTAACAGTCTGGAATGGTGCCTGGCCTGCAGGCAAGGTTGATCACTGCTAACCACCACTGAGCATCATTGTATCGGTGTATGGGCCACATGTGTTCCCACCCCATTAGGTCGGAGAATGAATGCTATCTCCAGCTTACCAATGAAGATGCTACCTTGTGAGCAGTGGCCCAGGAGTCTCCTGCCTACCTGCCAGTGCCCTAGACATGCTGAGCTACAGACTTAGACAAAAGTGAAGTCTCCTCCCAACAGGGACCTATGCTTACTGGAAGACAGCTCTACTGATGTCGCCACTCCCCAGTACCTGAGCTTGAGCCTCTTCTTTTTGGGGAGCAGAAAAGAGCCCTCCCTCTTCCTGGGGGATTCAGGCCCAGGCTCCCATAGAACCTCACCATACTTGAGACTTTGGCAGATGGTTGCCCTCTGTGTAGGCTTCTGGGAGCCCAGCCTGTAGGCCTTCTTCAGGGCTCGTTTGGCAGCTGGAAAGTCTCCCAGGTCTTGGAGGACCTAGGAGCAGAAGAAGGTGAGGCCTGCGGACTCCCCAAGGCCCAAATCCACCCGGGGCTGAGCCCAGAACAGGTGAGAGTAGTACCTGGGAGACCACCACACAGCACTCGCTCTCCATGAACTGCATCTTCATGGCTCGTGCACACTCCCGGGCCCCCTCCAGGCAGCGCATGGCCTGAGAGTGCTGCCCTTTGCGCCAGTAGATGGCACCCAGGTTGTAGCGGGCTCGGAACAGGTCTTCATACAGGTGGTTCTGCCTGTGGGGGTTGGGGTAACAGGTGCTCAGAGAGCCCAGAACATTCTGGCTTTGGAACAGTGGACCGAGGGCACTGAAGTGCTAAGATGCAACTGAGATATAGAGGACATTCAGCCAGTTTCATCTATTGGTGCCACACAGACCCCAATATCCCCATGCTGTGGTCCCAGGCCCAAGCCTGCTCCTCCCCAGACTGCCATACAGATGTGAGGGGCTTCTCTGTTCACAGAAAATCAACAGCCCAGCCAGGCTGCCCTCCCAGGAGGATTCTGGGGGCCACTTTGTCTCTCCTGGGGTAGGGATGGGGTCTCACTCAGCAAGAAAGATGCTCTTCTTGAAGTAGTCGTTGCACAGAGCCATCTGTTCCAAGCTCTCAAAGGTGAGGCCCAGGTTGAGATAGAGTCGGGTCCTCATCTCGCTGAGCTCTCGCTGGGCCAGCGTCCCTGGAAGATGCCCACTCCAGACACTCAACTTCTTTCTCTGGACATTGGGCTTCCAGCTGCTCCTCTATCTTTCCCCCTACCTCTCACTGTGGGAGCAAGGGGTCTGCTGAAGACACAGTGTGATGGGCACAAACAGCAGATTCTTACTGGATTCAAGGTGGTGGGCAACATAGGCCCTACAACCCCTCACACAGGAACCTTGCAGAAGGTGGGCCCAGAAAGGCAGAAAGTGGGGAGAGACAAGGGTAAGGGCACTGACCCTCCAGTTTCTCATCCACAATAGCCAAGCTCTTCTCAAAGGCAGTCTGTGCCTGCAACAGGGCATCCCTTGACTGGCAGTGGTCATAGATGTCCAGGTGGGTGCGGCCAATGGTGGCCCAGGCTCTCTGCAGCTCCGTGTGATTGGACAGGGAACTAGCCAGCTCCAGATAGTGGTGTTGGTGCTAATGTGGAGGAAATGCCTCTGAGCTGATCCTGTCTAAGCAAACCCACAAGTCCTGACCCCAGGGGTAGCTACTTTTGTTCAGGAGCGGCCTCTGCTCTCCTAAAGCACTGCAGAGCTGCCCACATTGCATTGTGCGAAAGGCTATCTGTGGTGACAGTAAGACCTGTCTGAGGTGTCGCCACTCGCCCCCATCAGCAGAGTTCAAGTTATAGCTTCTTAATAGTTTCTGCTGTCACAAACGCATTCGTGCCCCAACACCCACCCCCGCCCCGCCCCGCCCCGCCCGGACCAAGCCGCTGGCGGGCCCTGAAAGTGATGCTGCCGCGGGGTCCCTCTCGCCTGAGGCTCGGGTGAAGACTGGACCTCTAGCCTCAGTCAGGAGGCCGCCGCGACGGTCCGCACCTGCAGGGCTGCAGAATAGTCCTCCATCTCCGCCAGCCGCTCTCCGATCTTGCGGTGGGCCACGGCGCAGCCCAGGGGGTCCAGGGCACTCTCCAGCAGCTGGAGCTCCTGCTGGTGCTCCTCCAGGGCTTCTGGGAAACGGCCTACCAGGAAGGGCACGGCGCGCAGTCACCGGGGCAGGCGGGCAGCGGGTGTTGCAGCAGCCTCGGGAAGGTCTCGTCCCCACCCGCCCGCCTGCTCGCCTGCTCGCCTGCTCGCCTGCTCACCATGGCCAGCCAGCAGCTCCCCCAGCTGGTGGCAGAGGGCCGCCTCCTCGCGCAGCTGCCCGCATCTCTGGGCTCTGGCCTTGGCCTTACTCAGCTCTGCCGAGAGGAAGGAGAACCAGGGGCTAAACCGAGCCCTACTCTCCGCCCCGTGCCCTGGGTACCCGCGCCCCGAGGCACTCACGGCGGAGGTCGCGCTCCAGGTTCATGCTCAGACCACCGCTAGGACTTCCCGCGTTGCGCAGTTGCCCCGCCCACCCCCCCGCCCAGTACAAGGGCCCGGCCAACCCTATTGCGCATGCGTAATCCTGCCCCTCCCGCGCCAGGGCCCGCGTGTACAGCGTCGTGGGAGCTGTAGTCAGCCTTCTTGCGTCATCCTGGGAGCAGTAGTTCGGCGGCCCCATGCGCGGCCCCATGCGCGACCCCATGCGCGACCCCATGCGCGGTCCCACAAAGTGCGAGCAGAGCCTCTACTCCCGCCGCCGCCCGGGGGTTCTTCCTTGCAGGGCGCGGAAGGACAGGCAGGCGCTGAGGACAGGGCCTGGGGCGACGGGCTGGCCCTGCCTTTGGTCCCTTTGGGTTGGGGTCCCTGGGCTGCTGCCGTTGAACGGCCGCTGGTTTGAACACCGATGGATTCACCAGTCCTTTTATTACAGGTTTTCTGTAATGCTGCCCCCACTTCCGTCTGAAATTAAAACACACAATACCTACTTACAATTGGAACTTTAAAAAGGCCACTTGAGGGCTGGCGGAGTGACGGAGCCCTACTTTGGAAGCACGATGCCCTGAGTTCGAACTCCACCAAAAAAAACCGGGAGGGGGATGGTGGAGTGGCTCATGTGGTAAGAGCGCCTGCCTAGCAAGTGTGACACCTTGAGTTCAAACTCCAGTGCCTAAATAAATAAATAAATAAATGTGAGGCCCTGTGTTTAAATACTGATACCCCCCCCCAAAAAAAAGTGACATGACGTCCTAATAGAAGAAGAAATAAAAGTGATTTGTAACCAAATATACTGGAACAATCAGGCATGAGAACTTAATTGCTTTTCAGCCCATATGCAGAGTACACACATGGAGCTAGGGTTGGTTAGGTCCACTGGTATATGTCCAGTCACATGTGGGAACTCAAGCCCCAGGCCTGTTAGAGGAAGGAGATAGAGGAATGTGTTTTCCAAAATGAACAGAGCGAAATACTGTTTTTCTTGATGGAGGTGTCATTCCTGGAAGATGCAGTAAAGGCACATGAAAACTGCAAAACTACTTTGTGTTGGGAGGTAAGAGGGAGTTAGAGTCTAGGCTGGGAGACTTCTCACTGACAGAGGGTCAGAGGCATGTCTGGAATCCTGTTACTTGGGGCACCCTGTCATCTTGAGGGACCAAATGCCTGCCATGTCTTGAGGCAGGCAAGCCCAGCACTGGTCACCTGGCTGTGTCCTCTCAGAGAAGCATGGGTGCAGAGTCTAACAAAGCCCAAGAAGGAGTGGGAAGCCTTAGGAGGCAGAGATCAGGATTACAGTTGGAAGCCAGCCCCAGCAAATAGTTCACGAAACCCTATCTTGAAAAAACCCATCACAAAAAAAGGACTGGTGGAGTGACTCAAAGTGAAGGCTCTGAGTTCAAGTCCCAGACCACAAAAAAAAAGGGGGTGGGGGAAGATTTTTTTTCTTTTTTTGTTTTTGGGGGGCAGTACCAGGGCTTGAACTCAGGGCTCACACTTCTACCATGTTTTTTTTTTTTTTTTCTATTTTAATCAAAACAGTCAATGGGGTAAAAAAAACCTCCCAACCAGTGGACAGACAGCAAGTATGTGGGGGAGAGTGATGTGAAGGGTAGATGTGTCTAGGAAGAGCCACCAGAGACAGGCAGAAGGCAGTACTGGCCTCCTGGTGTTGGTTGGGACTGGGCAGGTTTAGACCTTGCTGCCTCCAATGCTGCAGGGGTGGGGCAATCCTAATCCTGCAGAGCTGTGTGAGGAGAAAAGGAAATCAGATGCAGGTAGCCCTCCTTTTGGAGGATAAGTTGCTCTATCAGGCTTTCAGCTGGGCCTGGGGTGTTGGACAAAACTTGTAGGCCATGCACAGCCAAACCCTTCCCCATCTAAAGCACTGCTCTGAAATCAAATGAGTTACTTGGAGGGCAAGTTAGTGAGGTATGTGAGAGGCACAGTGATGGAGGGGTGGGGTGGGAAACAAGATGCAGAATTAGAGGCTGGCTCAGGTCAACAGACTGAAGACAGGGAAAGTTCCCCCAGAACTGCTGGGAAGACCATAATCTGCCTTTTCCCCAGCCCCAGGGTTCATAGGTAAGTGTTTCCTGGGAGTCCAATTCTCCTTCAGAGGCAGTCTAACCTTTCTATGCCTGTTTCCCCACTGACATGCCAGGAAGTGTTACACAGGGCTGGAGGCCTGGGATGGGACTGGCCACAGGCTGCAGACAGCAGGGGAGGCTAGCAGAGCCCAGGAAGTCCACCCACCAGACTGTCTTTTCTGGTAAAGAAACACAGACAAAACATGGTTTGTAACATTTTTTTTTTAACTACAGTTACATACAGAAAATATTAAAGAAAACGCAAACCACAAAAATGACATGTAAGTCATTTCCAACAGCCATAAAAACACTTCTTATTCTGCTCTTTAAAAAATTATTTTTATTATTTTTGTAAATGTCTCATGTTAGGCAAACTGAGGGATGTGGTGCTCGCAGGGAGTGGGGGTGAGACAGGTGGAGGGAGGCAAGAGGCCTGGTTTGGCCCGTACCCTCCCCCACATCTGCCAAAGCTGAACATCCCCTGCCCATCCTCAGTTAAAGGACCAGGTCAGGACAGCAAGATGATACAAGATTCTAGAGATAAGCCAGTAGATGTGGTGCCCCCAGTAATGAAGGGCCCACAGTGGCAATGCTGCAAGAGTTTATAGCGCCAGTCCCCAGCATGTCAGACATGCTAGTCTTCTTGGGTGTCAGGTTCCCCTGGGCTGCAAGGCTGCTGCTGCATGTGACAACCATAAATAAGGCAGGGGCCATGCTGGGGATGGCATTAGAATGCCAAGTTCTCCTTAGTACCCCCAGACACACCATACCCCTAAGGAGGGCACTACTCTCATCCCCATATGTGCCTTGGGCTGACCCCCTTCAGTTCACCTCACACTGCTGCTGATTTCAGCACTGAGGAGATAGGGCTGCAGGGTTCAGCCAGCCGTGGAGCCTCAGTCCTCCTTATGGTTTCCCAATCCCCGCAGCCACACACACCTGCACAAACAGCTCTAATACCTCCACACAACACACCCCAAGACCCCCTGTTTGTGCCAATGAGAAAGAAGCTTCTCACCTGTCCCACCCCAGAAAACCTGCTGGCCCCCCTCTGCTGAATCAGTCTCTCACATGTACCCAAACTCATCCTGCCCTGACCCCCACACACCACCCTGAAATCCAGATGGGCTCCTGGAGTGTGTGTGTGTGTGTGTGTGTGTGTGTGTGTGTGTGTGGCTTCTTCCTCCAGAGATCTTTTGGGCCCACCGGGGTATAGGGAAGGGCTACCCCTGAGGGCAAGGGAAGTCGGGGGCCTGTACCTGAGTCAGAGGCCACTGCTACCATGGGTGTTCTGGGACCAAGGATGGGCCTTTCTAACTCTCCTGGCCAGGTTTTTTTTTTACAGGAGGGAACTCCCTGCCAGCTCTACACAGGAACCCACACAGGAGTCTCAGAAATAGCTCTGAGAAACTTACAGCCTATGAGGGGGCAGGAGGACCAGGCTGGAAGGGAGAAATGATTCAAGGGGCCACACCAGGCTCTGTGCCTGACCATGCTCAGGAATACAAGTGGAGCTTGAACTCTCCCTGTGCCACAGCCTCTTCTCTCCATTTCTCAGCCCCTGCCTTCCTGAGGTTTAGGGGTGGGAAGAGTCTCAGGAGTCAGTGGACCTATGCTCTGCCCCCACCAACCAGGGCTACACTGCCCCTCAGCTCAGAGGAACATAGAGCAGTGGGGGAGGGGGTCGTGGGGTGCCAGGCACAGGTAGCCTGCAGGGAGTGGTGGGGCTGCTCTGAGGCATGTGGAGACCTGGCTAGGGCAGAAGAAACCGGTTCTTTGGTATTTAAAGCAACAAAAAGCTATCACAGAATATCCCCATCTCCTAAGCAAGGATTGAGGGGAAAAGTCCTAGCCTTCACAGTAGCTCCGAGGGACCCAGGGGAAGAAAGGACCAGGATCCAGCACCTCTAGGCAGGGCTGTTTCCCACTGTGTGAGGCTCAAACACTGGACCTGCTCACAGCTACCACTCAGAGAATCTGAGAAGGACCAAGTCAAGGCTGGAGAGGGCCTACCTCCTTCAAGTACAAACCCACCCTGCCCTGGCTGCAGCTCCCCAAAGAGTGAGCAGTCATGTGGGGCAGTTCGCCCTTGCAGACCTCACCTAGCCAGGCTCTCACAACCAGTGGCTGCCTCCTTTGTACACGGAGAACACTAAGCCCTCAAGGCTGAGTAGAGTGAATGGATTCTTTCTCACTAAAACCGTATCACTTATAGAAGAGCCTGGAAAGAGTTTATTTATTTATTTTTTCCTGGGAAGAGACAATTTCACCCTGCATTCCGAAAACATTTGCTGAGCCTTGGTGGCTGAGTCCTGCCTCCCTGGAATAGTCAGTGGCTGGGGGAGCCCCAAGCTTCCCTGGCTCTCCCTGACCAGACAGATCTCAGCTCTGACCCCTGTGACAGAGCGGAGTAGGCAGCAACTCTTGAGTTTCTCCTTGAGGGACACGCACAGGTGCAGAACCAGGGTCGAGGTAAGCTCAGACCCCCAGGCCAAACCAAAGCTCCCACACAGTCCATTCACAGCCACTCCTTCCCCTCCAACAAAACAGAAAGTAGGAAACAAGGCTGCCTTTTTAATTGCAATCAAATATGCCGTCTGAAGTTAGCGAGGGCCCCTGAGCCCGGCCCGGGAACCAGAGCAGGCAGCGCTACCTTGCTATGAGGATGGGAGCTGGGGCAGGGGTGGCTAGCTTCTTGCCCTCCTTGCCACCCATCCCTGAGCCTGGGGAGCCCACAGTACTGTTTCCTCTGTGGTCAGCCCAGCCTCTGACTGCCTGCAGAAGGGGGGAGGCGGGGGTGAAGGGGGTGTGCCGGAGGTGGGGACCCCGTCATACACGCATGCAGACTTTCCCAGTGTTTGGTTTTGTTTGTTCTCCTCCTTTGCTAAAATGATCAGATAGTCGTGTGAAGCTGCTGCCAAGCCAGGGGTGGATGGGACAGAGGTGCCAGGCAGCAGCACTCTGCTCCTCGGGCATCCTGGGCCCAGCCTACTTCTGTATCTGGAATAGGAAAAGCCGTAGGTTGATGTTCTTGGCAGCCAGCAACTTGTTGCATTCCACAGAATCGATGATGGGCAGTGGCACATAGTCTGTCTCGTTGCTCTCATTGGTGAAGACAAAGTGATAGATGACGGGACTGATCCTCACATCGTCATAGGGGCCCTTGAGCAGCAGGAAGGAGCACTCCAGGGGTGCTGTGACCTTGCTCTTGAGGAGCAGCTGGAAGGAAAGTGTGCGCTTGCATGACAGGTTGGGGTTGCGCTCCGAGTCATTCACACGAGCCTTCAGGACCCATGTCTGGTTCAGCACCGTGAACCTCGGTGTCTCATAGTATAGGCGCGTGATGAAGTCATCTGTGCGGTAAGGCCGGAACTGAACCTCTGTGGAGACAGGGCCGGAAACAGCCAACTGTTAGTGTTGGGCAGTGCTGGGTGGCGGCGCCTTCCCCGACCAGGCCGAGGACAGGCTCAGCCAGGGAGGAAGGCAACTTACCCGGACACAGCGAGCTCTACTTGTCACAAGGCAAGTCAAACGCAATTATGGCAAATGGAGGCGCACAAGCTTTGGGGGAAACAACTACAAACAGAATTAACACCAATTAGCTGGAGAGTCCAGAGGCCGTGAGAGGTCAGGCCTTGTCCCAGGTGTGGCCGACCCACAGGGATGCCCTCCTCACCCTCAGCCCCAGTGCCCCACAGGGGCAGGGTAAGCAGACACACAGACAGGATGCAGTTCTGAGAACAAGTACACTTTATTGGTTCCAATACAGAGCTGCCAGAAAAGCCAGTGGGCAGGCATGTAGCACCTGGCCCTGCCTGAGGGGAGTGCCAGTTCCTTGGGTGTTGCACTGTGATGCGGGCTCTGCCCGGCTGTCTGTGGGGCCGTCAGTCAGCGGGCAGACCTGCCTTCGCAGTCCTCTTGTGAGCCCACAGCCTGTGGCTGGCAAGTCCCTTTGTGGAGGCTTGGGCTCTCAGGCAGCCAGTCCTTCCTGCGTGGATGGGGTTTCCCACCTGGCTCCAGCCCACCCAGCCCCCATGGCCCGCCAGATCAGCTGAAGCTGCTCCTAACCTGGGGTCATGGCTTTCTGCTGGTGCAGTCCCATAGGCCCTTGGCCTCTCAGGCCTACACATAGCCAGGCCCAGTCTAAGCAGCATGTTGTGACTGGCTGCCCATGATCGCCCTGGGTGCTCTGAGCTGGCCACATGGCATGGGCTGAGCCGTAGAGGAATGGAGTTTCCCTGAGTGGCCCCAATGCCAGCAGGTGCTTCTTGCTGTTCTTTGTCCCAGGCTCTGGCCTGGATCCTGTTCCCCGACATATTCAAAGATGGCAGCAGTGGCCCAGAAGCCACAAGATCCAGTGGGTATAGGCCCAGTCCAGCCTGCCCATCTGTAGGCATCCACTCCAAGTTCTATAGTCTGAACTGGGTACCCTCAGCTCACACAGGAGCCCTGTCCCTGAATGGCTTCATTCCAGCCTCAGGAGGCCGCTTGGCCACTTCAGTGACCGTCTGCAGGCAGGACCTGACTTGATGGAGTGCTCTTCTTGCTCCAGGCTCTGAGGGTAACACACTGAGCTCCCAAGTCTCCCCACAAGACACACCCAACTTTCTGGTTAGATCCCAAGGTTGTAGAGCCCCACACAGTGAGGATGACACCTTGCTGAAGTTATGGGCCTAGGTGGGAAGGACAGGTGGGAGGGGCTGCTATGAGAGCCATGCAGGTGTGCCCTATCGGCCCCTCCCTCTGCTTAGTCTCCAACCTGTCTTCTTCCTCAAAGTATCCGTCTGTCCACCCAGAGCTTGTCCTGAACCTGGCTATCCGGCGCAGCCTGTGTCCACTGCCCAGAGTCTGCTGTCCCGCCCAGGCCCCTGGCCTTCAGCCCCCCTGCCCCAGCCAACACCTGTGCAGCATGCAGCAGGTGGTGGGGCGCCTCACCTGTGTAGCCGATCTTCTCAAAGCTGAGCAGGCTGAAGATACTGTTGTAGAGCTGCATCTCCTTGCGGTGGCTCTGGTCCATCTCATCCAGGATCTCCATCAGCTCGTTGCCCGTCTTAGTTGGGTGGGCACATGCAGCTTCATGCACTGTCAGCTCATGGAAGGGGCCATGCCACGGGCAGCCAATGCGCTTGTACTTGCACTGGGTCACCCTGGGAGGAGGTGAGCACAGTGGTCACACCTGCACCTGGAGAAGGTGACCATGCCCAGCTGTCCTCCAGAGGCTGCTTCTGCTCAGCCAAAAACCTCTCCCTGTAGAACACACTGATGGTGACCCTAGCCACCAGGACAAGCTCAGAGCACACGTGCGCATGCATCCACACATGTGTATGAAAGAGAGGGAGAAGTGAGACAGAGAGCGAGGGAGGAACGAGAGAGAGCTGTGAGCCAGCCTGCTTCCTGCACCCAGATGATGCAGGTGTGGTGTCTCTCATTCTGCTTAGCAGTAAGTGGCCACTGACCATGGCCACACAGCCTTACTTCAGGAGAGCCTTCATGCCAGGGCCCTGCCAGGCACTGGCCATGTTGTCCTGGGCCCTCCGAGGGGTTACCCCACAGCCACAAAGAACCCTGGAGTGCCAGCTATAGCTGGGTACAAACCCTTCTCTGCCCTCTGGGGGGATCTACAGGGCTGTCACTTGGCTGCATATTCAATGCTCAAGGTGCAGACAAAGAAGACAGCCACATCATTTTGCACAAGGCCTCACCTGTACCAGGGTGGGCTTTAAGCCCTGTCCTGGGCCCCACACGTTGTGGCTGAACCCTGGACATAGCAGTTACCTGTCTTGGCATTCCTCCTTCTGGTGCCTCTCTAGGAGGGAACGGGGGAACTGGCGCAGGCAGAAGCCACACTCTGAGGGCAGCTCGCTCACAGCTTTCTCCACAGCCAGGTTCCGGCAGCAGAGGCTCTTACTGATCTCACAACGACAGTTGGGGCATGTGGCCTGCTCCTCCTTCAGCCGGGCATCTGCTAGTAGGTGGATAAAACAGCCAGCGCACATCAAGTGACCGTTAGTACACTGCGAAGAAGGAAAGGGAGGTGAAGCTCACAGACCTGTGGGATGCACACACACATACATGCCTGCCTGCGCCTGCTGGTTCCAGCCAGGCCAGGCCAGCTGTCCCCTGGGACTCTAGTTGGTGAGGAATGGAGTATATGCTGGTCCCGAGTCCAGCTGGTATCTAGCAAACACTGAGAGCTGCTCAGGGGGGACATGGCAGGACACATTCCAGCCTAGGCTCTGTGGAGAACAGTGCTTTTTCAGGTCATGGGCATCCTGGATCAACCTGAGGCAGGCTGGCTGTGGTTGATCAGACTATACTAGGGTTTGAAATCCAGTTTTTCCATTTTTTTCTGTCCTACAAGAACACCCAGCTCTCAGCCTGTCAGGACAGGGGCACTCAGCTAGCAGCTGTCCAGTGGGAAAGTAAATGCTGCTTACCCATGCCAAGGCAAACACTCTCCTTGGCTTTCATAAAGGCTGCTCATGCTGGGGTTAGGACCAGCCCAGGCTGACCTCAACCCTGGCCCCTCCAAGCCAGCCTTCGCTGGGGAACACAGATGAGAGCCAGCAGTTGCCAGCACCTAGGGAGGGTGGCTATCTGCCAAGGTTGCCCCAGAACTGATGGCACAAGGCTATGGCAATCAAGAGGCCAAGCTGGGCCAGGATGGAGACAGGTGGAAAAAAGGGGGCTGCATGTGGGACATGGTGCTGAATTGGGCTGATGTAAGTTGGGTCAGCAGGAGCCAAGCCCTTCCTGCTAGGGTCCTCAATCATGTGGACAGCAGACTGTCATGATCATTCCCATCCTGAGTGTCTTATTCACTCAACACACAATGAATATCACTTGGTGTCACTGTACAGGTTAGGCTGTGGACCTGGTCCTTGAGGGGCTGAAAGTATGAGGGGACACTGACTCTCTGTAGTGTGCTTAAGGAAGGGGGCACTCATAAGGCCACTGCCTGGCTGTATCAGGAGGCCACACAGGCACAGGTGGGGTTCTTGGTAAACCTCAGCTGACACCTAATCGCTTCAGCAGCTCTCTACCCTCAGAGGCCAGGTTTAGGGTCCAGTGAGTGATGGAACCTGATTGCTGAGGACTGACAGAGAGAGGCTTACCACAGAGACCACATCCACAATGCCATACATTATCTGCATTCAAATCTCTGAGTTAGGTTAAAAATTAAAATGTGTACTACAGGTGAAGAGAGTGACCTGGCTGGCCTGGGCCTGGACAAATAGGGCCTAGTAGGGGTCAGCCAGAACCTGGGTCCAGACCAGATGTATGGGCTGGCTGAGGTGGGGGAGGGGGGTTGAGGGAGGTCCTGGGTGGGAAAATCAGCCTTCCTTCTCCATGTCCAGGAGTCAGTGAGAGTGGACTGGGGTTTAGGGTGGGTGCAGCTGTTGAAGGCACACACCAGAAGTTTAGGGCACGGGTCCTCTCAGCCCTTACCTGCCTGGGAGCTACCTAGGCCGGGGAGTGCTGTGGCTTCTGGAAGTCAGAACTGAGTGGCCATGTGTTCCAGAGAGGGAATCTCAGGAGGCCCTTTCAGAAGTAAGGCTCAACTACATAGCACCATACCGCATCCCCCTAATGAGAACGCCAGCACCAACACCCCTCCAGGACCTGGTGTCCCCATACTGCTTCATGAAGACAGCTCCAGGCACCTCCTGGTAAGAAGTTCCCAGGGCCTTGAATGAGGCTCCGGGCCCAACTCTGCAAAGTTACTTCCAGGGTCCACCAGCAGAGCAGAGGGGTAAAAGCATTTCTCCTGCTGCAGCCTGGCCCTCCCAAGGTTTTCAAACCCTTCATCCTTCAGTCTACTGGACCTTTCCTCCTGGCTCTGAGCAGCCCAGTCAGACTCAGGGAGTCTTGGGCCCCGGCACTGAGGCTGTCAAGCATGTCACCATTTATTTCCAGCACTGCTCTTGCTCCCCACTCCAAAAGTCACCAGAGCCTGGCTAGCCTGGCCATAGACCTATTTCTCTGGGGCCTACAGATTCAGGTCAATTCCATACCACAGGGAAGCACTGCTGACATTGCCCTCCTCTGGCTGTCTGGGCCTCCTGGTGGTCTGTAAGTTCTGGGGGAGAAGTGAGGTCACTGCTCCTTCAGCTCCAACAGCTCAGCTTTGAGTCTGAGCACAGGAAGACCCAGAATGTTCTGTGGAGGGCTGGAGGAGTGGCTCAAGTGGTAGAGTGCCTGCCCAGCAAGTGTGAGGCCGAGTTCAAAGCCCACTACCACAAAAAATTAAACACAACAAAACCCACAAATGGTACTGTGGTTTACTGGTTCATCCAAGGGTTAACCCACACCTACATGCAGCCCCTCATCAGCTGTTCCAGAGATACTCGCTAGGTAAACTCTAGGTCAACACCTAGCCCAAGTAGTCCACCCCCAGCAGAATAGCCACCATGCTCCAAAGTCTTCTCACAATCTCCTGAGCAAGATCCAACTCCACATACAGTTCTGGCTACAGGGCAGGCATATTCAGCTTTGGCAATGGCTGGGCCAGACTGTACTTAGCTCCTGACTTGTATCCACTGCCTAGCCAAAAGCTGGGCCCCAGATGACTCCACACAGTGCTGGCCATAGTGCCCATTTGACATGCTTGGACCAGGCCCCCCAAGAGCCCAGGTGCCTTCAAAAATAGATTTTGCAGTGCCCAGGCCAGATTGTCTTCCCACCAGCAGCCAGGAAAATCCAAGATGACATTGCAGGGTCTCCCAGGTCCTCCCAGGAAAGAGCTAGCTTGGAGTCACAGTGCTGGACTAAGACCCCAGTCTGATGTCACCAGCAGCATGATCCTGGGCTCATCACCTTTCCTCTATGGGTTTCAGTTTCCTCACTTGCAGAAGGTGATGAATATGATGAGGTGGGAGACATGTCTGGAGCAAGACTTGGTACCCAGATCACAGCAGGCTTAAAACAAATATCACCTCTGTGGTCATCTATGGCAGAGCCCCTGGAGACCCTACCCCAAGGGAAGCTGAGGTCCTAGGCCCCTCTGCAGATGCTGAGTATGTGCAAGTAGCCCAGAAATAGTTACTTATTTGCACCTGCATCCCCAGGATGGCACCCAGTTCTTCCCTCTGCCTGGCTGTTGGCAGCTCATGTGCATTCACTCAGCCTATGTGAACCTGGGTTGGCTTCTCCCCTGGGTTAAGAGACTGGTCAGGCTAAAGGAGGAGCCCTCCCCTGAGCCATATACAGCCTAAGGAAATAGATACCCACGACTTCCAGTTGATCACAAGGCCCCTGTGGTCAACTGGCCTTTTAGAACCTCTTTCAAACCTTGACCCACTCAAGAGAATAAACGGCACGCAGGCCCATGTGAAAAGCTCAGCCTCTTGCCTGTGGGATAAGGGACCCATAGGCCCTTGTTAAAGGCCATGGTGCCAAAATGCAGTCAAGGGGCTTCCTTTTGTATACTAACCCCAAAACATTGGTTGGGTAGCTGGACGTTCCCTTCCTCTCCAGAGCCTTCCACCATGTCTAGGGTGTAGACAAGGCTCTACTGGGCCCGGTAGCATCTTAGGGGCACACCCCACATGATTGACCCAGTCTTTTTTTTTTTTTGGTGGTCTTGAGATTTGAACTCAGAGTCTAAACCTTGAGCCACTCTACCAGCCCTTTTTTGTGATGGGTTTTACTGAGATAGGGTCTCGAAAACTACTTTCCTGGGCTGGCTTTGAACCATGATCCTCTAGATCTCTGCTTCCTGAGTAGCTGGGATTACAGATGTGAGCCACTGGCGCCCAGCTTTGACCCAGTCTTTTGAACTCCCTAGTCAAGCACAGGCGTAAGCAGGACTGGCTCCTTCTCTAGGCCACACAGCTGGTTAAGGGGGATACCAGGATATGAACCTTCTGCCCGGGCTAGGTTTGAAATCACGGGGCAGCCACATTTAACCTCCTATCCTAGTGTCAGGACTCAGAAAGGGTCCAGCAATTCCCAGGAGCGTAGCTCTAACTCGGAAATAAACAGATCTAAAAGTTAACTCAAAATGACAAACTACCACCAAAAACCTCAACCTGGCCAGACTCCAGAAACCCTCCTTGCTCAACACAGTTTTGAATACCTAAGCAGATCTATTTCCAAAACTTTTTCCTGCCTGAAAGAACTAATCAGTGGCACTGAGGCCATGTAGGTGGTGGTCCCTGGACACCGTGTGCACTCAGAGGCGGGGGTTTGGGCAGAGATGGACGTCTCTGCTTTCTGGGCCTTTTACCAATGGGATTATCAATCAGGTAATCAGTCTCCCAAGCTAAAACCTGGCTCATAGGCAGAAGAAGCTTTGGGATGGGACAGCTGCAGGATGTACCAACCATTCCCCAGGGCTCACAGTACAGAATGCTCAAGTAGGATGGGGATGGATAGGCATCCTTGCGGTAGGAAGAAGGGAAGGCCCTGATACGGAACCCTGTGTTCAGTCAGGCCCAAGAGGAAGAGCAAAGGTGGGCAGGGACATGGAGAGGGCAGCTCAGACAGAAGGCATGCAGAAGCAGTGACGGCACTCCCACAGGGTCTGGGTCAGAAAGAGCAGCTGGGGCTCTATCAGGTATAGGCTAGACCACATCTTGCTGACAGAGGCCCTACACCAACTGATCCCTGTACTGGAGAGCTTGAAAGAAGTGGGAATGATGGGTGGTGTCTTCCTCCGTTGCCAGTGCCAAGATCTGTGCTTGGTTATCATCTGCAGGTTGGGTCTATCTCATGGAGGACCACATTGGGTCTTGTATAAAGCACTGTACCAGGAGAGCTAGAAGAGCGAGGTCAGGGATCAGGCTATGGCAACAACATCCCAGGCACCACTTCCATAAGCAGAGGTGCTAATAGGTCACACTACTCTCAGGGCTGCATCCAGATCAGGGTGCCACCACGAGCTTCCTGTCCATCTGCCCAGCCTGGTCTGGCCAGAAGATCCTGTATAAGTGCCCCTGAAGCCCTCCAACCACCCACTGGATGCATGCCTGGGACTTTGGAAGGGCCCACCCAGGCCTCAGAAGTTGACTACACACCTTGCCTGGTTAGTTACCCAGGACACACCTAACACCCACACAGAGAACATCAAAGCACACATATGCTGTGCCTGCTGTGGCCCTTAACCTGACATGACACGACCACAGCACCAAATGTCACTTGACTAAAGGCCTTGATTTTACACCAGAGCAAGTTCCTCAGTCTGTGATGTGTCAGTGTGTGGGAAAGCTGGTCCTGCAGGTCTAAAGACTCAGTCTCAGGACCAGCCAGATGACTGGATGCATATGGCCTACAGCTGCTCTCACTACTATCCAAAACTTCCCTGGCAACACAGGTGACATCTGGTGACTGGACCATACACTCTTGAGTTACCACATACCCAACCAATTCCAGAGGCCCGTGAGTTTTCCCCACAGCCCAGCACCAGCCACCTACCGTTTCTCCTCAGGGACAGCCCTCAGGACACACTACATGGCTAGCGCTCACCAGGAGCAATGTGTTTTGCTGGAGTCAGCCAAAATGATGCCAGAAGGAGAAGGCAGAGACTGGCCCACAAGAAACAGTCTACTGATCTGGGTCACCAAAGAGGGCTAGCAAAAAATGGAGGCACTAACCCGAGACAGAGGTGATAGCCAGCAGTGGACCCAGACCAGGGCCATGCCCATACCATCTGTGTGCAGATTCTCTGAGAAGACTGGGCAAGAGCCCAAGTCTCCAGGACTGTCCTGACCCACAATGCCTTGGTGGGGACAGCAACACTGACCCTCCAGGATTACCACACATGGTAGAAGGCCACCACGTAAAGTGTCCCTGGCACATTCAGAGGCACTAGGAAACTTCCTTCTTTCCCCTGGCCCCCTTCTCATCTCACACAGCATCTGTGAGTAGCCAAAGTAAGTCCTAACACTTGTTTGAAGGCTCTCTTACAACCACACATTCGTTTTCATTGCCCTTGTCTCTGGGCCTCTGCAGATGATGGGAAAACACCTTTACTCTGGGTGTTACCAGGGAAGGATGCAGGATGTTACCAGGGTGGGGCAGGGGCTGGTACAGAGCCCAGTTCTCCTCCATTAGCATGTCTGCTCTCTGGAAAGTCACTGGGCAGCCCCGGCCTGGGAGGGCACTTGTCAGGACAGCCCTTGCCATCATGTTGTCACAACTGTTCAGCTGCCTGCCTCCAGCTACCCAGGCCAGACCTTACTCCCAGCACAGAGCAGGCCGGTTTGAACCAGCCAGCCTCAGCAGTCTGCTCATCAGCTGTTCTGGGCAGAAGCAGAGTTGTGGCTGTATGTGTGGACCAAAAGCCATGTCAGCTCTAGCCCATCCACAGGAGATGAAATAAGGAAACAAGGAAATCCTTGACTCCCTGGGACCACCCATGTCAGAGATCCCTTACTGGCTTAGCTTGTGGACTCTCACTCAATGCCTAGGAAAGGAAGAATTCTTTCAAAAGGGGGGACCAAGAGACTGTGGCAAGGAAAAAGGAGCTGAGGCTACAAGCAAGCTCAATGGCCCCCAAAGTAAGGAGTTAGACCAGCAGTGGGAAGTACTTCTCCAGTTGGTCCCCCACTTGACAACCAGGAGGGTGGGTTTTTCCCCAACAACCTCAAGCCAAAGTAGGAAGGGCTGGGAGATCCAGAGGTTGGGGAAATAGCAATGCAGATTAGCCTTACAACAAAAGTGCCCCTTTCACTAAGATGGAGGGAAACAAGGCCTCACCAGCCACTTTCTAGGTCCTTTACGTGCAAAGAAAACTGGCAGGGAATCTGCTTTGCTTCTTAAAAGGGCTGGGAGGCAAGAAGGAGAGAGTAATCGGGAAGGCAGACACTGACCTCTGACTGTGAGCCTCAACCAGAGGTCTGCCTTCTTTGATCTGGGAGGGAGCATGTTAGACCCACCTGGACCAAGTACCCCTTAGGTCAAGAACCCTGAGTCCAGCTGTCATGCTAGGTCTTCAAATGGGCAAGGGGAAGACAGAATCACAGCACTGGCAGCCTAGAAAGCCAGCTTGGCATGGATGAGGTGAGCTGGGGTGGGAGACCCAGTGAGGCTGGAGCTGGAGAGAGTACCTAGACTGTGGGGCTTGTTGCAGGTGGTTCCTCCAGACCAGGGACAGGAGTGGGGTGGGGGGAGGGAGAGGCAATTCCCTCCCTTCTTCCTGTTCTTCAGAAGGAAACAGAGGTCTGGAGGACAAAAAAAGGAGATGTACATAGGAGTTCAAATGTGGACAGACACGCTTGGGGGTGTGGCTGCCAGAATCGAAGTCTCCAGTAAAGAGTAAAGAGGCCTCTGTGCCCAGAGGGCCTGCGAGTGAGGCGGGCGCTGAGGAGGGCAGGGAGCGTGGGCACCTGTCTCCAGCTCTCCGCGGGGTCAGATGAAGGGGAGCTGGGAGGTGTTGAGGAGGGGACCCTGAAGGAACCTGAAAGAGAGGCGGGATCTAAGAAAGATAGAAAACAGACCGTGAAATAAGGGAGTCTGAATTCGGAAAAAGGGGGCTCGGAGAAGGCAGAGAAGACGAGGAGCTTCAGGGCAGGCGCGGGGTCTCTCGGGCGTGGAAGGCGGATGTGAGTATCGGAGAGGGTCCCCGGCCTCCGGCCTCCGGCCTCCGGGCCCGGCCTCGAGGAGACGCGGCGCCGGGCCGGCGGCCCTACCTGGTACACGGAGGCCTTGGGCAGGTCCAGGCACACGGTGCAGCACAGCACCGAGTAGAGCCGCTCCTCCAGCTTCCCGCTGCCCGCTGCCGCTGCCGCTGCCGCCGCCTCGGCCGCCTCGGCCGCCCGCAGCCGCTTCTTGGGCGGCGCATCAGGGTCGCCGGCCGCCTCCTGCAGCTGCCGGGCGCCGGCCAGGCCCGCCTCGTCCGGGAGCCCGGGTCCCGCCGCCTCACCCAGCGCCGCCGCTGGCGGCCCGCGGCCGCCCCAGGCCCAGCCCCCACCCCGACCCCGGCCGGCACTGCACCCGCGGGCCCGCGGTCGGGCCGCCCCGCCGGCCTCCTCAGCGCCGGACATCGCGGCCGGCCGGCCCGGCGGGCGGGTGCCGGCGCGCTCGCCGGCTGGAAGTTAGGGGCGCCGCGCGCCCCCGCCGGCCTCTCGCTGCCGCCGCGATCCCGCAGCCCGCTTGCCGCCTCAGTGGGCCCGGCCCGCGCGTCGGCCCGCAGCCGCCGCGGCCACCAACCCCGGCGCGGCCGCCATCTTTGTTTTCGCTAAGCGCCCCACCCCCGCGCGCCACCGCCCCCTCGTCTTCCCCATCACGTGGGCTCCGCGCAGGGCCAATAGGAGCGCCACCCGGAGCAAGACGAAAAAGGCAGCCAGAGCCAATGGGGGCGCGAGACGCCCGAGGGCCCGCCTCCTGCAGAAGGTGGGCAGGAGAGGCCCGGCCCAGGCAGCTGAGTGGCGGGGGATGGTTGGCAGGGAGGTCCCGCGCACCTGGGGCGGGAAAGCCCGCTGGTTAATCCCGGGTTGTTGCACTCAGCACACTTCGAGAGTCAGCAGGAATGAGTACCCCCAGAGTCTCACGTCTGGGTGTGCTTTGAGTCATTGTCCCCCGAGATTTGAGCTTGCAAGCTCTTGGCTCTGGCCTGGCTCACTGGAGTGTAAGATCACGAACTTGAAAAACCCAGCCGACCATACCTCTGACTTGTGCAGGACAGGTTATGCTTCCATAGGATACAAGCACAAGAACTGTGTGTGGGGCATTCAGGCCCTCTAACCCACTGCTCTATCCGGCCCCATTTCCTATCCCTAGGGTTGCAAACAGAAGAGGGATTCACTTGGTTTGCATATAACAGAGGACAAACGTAGTAATTGAGTCAGCTCCGAAAAGGATGTGCATTCTTGTGAATCACTGTGGCACAGCCCTCTCCTGTCCTTACTAACCCAGCCATCAAAATAAATAAATAAATAAATAACCCAGCCATCAGCCGGTGAAGGTCACTGCCTCACAGGGCCACCCGCCAGGCCCAGCAAGCTATCTGCAAATCTACCACATCTCAGGAGAGCAAGGGCTTGAGACAGTGTCTTTCCAGCACAGGCACTCTTCTGACAAAGGTGCCAGAAGGCCAGAATGAATAAGACCCCAACCTAATTCCAGCGCATTCCCTCCTTTGGCTCAGGAAATCAGCTTAAGAACCTAGGGGGCCTTAAGAATCTCACAGAAGGCACTTCAGTCCCTCTCAAAAATGGGCAGATTCCATATTCCTCAAGAAAGTCTAAGGTTTATTGGAAAACAAACCTCTATGGACCCACAACCATGTCCTTCTCAGAATCAGGCCTCAAATATGCCTGAATCCTGTCGCTTTCATTCTGGCCTAGGCAAGTACCTACATATAACCAGAGAAGGGACAGCACTCAGGGTCTGCCCCTAATCAATTAACCTGCAGCGAACCCACTTCAGGAGGAAGGGAAGCTTATCCCTAGGAGAGAAGCAGGCCAATGGAGAAGTGGTAGCTAGGGCAGGAGCCTTGCCTTGCTGTATCCAACTGTCATTCCCACTGCAGGCGTTGTGTGTGCAGGGCCCGGCAGTAGGCCCAACTGCCCGCAGCCAGGACCCAGCGACAGACGTCCTCCTTCGGCAGCAGCAGCAGCCTATCTTCTTCCAGCCGGCTCAGAAGACCTGCCACACCCAGCATTGCACCTCCCCACATCCCATAAGTGTTGGCTGTGAAAACTGCCACAATGAGGATGGTCACTGCAACCACCAGCAGTACTGCCTGACCAGCCACAGAGCAGCCTTCACGGCCCAGGTGGCCACCAGCCACTGCCAGAACCATGCCTCCTCCCAGTAGCAGGTTGGCAGAGGACCGGTCCCCATGAACCCAGTGGAAATCAAAGGCCAGAAGGGGCAGGCCGATGACTGTGGCCACCCAGTCTCCAGCAAGACAGTCTTCAAGTGTGCCCAGCCCTGGGGCCAGCATGGTGGCAGCAGCCAATGCCTGGAGCAGGAAGCCAGCAGCAGCCCCTCGAGTTGACTGTTAACACAGGTAAAGGAAGATATGTGGGGAAAAGGAGCAAGGGCTACCCATTCTTTTTTTTCTTGGTAGCATTGGGGTTTGAACTCAGAACCTCTGTCACTTAAGCCATTTCTCCACCCCTTTTTGTTTTAGGTTATTTTTCTCTTGTTTCTGCCCCAGACAGCCTTGGACTGCAGTCCTCTCACATGTGCTTCCTGAGTAGCTAGGATTACAGATGTGGCCACCACACTGGGGGTTTTTCTCCCTAACTTTTTGCTAGAACCTCGATCCTCCCTGATTTCCTCCTCCTGAGTAGCTAGGATTACAGATGTAAGCCACCATGTCCGGCAAGGGCCATCCATTTAAGCGGGGAAAGGTTTGGGGGTGTCATGGAGACCTGACCTTAGACTTGCCTCCCCCTACCTTCTGTTGCAGGAAAGTAGGTCCTTAAGGTTTGAAAGTGTAGATACTCACCTGTGCAGAGTTCACTGCTGCGTGCAGAGACACCACTCCCAGCACCAGATGGGACAGAACCATGCTCCACTCATCCCCCGGCTTTGGGGCCATGGCACCTTGGGCAGTAGTCTGAGGAGACAGGAAGGGTATCTTCAACTTTGAAGAGAAGAATGCACAGAAGCCAGCGACCTGGGACCCTAAGGGCAGTTCTCCAGGAATCCAAGGTTCTAAGGACCCATAAGAAGACGTTGGAATAGGTTCAGTCCAAAACTTTCTGGAGCTTTGAGGCCACTGGACACACCTGTAGGGAAGAAGAACTAATTCGAAGGGAGGGGGAGGGGAAAAGGAGTGAGGGGAACGCGACTTGGGATATGGCTGGGCGGATGTGAGCCCAAGCAGAGCGCTGGGACGCTCTGCTAAGCGACGTGGGTGCGCAGGGCCCGATCCCACCGCTCTGCGAGAAACCGTCCTCCGTGCCTCGCTCGGGAATGAGAGATGGCACCTGCCTCCGCAGGCTGGGGGTTGCGCAGTTCCCGGTGGCACGAAGCTTGAGGCCTGAACCTGCCCACCACCGTCGGCCCCGCCTCCTCGAGGAGGCCGGCCTCTGGTGGCCCAGGCGAGCCCTGGCCACAGCCACCAGCGAGAAGAGCGAAGGCTAGAGCGGCCGGGGCGGGGCTGGCGAGGCCTGTAGGAGGCTCTTGGAGGAGTGGAGTTGGAAAGGAGGAGGTCGGAACCAGAAGGGGCCCTGTAGGGACCGGTAAGTGGGTACCAGGACTAGGGATGGTTCGTCGTCCGAGAGAGATCTGGGCGAGGCTGAGAGAGTAGGGGCGGAGCTTCGAAAGGGTAAGGACCGGACTGAGGAAAGGGGCGTGGCTTCCAGTAGTCTGGGCGTGGCTACGATAGGAGGGGAGATATGGGCGAGGCTGAGGGGGGCGGGGCTCCCAGGGAGGGGCGTGGAGGTTGCACACCTGTACGAAGAGGATTCCGTTAGCTTGCTAATGGTGGGGTATCTGCGGAGGGAGGGAGGGATTCCTAAAGGTGGTGAGGTGTCTGTAAGGCGCTCTCAAACCCCGCTGTCCGCGAAGTAGAGAGAGGGGGGCGCGTGGCGGGTCCATGAAAAGGGGTGGGCCCTGTTGTGTGCAGCCTTGGGGACACCCGTTTCGGGGACCCTAGTCCCCACGCCCGCCCCTCGGCGCGCGCCCTCAGTTCGTGGGAGCCGGGCCGTGGGGGCGGCCGCCGCGAGCATGCGCACGGGCACTGCGGCGGGCGGGTGCGGAATCGGGCGCGGGGACGCGGGGCGGCGCGAAGTGGGGCTCTTAGCCGCCCCGCGCCCCCATGTATGCCTTCTATTCGCTCCTCATCTACATCTTCTACAGCCTTTTCCGCAGGGATGGCGGGGCAGCGGCGGCTACTGCCGACCCCAGGGACCCCGCCCAGGTGAGCAGGGTGGGCCTGTATAGCCAGTGGATCCCCGCCCCCACCCCGAGATCAGGTGGTGGCAGTCCCGCACTGCTTACGGCCTTTGGGCGCTGGCGCTTGGGAGCAGGGTCGTTCCGAGGACTACAGTCTCGGAACTGGTATTGGAAGCATAGACTTCAGCCGCACCCTCTTGATCCAGTTTCCGGAGGAAAGGAGCCCCACAGGCTACCTGCCCCCTCCTCAGGGGCGCCCCTGTTCTCTCCCTAGAGAACCCGCTGCAAGCCCAAGGGTCGTCGTCACCCCGACCAGCTCACGTCGGATCTGTGGACCGGGTTGACCGGCCTAGCCGGTATGTGCGGGTCGGGGCGCTGCAGGGGGCCTTGAGGGAGCCCCGCAATCTGAAAGAGGGAGGGTGTCATGGCCTCATTGGGAGGAAGAGGCCCAGCCTCCAACACGTGACACAGATTGCAGCCCCCCCATTACCTGGTCTAGCAGGCTGCTCGGAGTCTGAGGATGGGCCAGAAGGGAGAGCGGAGGGCCGGCCAGCGGTGTCCCTGGAAGAGGCTCTCATGCGCCTTGCTGAGTTCCTTTCTGTTCAGCTGGGGGCAGAAGAGAGCTATGAGAATCCACATGACCAGGGCAAGGTGAGGTGGGGGGGGGGGTGTTAAGGGGCTCTCACTCCAGCATCCACGCCTCTCTACACAAGACCCCCCCACCCCCCACTCCCCACCGCACACAACCCTACCCCTCAATTTTCTCTGTGTTTTTTTATTTTTTTTCATACTAGGGTTTGAACTCAGGGTTCCAGTGATTGACCCACATCTCCAGCCTTCTCTGATTTTTATCTCCTTCACAGACTGGTGAGGTCCCTCCACTGTTGACAGTGACCAGTCAGCTCTTGGCCCTTCTGACATGGATTCGGAGCTCCAGGGGGAGGCAGACCCTGCTCCAGGGGACTCAGCCAGCTTTGCTGTTGGAGCCCCCCACCCTAGATGGTTCGTAAGGGGTACTGTCTATAGAGGAAGCAAGTCCCATCAGAACCTGGGTGGCCTGGAATCCAGAGTCCCAAGCCCAGCTCTGCTCCCCAGGATTCAGGCCAGACACCTCCTTAGGTCCTAACTGGGCCCACCCCTCTTCAGGATCTCTATCGCAAGAAGAAAGCCCTTCCCAACCCACCTCCATCCCAGGTGAAGTACCAACTGAGGCCCAGGAACAGCAGTCCCCCCAGTTGGAGGAGGAGCAGACAGCTTGGCAGCGGTTGGAACAACTCATCCTTGGACAGGTGGGAAACCCAGGAGCAGCAGGGACTGGGACATATTGGGCTCAAAAAAGGCCTACTATCCTGTTCCCTGACTCCTCTGCAGTTGGAAGAGCTGAGACAGCAGCTAGAGCAGCAGGAGGAGGAGCTGGGCAGACTGCGCCTTGGAGTGGTAAGACTGCTGGGACAGGCCAGGGAGCAGGCAGAAGGGCTGATGGAATTTCAGGTGGATCCTGAGGAGATCCCTCTCTCTGTCAGGGGGCGACGGATTCAGAGAAAAGAGTTCAGCATCTCACGTTGGAGAACGAGGCCCTGAAACAGAGCCTGACCCTCACTCGGGACCTCCTGTTGCACTGGGGCCCTGGACCCCCAGCCAGGGCCCCACAGGTACCCCACTTCTTGGTTGCTGCCATACCAGTGACCCAGCCTTCTGCAGCACATCTGTCATCTACCAACAGTGCCCAAGCCTCCTCAGGATTTTGTGCTTGTTGAAGCAGGAAACTCTAGCAGGAAACCAACTCTGACTATAGACAGACCCTGAAATGGTCTTTGTAGGGCAGCCCCATCAGGGAGGGGGAGCCATGAGGCTGCCCCTTATGGCCCCTCTGAGCAACCCTAGGAGAGGAGAGGGACTGGGGAAAGGAGTCCTGCATGAAGCTGGGAGAAATGGGTTTAAGCTATCCTTCCACTTTTGACTTGGCCTTCTCATCTGGGAAATGGGACCACAAAAGCCTCTTCCTGAGTCCCATCTGGCTTTATGGCCCACCTGACTCCCATCCTCTGCAGGAGGAGGCTGAGGCACTGTTGGAGCTCCAAGGCCGGCTTCAGGAGGCCCAAGACACCACAGAAGCCCTTCAAGCCCAGGTGGGTTTGGGGCCTAGGGACAAGGAGGGCTGGGACACTGGGAGGGGGCATCTGGGGCAGGACCTGGTAAGTGCCTGTTTCCTCAGTGACAGGGGTGGGGTTGGGTGGGGCAGCTGGGAGTTCAGGAGGTGCAGCTGCAGGGCCTTCGAAGGGCCCTCCAGCAGCTCCAGCAGGAGACAGAGCAGAGTTGCAGACGGGAGCTACAGCAGGTGCATGGGCAGCTGGCAGGTAAGAGCTGGGAGTAGAGGGCTTATGGGACGCCCTGGAGTCTGGGCTTTCCCTCTCAATAGCCTCTCCCCTCCAGGACTTCGGGCACGGATGGCCAGCCTGCGTCAGGGCTGTGGGGACCTCCGAGGACTGGTCAGCACCTTTACCCAGAGCTGTCAAGGCTCTCTGAGTGAGGCCCGGGGCCAGGTCAGGACTCCACCTTTCCTAGCACTTCCTAGCAAATTATTACTCCCTTCTCAGTCTTGGGAAGCTGCTGTACTCATAGGTCAGTTGTTGGCTCTGGGACCAGAATAATTTGTGTGTGACCCAGTGATCTAACTTCTGACCTGTGCAAACTGACAGTTGCTGAGAAGGACAGATGATGTGATGTCCTTGCCTGTGGTTCTTGTGTTCTATCCCAGACTTACTGAATGATGCCCCTAGGGGCCCACAACCACTGAAAGTTGTAGACACCATAGCCACACCCTAGCTCCATATTGCTCTCAGCATCCCACCCAGCTTGGAACTGCCTGGACACCTGTTTTTTTCTTCCCTACATTGCTATTCTCTTAGGTATCTTGGGCCCTGGGGGCACTGTCAACTGGAGGGTCTGGGACTGAGCTCCCTGAGGGGCAGCAAGAGCCCCCAACTGGATGCCCAGGGCGTTTGTTGGAGCTCAGAGGTATGGTGGGCTTGGGGTGTGGAGCAGTGATGGGGAGGGCAGGCTGGAATAAGTGGTGGTTGTTGGTGTCTGCGGTGAGTGGGGGAAGCTGAAGTATATGGAACCTCTCCATGCTTCAGGGCGGAGGAGGCAACCTACTGATGTGATCCCACTGCAGGGAACATCCGGGTGCTTTGTAGGCTGAGGCCAGGGACACCCTCCAGCCTGGTAAACTTGGAACCTGGACCAGGGGGCACTGTCACCACTTGCTATAGAGGGCGCCAGCGTCGCTTCCATCTAGACTGGGTCTTTCCTCCAGATGCCAGCCAAGAGGAGGTGACAGCCACCTTTGCACATATCTTGAACCTTCCTCAGAGACCTCTGGAGTCCAGAAGAGGCTTGTTTCCCCTTCCCTGTCTTTTTTTTTTTTTTTTTTCCCACAGAAGAAAGGAGGGTGGCTGGGCTCCAGCAGGGAAGGAAGCTTCCAAAGGGCTTGGGAGGCAGGACTGGCCTCCCAGCTGAGAACTAAGGAAAATGAACCTGAGGTGACAGTTACTGCTCATATAGACATAACTGCAGAACATGGTTGAGTGTCACAGTGGTGGAGACAGTTCCCTAACCCCACAGGTAATAGCTTGGGGCCTCTGCCTCCCAAGCTGCACTGGCCAGTACTCCCTAGGGTCTAGAATCTACCCACCTGTGAGAGCGAAAACCCTCTAAGGCCGGTTGAGTGTGAGCAGAAGTGAGCAGGTCAGTTGCCAGCCCTAGCATTTCCCACTGCCCTGGTTGGATCTCCTCTTTTCCTGTCAGACACCAGTGGAAAAGTAGGGGCTCATGCCCCAACCCGCCACCAACTTGCTTTATATGCTTCATCTCTATTTGCACAAACTTTGCAGCAGGAGCTTCTGTAATTGAGATGGAGACTCAGAGCTGGGAAGGAATTAAGTAAGGGACAGAATTGGCAGCAATGCAGACCCAGGCTGCCTTCCTTTTTTTTTTTTTTTTTTTGGCATTGGGGTTTGAACTCAGGGACTATGCTTGCTAAGCAGTTACTCTTAACACTTGAACCACTCTGCCAGTCCTTTGTTGTGATGGGTTTTTTTGAGATAGGGTCTCAAGAACTATTTCTCTGGGGTTGGATCCGATCTGCAATCCTGAGTAGCTAGGATTATATAGGATTATAGGCATGAGCTACCCGTGCCTGGCCCAGGCTGCCTTCTGGCCTCATAGGGACACTATGACGTCAGTACCTGACAGGGACAGAGGACCCACCCTTGAGTTGTTTTGCACACATCTGTCTGTCCCCCGCTGGCCTCAGCTCCCACCCCAAATTGCAGTCCTGAATAGCCCCCTTCCCTTACCCACTATCATTTGGGCAGCCTTCTAGACAGGGTCCTTGATCTAATGTCTGCACCAAAGACATCTGTCATAAAGTCTCTCACCTGTGTTCCCCATTTCTGTGCCACCCCCCTCATGCCTCCTTCACCCAGTCAGGGACTCTTAGTCCCACTTTGCCAATTATAGATTCTGTCCTCAGAGCCATCAGGTAAGGACTTAAAGCACAGGTGATAGCCACCCAGATAGTAGGGACCTTCTGGTATTAAAGTTGCTCCGAAGGCTGTTATATCTGGGATGAATGTCTCAGCCCCATCCCCCCTCAGCCACCTCTCTGCACCTCTCAGGATCACTATCCTCCATACCCACAAAACCCTTCCTGGGCTCATCCTTTGCATGCTAAGTGTTACTCTGGCCCTCTAGGACACATTCCCCTTTAACTCTCATGATAGGTACCAGACAGAACACAGAAGACAGGCACAAGAAGGATGAGTAACTAGCTTCAAGTCACCCTGGATTCAAACCAAGCAATCAAGCTCCAGCACCTAGCCCTTGACCAGTGCTCCCCAGGAGCTCCTAAATTGTGTTCAGGACTCCACATTCTCTGCACAGGCTGTTTCCTTTTTGTTATGTCTCTTCCTTTCTTTGCCTGGCTTTTTTTTTTTTGGCATTACTGCAATTTGAACTCAGGGCTTTGTACTTGCTAGGCAGGCACTCTACAACTTGAGCCACGCCTCTAGTCCTCCTGGCCAATTCTTGCAAATAACACTTTTTCCAGGGAGGTAGAGGGTGTCTTCTCTGTGACCACCTCTGTAGTCCCCTGGAGCCGTCCCCTGGGCAAGTTATACTCTGCTCACCTTGTTCACTGCACTTACTACCTTTCCGGGTCTTGGATAGGGAATGAAGGAGGGGTTCAGGAAATTTCTCCAACCCCTTCTGCCCCCAGGTCTTCAGAGAGTTAGAGCCAGCTGTGCTGTCCTGCCTCAGAGGCTACAGTGTATGTATCTTCACCTATGGTCAGACTGGGACAGGGAAGACCTACAGCATGGAGGTGGGTTGGGGTCCACACCTCGGGGGGGAAGGCCCCAGGCACTTGGATGTGAGCCTAATGTGGTACTGAACACTACTTTCAGGGCCCACCTGAGGACCCTGGTATAGCTCCTAGGGCACTGCAGTCACTGTTCCGGGAGATGGGGACTGGAGGGCAGCACCGAGTGACCCTCAGCATGGTGGAGATCTACAATGAGGCAGTCAGGTCAGGGTTGCTCCATGTGGCCTTCTCTTTGCCCCTGGCCCAGGTCCTCTCTGGCCATCCCTTGAGTCCACTGAACCAAATTCTTCCTTCTTTCTCACTAGGGACCTTCTGGCCCCAGGGCCTCCAGAACGCCTGGCAGTGAGACAAGGCCCAGCAGGCCAGAGGGGAATTCAGGTGGCTGGTCTCACCCACTGGGATGTAGGCAACTTGGAGACCCTACACCAGGTAAGGCTGCCCTCCAGGGCCCTTTCTTGTAAGGGCCTCACCCCCCAGGTGGGAGCTCACCTAGGGGGTGAGGCCCTTGCACACCAGGCAAGCCCTGACGCTCCGCCCTTTAGATGCTGAGCCTGGGGAGGAGCAACCGGGCCACCGCCGCAACTGCCATGAACCAGCACAGCTCCCGCTCTCACGCCGTAGTTACACTGACGCTGTGTGCTGCTTCTTCGCAGCGCACTCCAAGGACCGCAGGTACCGCTGCTCATGTCTGAGCTCTGAGGGATTTCCAGCACACTAGAGGTCTGCCTCTCTTCACGTTGGGCTCCCTGCTTTCTGCAGGTACCCTGCACTTGGTGGACCTGGCAGGATCTGAGCGCGCATGGAAAGCAGGGGCTGCCGGCACGCAGCGGAAAGACCCGAATGGCGCCCAGCGTCTGCGGGAGGCCCAGACTATCAACCGCTCGCTGTTGGCGCTAGGAGGCGTGATGGCCGCGCTGCGGACCCGTCGGCCGCATGTGCCCTTCCGTGACTCCCTGCTCACACGCCTGCTACAGCCAGCCCTGGGCCCCGGAACCACCGTGGTACTACTGTTGCAGGTGGGCGCAAGCGTGGGGCGGGGCGTAGGAAGGTCCTTTGCATGTAAGGCACCACCCACTCATCAACACTGACCCTCCCCCCAACAACAGATCTCTACACGGCCAGAGGACCTTGGGGAAACGGTCTGCTCACTCAAGTTCGCTGAACGAGTGGGCCAAGTGGAGCTGGGGCCAGCCCGGCGCCACAGGGTCCCACGCTCCGGGACCCCTTCCTCCCTCAGTACCGACACCCCACTCACCGGAACCCCCTGCACCCCTACCCCCTCTCCTGGCAGCCCTCCAAGTCCCAGCCCCGATAGCTGCTCCGGTTTAGATCTCTCATCCCCAGGGGACCTGCCTCCTTAGTCCTGGGTAGAGACTCTCCCTACGGGTCCCGGATGTACCTCTGCTGGCAGAGGCAATAGAAAAGTCCCTACACCTCATCTACCAGGATAACTCTTTGACCTCTGGAGATCTACTCCCTACCCTTCCCCCTCCCCAGAGTTGCCCCTCCACCTTCCCAGCCAATGAAGAGTTATGCTTGGAGAAATTATTGCCCCCGCCCCCCAGTTGGGCCACAGGCCCTCGGCTCTTTCCCCTTATCACCATTTGCCCTTATCACAGTACACAGCAGGGGATCCCAGGGCCACAGGAACCAGACCCCAGATTCTGGCCAAGAGGTTTCCCAAGTCACCATCCCTGCCCCCAAAATCAGACTTGGAATTAAAATGCTGTAAATTCCTTTACTTTTATCTCCCCCCACCACATCACCCCAAGACTTATGTAGGGTCTGGTCTTTATTCCCTAACTCTCCCAAAAAGGTGCTACCTCCTTCCCAGACAGTTGAAGGAGGGCAGGACTTCAGACTGGATCCAATATTAGGCTCTCCCTCCCCCACCCTGGAGCCAGGGTGGGGAGGCAGACAAGATAATGGATGGATGGATAGATAGATGGTGTGTGGGCCTGAGAAGATGGGACCAAGAAGGGCTACTCCAGGCTGAGCCTTACTTCTCCAGCCTTGCCCCTGGGTGTGGGGGAGGCAGAGGCATGACTGACCAGGAACAGGGTTGTGTCCAGCTGGGTCACAACCTTTTCTGGGGCAACCCAATAAAGCTTGTGGATTCTCAGCAAGACTGTGCCTGCTGTTTCAAGGCTGTTGTGTGCGGGGACACTCTCTAGCCTTGGTTCTCCATAAAGCTGGTGGGGGTAGGAGGGAAAAGCAGATCCTAGCCCAGGAACCTCATATGCTGTACCAGGAGAGTAGCCAGCCAGGGGCAGGGGCAGCCAAGTCCCGAGGATTGCTGACCCACACATCATAGATGCTCTTGTTGGGTGGCACCCCCTGGAAGAGGGAGTCTAGATCCCAGACCAGCCCCTGGGACCCTTGGGATTCAGGAGCTACCCTCCAGAAAGCTGGGCTGGTTGAAGGGGGGCACCCTGGACAAGAGGTGGGTGGTAATGTGGTCAAGGGTATTACCACATTGGGAGTGTAGATAGGTAAGTAGGAGGTAGGCAGCTGTCCCCACAGGGAGGCCCTGCATCCCCCATTGGACAGTCCCCCAGGGTCTGGAGTACCCTGCAGTAAGTGGAGGGGCCAGGTCCTAGGCTCTGGGGAGAGGGGGGATGGCCTGATAACTGCCCCCTGGGAAGTCTCCCCCTCCATTCTTGTGGGCCCTGGGAGGGGGCAGAGGGGCCACAGAGGCCTCTCGGAGGAGAGCACGGGTGGAGTGGGCACCACCACCTCCTCCCCACTGGACCCCGTGCCTGCCTGAGCCGGGTTGCTCTGTCCAGCCTGGGTGGGCTGCTGGGACCAGGTTGCCTCCTCCCTAGGGTCTCCTAGCAGGGACTTGATGCTGAAGTCCTCCCTGGGCGGCGGCGGGGGGCTGGGCGGTCGGTAGGGTCGACCGTGCAGCACGTAGGGGCTCAGGTCCTTGGCGAACGATCGGCAGGCACCGCGGTTCTGCCAACGCCTGCATAAGGCGGTGTTCTGCAGGCGCAGCGCCTCGGCAGGGATGAGGTTCACGTCGACCGCCCAGAAATTGCCCTTAGCCTGGGGCTTCGCGGGGTCCTTGGGCACCTGGGGGGGTGGTAGGTTTGGATGGGGGCCTCCCGGACTCCGGATGCTCAGGGTTTCGCGCCCGCCCCGCCCCCGGGCTCCGACCTTCTCCTGCCCCACCTTGCGGAAGCACCGGTTGGAGGAAAGGTTGTGGCGGATGGAGTCCTTCCAACCCTCGTAGTCGTCCCTGAAGAAGGGGAACACAGCCTGGACCTGACGAATGATCTGAAACCAGGCAATGGCCAAGGCCGTGAACTGAGGGGCGCGGTACCCCACCCCTCCCCCAAACCCCGGCTCATGGGCGCCTCCTTCACAGAGGACCACTTCTGTGCCTGGGGGCAACGTCGGGCAATAGTGTTGTGAGAGAAGAGTCGCGCCTGAACCCCTCACTCTCAGGAGCAGTCTCAGTGGCAGAGATGGGTGGACTAGGTGGGGGTGGAAGCCGGGCCTGAGCCTAAAGAGGAACATGGGGAACGAGTTCCGGAAAGATCCCAACCACCGAGCGTGAGGGAACATAGGGAACCCTCTCACCTGGGCCAGTTTCAGCCTGCGGGAGGGTGCGGCCTGAATCACCAAGGCAATCATAGCCAAGTAGGTGTAGGGGGGCTTGTCATGACGCAGGTATCTCTTCTTTCTCCTCTTGGGGGTCTTCGAAGGTGACTCTGCCTCAGGAGGTCCCAGGCGGGAGTTGCTGCAAGGCCCCATGCAGGGGAGGCATGCAGCGTGAGCAGGGTCCTGGCCTAGTGAAGGGCTCAGAGCGGAGGGGCTGTGTGGTGAGGCTGGGCCGGGGCCTGAAGCCGGGCAGGGGCTGGCCGGCCGGGCCCTTTATCATTCGGATGGAAGGGGGAGGGGAGGGAGGAAGGGCTGTGGGGGAGGGGAGCCTACGAAGGCTGCCACAATTAGCAGGTTTCGGTTAATCTGGAAGGGAGGGGCAGAGAGGATTCCAGTGGGACTTCTGTTGACCTCCTGAAGCAATAGTCCTAACACCCAGATTGCCCTTGGGTGCCTGGGCAGTCCCCACAAGTTGGAAGGAAAAGCTCTTGGAAGGGGCCCATATCCGGGATTACTTTGCCTGAGCCAGGACTCGTGCTCCCATTTAACAGATAGGCAGTGACTTGTCTAACCAAGCTGCCACGGAGGGGTGGGGGTTCACGACAGAGTAACCAGTAGAACCTGGGCCCGAGGGTCTGGATGTCCATCCAGGACTTGATCAAGAAGGTTTCTTGGAGAGAAAGGCCATAACCAATCCCTCCACCCCAAGCAAAAGGAGGTTGGTTAGTGCACTCTGGTTTTCCCAGGAGAGTGCTACAGAGCCCCTCACCTTCTCTTCCCTGGACATCTGATCTGTGGTCCTGCCTTGGGATCAGTCAGCCTCAGAGCCCAGGTTCTTCTCATCACACTTGGGTGGGTTTGCCCACAAGGGTCTCAGGGCCTGGGCATAAGGTGCTGTTCCTAGACCTGCAGCAGCACTTCATTAGCAATATAAGTGCTTCCCTGCCCTCCCCCACACACACTGGGAGTTCAACTCAGGATTTTGTGCTTGCAAGGCAAGTGCTTTAATGTTTGAGCCACACCTCCAGCCCCCTATAAGCGCTGTAAGAATTCACCTCTTCCTGTGTCAGGGCTGAAAACCTGCAGCATGTAGTGGGTGTCCAGTGTCTTGAAGTGCTGAGGGAAGGCATGGACCATGAGTACACTGGAGGAAGGAGCCTGGTGCCAACATAGAAGACAAATGGGTTCCATACTGCTCCTCTTCACCCCACTCCTATCTGGGTTGTGCCTCTATCTCAGACTCCTTTCAGACCACACCTGGCTTATTCTTAACTCCTGTCTACCTCTGCCCCTCAAGGCCCTCTCTCCTCCTTTCCATTCCCAGGGCTCCAGTTGAGGGGTCCTTGTATCTCACCAGGCTAGCATCTGTGGCCGCAGTCCCACTTGGAAAAGAAGTTCTGTCCTATCTGAAGGGTCCCTCTCCACTGGTCCTCCCTTGCTTCCAGGATAAAGCCTCGCCCCTTGCTGTAGCGTTCAAGACTCTGTTCTGGCAGCTCTTCTCTGATCACATTCTCCCAGGCCCCCCAAACACCTCCCAAACTGCTGCCCTTTCCTTTGGTGCAGACCCACCCAGAGAATGCAGAAGCCTTGGCACAAGTACTTCCCTCCTCCTACCCATGGTGCCTGTGCTTTTTATTACTATTATTATTATTTTCCATGCTGGCTTCGAACCGCGATCCTCCTGACCTCAGCCTCCTTAGTAGATAAAATTACAGGCGTGAGCCACCGGCCCTTGGCTGATGCCTGTGCTTTGGACGGTGGACTCTTGCCCTTCATTCATATTTATGCCCAGCATAAACAGATGACCTAAAAAACCCTAGATGACCACTCATCTGCGAGCATTGGACCACTGCCCTTCCCGCCCAACCCGGGCGAGGACGTCTGCGCCGCGTAAGCACAGCGTATACAGGTCCCAGCGTCCACTAAGCTGTAGGGAGCAAGGCACCACCCCTGGCGGTAGTTCCTCAGGCTCCGCCCCTTGCGTGTGGCCACGCCCCCGGCTCCCACGGGACACCGCGGCTTCCGCTCCAGGTAGCACAGACCGGAAGTGTTGCGTTGCCATGGTGAGGCCCGGCGCGGGGCCCGCCCCCGCGGCGCCTAGAGCAGCGCGGGGCAGACTGACCGCCGCGGGGACCGAGCTGGGGTGCGGCCTACTGAGGCTGCAGGTGAGGCGCGGCCTGCGGGTGGGGGGGCGACGAGGAGTGGGGTCGGTGCGTGTGCAGAACGCGGGGGCGAGGACCGGCGCGGGGCGGAGGAGCGACCGGCCGCGGAGCACCTCTGCCGCCCCGAGCAGGCCGGAGCCAGGGCAGCGAAGTGGGGAGTGTCGGGAGAGGCCTCCAGAAGGGGCGCCTTAGGAGGCCTCCAGTACACGATTCTCGTTTTACCTGAATGTGAAGTTATTGTGGTTCTTGCAACCTGTTGGTCAGGCAGGCTGACCAGCAGTCTTCATTTTCAAATGAGGGCATTGAGGCCACAGAGAAGGGACTTGTCTAGGCAGAAAACACAGTATAGTGACAATTTTTAGCTGGCGACAGATCTGGTTAATGAGACAAGGCTGAAATAGCTTTTTTTCATGTCACATAGATGTTGCAAGTCATGTGAAGTTCCTCGTTACATTTCCCATTAATATCTTCATCACCGGTAACCACGTTGAAATGCAAAGTACTTTTTCCTGAAACAGGAAATAGCCAGAGGGTTTTCTCAGTAGTTACTGCTGGTGTTGTCAGTTCCAGACCGACCTCCTGGCAGCACGGAAGTATAGTTCTGGAGTCTAGGGAGTCCAAGGTCAAGGCATCAGCGACTTCATGTCTGCTGAGGGCGTGCTCTCTGCTTCAAACTTGGCGACGTGTTGCTATGATTTCACAGATCCAAGGTCCAGGCCCTGGAAGTGGTGTCTGATGAAGGCTTCCATCTGTTTCATACAAGATGTCTTTTTGCTTTGTTCATGCGCAGAAGGGCTGGTAATGTTTTTAAATGGATTGTATAGCAGAACGCTGTTGGCACACACCTATAATCCTAGCTACTTGAGAGGCTATCAGGAGGATGACGGTTCAAGGCTAGCCTGCGCAAATAGTTCTTGAGACCCCCGTTTCCAAAATAATCAGAGCAAAATGGACTGGAGGTGTGACTCAAGTGGTAGAACACCTGTTTTGCAAACGGGAAGGCTTGAGTTCAAACCCCAGTTCCACCAAAGGAAAAAAAAAAGATTGTTACAACTAAGGGAATTAGGTTGGTCTCTGGGGTTCTTAACTTGTCACATCTCGGGTTGGGGGATCTGGATAATGCTGGCTTCATGAATTGAGATGCATTTCCTGCTCCTCTATTTTCAGAAAGGGGTTTTGCAGGTTTGATATAATATGTTCCTTAAATGGTTGATGTAATTTACCAATGAAATCATCTGGGTTTGGAGTTTTCTTTGTGGGAAATTTTCTTTCTTATTTATGTTTTGAGATAGAATCTTGCTATGTAGCCTAAGCTGTCCTTGAGTTCAGAATACTCTTGCCTCAACCCTCTAAAGTGCTCTGATTATAGTGTGCACCACCATGCTTCACTCAGTGGAAAGGTTTTAGTGTGACTTTTATTTCTTTAATAGATATATAACTATTTCTTCTTGAGCCCAATTTGATAATTTGTTTCATTCAGGGAGTTTGGCTTTTTTTTTTTGTTTGTTTGTTTTGTGGTACTGGGGTTTTGAACTCAGGGCCTTGAGCTACTCCACCAACCCTTTTTTGTGATGGGTTTTTTTCAAGATAGGGTCTTGAGGAACTATTTGCCCAGGCTGTCTTGGAACTGTGATCCTCCTGATCTCCGCCTCCTGAGTAGCTAGGATTACAGGCATGAGCCACCAGCACCAGGTGGGGATTTGCCACTTATCTAATCAAGCATGACATTTTATCTATGAAGGACCATTCAGTAACTGTTTTAAACTTTTCAGATCTGTGATGTAGCACAGAACAGCCAAAGATGCTATGTAAAAAATGAAAGTGGCTGTGTTCCAGTAAAATTTCATTTTCTGCCAGGCACTCAGTACTACTGAGTTACATCCCCAGCCCTTTTAAATTTTATTTTAAGGCAGGGTCTTGCTAAATTGACCTGGCTAGCTTCAAACTTGCTATTCTCCTGTTTTAGCCTCTTGTGTAGCTGGGATTACTGGCATGTACCACCATGTTCATCTGATACTGGTAATTTTTGTCTTTTTTTTTTTGAGATGGGGTCTCACTGTATTGCCCAGGCTAGTCTTGAACTCCTGGGCTCAAATGATTCTTCTGCTTTGGCCTCTCAAGTGCTGCCACCATGTAGGGCTCTGTCTTCTTTTTTTTCTTGATCAATCTAGTGAAAAGTTTGTCAGATTTATTAATATTTTCAAAGAACAGATTTTGGTTCCAATATTTCCTATTTGTCTGTTTTCTGTTTCATTAATTTCTGCTCTTATTCCTTTTAATTTGAGTTTAATTTTCCTTTTTTCTAGCTTTCTAAGTTGGAAGCTTAAGTTGGAATCAAGTTATTTCATTGATTTTTTTCCTAATTTCTTATTATTTAAGACTGTTGAGGTAGAAATTTCCTTCTGAGCACTACTTTAACTGTGTCTCACTTTTTAATTATTTTTTGCTCTGCAAGGGCTTGAACTCAGGGCCAACACCTTGAGCCACTCCACCAGTCCTTTTTGTGAATGGATCTTTTTGAGGTAGGGTCTCAACCTCAGTCCTTCTGATCTCTGCCTTCTGAGTAGCTAGGATTACAGCAGGCATGTGCCCAGCTTTTTTCTTTTCTTTTCTTTCTTTTTTGTTTTTTGAGATAGATTGCCCAGGCTGGCCTCAATTGTCCTTTTGCCTCAGCCTTCTCAATAGCTAGGACTATAGACATGTGTCACCATGCCAGGCCTGGCCTTTTTAGCTTTTTCTCTTCTTTTCATTTTTTGGCAGTACTTGGATTTGAACTCAGGCCTTTGTGCTTGCTCTACCACTTCAGTGTCTTTTTTCTTTTTCTTTTTGGTGATACTGGGATTTGAATTCAGAGCTTCCTGCTTGCAAAGGAAATGCTCTACACTTGAGTCACACCAGTCCATTTTGCTCTGGTTATTTTGGAGATGGGGTCTTGCGAATTACTTGCACAGACAGGCCTTGAATTGCAATCCTCCTGAACTCAGCCTGTCAGGA